CCATTTTAAAATGTTTTCGCGTAAATAATAGAATATTTTGTAAGTGGATATTTTTGGCTATTACTTGAAAGCTTTAATAAATATTAAACTTTTAGAAAAAGTTTTCCTGTTTGTAAATTCAATAGTCTAGTTTTACTTCTAATCAGTGGATTATGATGAAAGTTTGGACTACCAGCCGTTGAAAATGTTTTGTTGAACTTAAGAGTTTGTCCAGCCAATAGTTAAGTAAACTTCTGGCTGGGCACGTAAGCAAATTGTCAACAAATGAAATTATTTATTTTGCATTCTTTCGGGCAGTACGTGACCAGCTTATGGCTCATTGCCGAATTCCCGATTGGGACTCAATGGTGTCATCAGGCTGTTCGTCTTCATAATTTTCGGGACCGTGCCGTCTTGCATATCAAATAGTTATACTTGTTTGTCCTTTTTTTAGGGCAGGCAAGGAATACCGCTGAATAGAATTTCAATTTTCAGACTCATTTAAAATTTCTGACAAATTATTTGTGGATTTTTTACAGAAATATGTGAAAAACAATTACTGCAGTCAATCAATACTGAATTTTATAGATAAGCTCGTGCACAAAGCAAATTGAATTTGTACTTTGATTTGCCAACTAAAATTAAAACATAATTTATAATAGAAATAAATGGCCAGGACCTGCTTGCGTTTAAATTGGTTTTTATCGCAGCGCAAACTCATGAATGATGTCTCTTCATTCCGACCCACTTCCCCTGCTTTTCCCACATGTCTATTATAGAAAATTGCGGTTGGCCTGAGTTTAATTATGCAAAGCCTGTTCATTATGGGCAATCTGATTGTGAGTGCCAGCAGTCAGTGTTGGTAAGTCACATTTAACTCAGATAAGAGCCAGTAATTTATGGCACGTTGTGGCCGTTGGGCTCTGCACATAATTCTCCTGGGCTAAGCCCAACAATTAGGTGGGCCCAGTTAAGCAAATCGCACTACATAAACTCCAATGTTTATTTCCGCAAAGAGTCGACTCGGGGCAAGCGTTTGATTGCGAAAGGAAATCTTCAAAGTGGCAATCGATAAACCACAACTGTTTCGGAGTGACATAGTGCGGCTTCCCTCCCACTGCGCTGCATTACAATTTATCAGAAATGTTGCCGTTCCCTATTTGTGGTTGCCAGCACGTGCGACAAACATTTCCATTTCGTGAGCCCCGAAGCTACAACAAATAGGAGCCTTCCGTCCGATAAATGTTGTCGTTTTACAAAACCGAAATCATCCAAGGTCACGAACTGAAAAAAGTCGGGAGCAATTTGCCACGCACACTAAAAACACTATTAAAACGGGAGAAATTAGAGCGCAAACAGTAAACATGCCAGCGGTTCAAAAACAGTCACGGAAATAAATAGTATAAATCAACAAAATAATTTATGGCTGCACAATCGTTGAGTGTCTGCTGGATAACTGCTGATACAGCTGACTAAACCAGCCAAGGAGGACCATAAATAAATAATTTTATTTGTACGCTATTAATTTGCCACCGAAATGCGACAGGCGTGTATAATCTTAGTCACAAATAGATCATATCAAAGCTCCTCCTAAGTTAGAAAAGGTGTTGGAGTGGCGAGTGGAGCTCATCATGGACCCAAGTGGCTGGCTAAGTGAATGTGAGTGGGAAAAGTTTGCCAAGCTCTATATGAACATTTAATGGACATTGTCGAGCTTAAATGGCTGTCAAGGGTGGAGCCATCTGACAGGCGTTCAGGTTAATAAGTGATGTGTGGTGTGTGGTGTGGCCAGGAGAGCCCCAAAAAGTAGACTATAAAAATGACCCACCAACATAGTTATGTAATGATGCAACTTGGGTTTGTATTACAGGAATGAATTTGAGGTCAGGCTAACAATACTTAATTTTTTCTAAGATTTCATTATTTACTGACATTGTGTTAATATTTACTTTAATCACTTGTTGTCTGAATGGCTCAGTTTGGTATTTAGTATCCAACTTTAGAGTGAACAATCTTCAATGGAAATAGTAATCGAGACTAGAATAAGTTCCGTCCTGCGGCACCTCCTTAAGGTTCACATTACATCTTATGGTCCACTTAGGTTACAGTTAACCTTGTCGGCTGAGCAAAAAGAACGGAAATCCTTGTAAGCGAAATTGTCTTTCCAAAACGGAGAGAAATCTGAGGAGCAGTTCGCTTCCTGCTGTTGTGGCTTCGCTGTTTGCTGTTTTGCTTATTTATTTAAGTTCTGGCTCGACTGAGCTCGCTGTTTATGTTGCCGAGGCCAAGAAACAGCTGGGCCAAGTTTTTGCCGCTGCTCTTCTGCCTCTGGACTCGTGCATAACTCATTCGTTTTAATATTCTCCAGGCATTGTTCGCCCTCCGGTTGCCGTTTTATTATTTTTTTGTGGAAAGAACTGGGCCACCTGAGTATACATTTTAATGCCGAGCAAAACTCAAATAAAATTGCAGCAGCCGGCTGACAACCAACAATTTAATTAAAATAATAAATTGCTCGTAATTTGCCGTAGGCGATACCTAGCGGAATTTATTTTGGGTAAATCCGCTCGTGAATTAAACCTCAGATTTATACTGGGGGGTTGGAAATAATAATTTAAAAGGGGTAAGCTAAAAACTATCAGAGTAATTGAATTCGACCAGCTCACAACTCCATTCCGGCTGTCAAACGCTGGAACTGCATTAATTAGGAGAGAAAATATTCCCAGAATCCCCGCAGAACAAACGACAATTGTCAACCTGCAGCCGGAGGAAAAAGGCAAAAGAAAGGAAAGCGAACAGAATTAAGAGCCCTTAGCTAATGAATTTTAATTGCGTAAATAACTTACTTGGTCATTGTGGCAGAGCCTTAACGAGAACTTCTTTCCTGCAAAGAAGCTCAGAATGGAAAAGAAGGGAAAGCCGACGAGCTTGACAAATTTAATCATATTTTTCTTGCCGGAAGCGGAAATGATTCCGGGTTATGACCTGGCAAATGGCGAATTATGAATGAATTAAGTGGCAAGATGGCTTTCCACGTGCGGATCCTGTTCCTGGCACCATTTGGAGAGTACGTCGCGGGTAATTGGGTGCGTGTTGCGTTTAGTGTCAGGCACTTTATACCCGAGTTCCGGGAAGACAGGTGAGAAGTTCACCACGCCCCACTGTCCCCATTTGCCGTCTGTGGTTATTCAATTTTTGTTGCCATTGGGAGGCCTTCGAAACGATTCTCCGGGCTGAAATTTATTTTTGCGGCTGTCAGGTTTAATGAGCCACATGCAAAATTTATTTAATAACCTTGCCACGCATAATTCACTGCACTTTATAGTCGCACTAAAGCCGGGGCACTTCGCCCCAGTTTCAAATGGGCTGTATAAATTTTAATTTTCCCGCTGTTAGTTTCTAATTATATTTTATTGATGCTTTGTGTTCAGTTTAAGCCTGTGCAAAGTGACCAATAAAACGGAAAAACCAATTAAATATAGAAAGGAAGCTGCTGGAAATTAAGCACATAAACATTGCCTAGCTTGACAATTGCATTTTAAATTCGCCAAACCTATATTTATTTAAAGGCTTGAATATTTCCAGCAAGCCTAGGGGCCTTTAAATTGTTGTAGGTTTTGCTAAAAACCGATGGCCCCTAGAACTGTAGCAGGTGGCAGATTAATAAATCGAATTCAGCGTTAAATTTGCATTTTCTGTGGAGCGAAAAACAAATAAAGATTTTTACGGTTTGTGGAAATTTATTATAAAAACGCTCGTGCAATATATATGAGATTCCTGGGAGGTCCTACGGTTCCCAAGAGCAAAGCCCCAGGCAGGAAGTGAATGTGTTTTTATTTGATGCGAATTCGATAAAAGGGAGACCGTTTCAAAGCGGAATAATCCTTAAAGCGTAACTAGGACTCAATGCCGTTTGGGCCGCTTCTCGATACGGATATTCGATGATTTAATAGCAGGGCCGAGTGGGCAGCTATTAAAAGCACAGCACTCGCCACTTGACAGCGCAACCTTGCCACACCCTAGCGATAGCACTCGGCTACCTCCTCCCCACCGCCCCCTGGAGCAACCTTGTGCCAAGCACAAACAACTATTTTTTAGAAGCGCTTTCCCTTTTCCGTTCGACTTCGCTTGCCTTATTGATAGTGTTTGGCTGGAAAACCGAATCGAAAGCCTTACGTGTCAATTTATTATAACTTATTCAAGGCCAGCAGGGTTTTTTTTCTTCGGTATCTGCGTGAAAAATGCCATAAAAAATGAATGCTGACCCAGGCAGCTGAACACGAGGAGTGGGCCACAAAATGGGGGACAGGAACATGCTCACTATATTTTTGTTTATTGCACATAGCCTCCTTCCTCGTCCTCATCCACTTCCTTCCTCCTTCCGAGCAAAACTTGCGCTTCAAGTTTATTAGCACAGCAGAGTTTGCACTGTGCCCTCCGCTTTCCCCGCCTCCTTTAAGCCATTCCTCTGGCAAAAGGCCAAAAATTCCGAGAACTCGCTCGGCTCGATTCAAAATCGATTGAGTAGCCCGGGGGGGACATTTGGCCAGGGGGAATGCACGAAGACCCCTTTGAAGTTAATTGTTTGAAAGCTGCAACCGAAGTTTTGAGAACTGTCGATGATGTGCCAAAGCGAAAGTTGGCCCGTCATCGAGGACCGTAACACATGATAGCCAAGCCATAAAACTCATTTCAGTTTTTTGGGGTATTAAAAGAGAGACATAAGTTGGCCATAACACTTTGCGAGAAAAAGTCATGAAAATTCGAGATAGTTTCAAAGTTTTTCGCAATACGTGTGTTGACAATTTTGCTTTAAAAGACGTTGGCCAAGATGGGAATTTTTATTATAGCAATTTTCAGAGGACATTATTTGAACCATTTGGCAAACTCTAAAGGAAGAGTACACAATTTTCAAAGAACATTTAAGACTAACCATTTTTTAGAAAATCTGCAGGTATAGTGAAAGAAAATATTGAACCCCTTGTAATTTCTTCCGTTTTTGTGTCCACTTTTAATTGCAGCAAAAGCCGCAACAAAAATCCAAGCCGTCTTTCGGGGACACAAAGTGAGAGAAACCATGAAAAAATCGGAAACCAAAACTGCGACCAACAACGGCAGTGCCGCCGGAGCTGCCCCATCCTCCGCAGCCGCCGAGGCAGCCGCATCCGCAGAGCCAACCAAAGCCGAGCTGGAGGCTGAATTCGATCCCAACGACAAGGGTAAGTGGAAGTTCCAGTGCGGTGGCTGGGATCCAAGATCTTATCGTAACCGAAAGCGCTATACACTGATAAAAACTTGTCTGATGTCCGGAAAAAATAGATTGTTACAACAAGAAAAAGTTAACTTAACTTGAAGTAGAAGTTTTACATTATCATTTAACTCTGTAAAGCCAAGAGGTTTTGTTTATTTCGTAAATTCTAATTAAAATGTTTTTCTGAGTGCCTCCATGCTGAACCAAAGAAACTTTCTCGAAAATCGTCTTTGAAGTTCCCGAGCTACAATCCCAGCTGATCCCACCGAGCCGTGTAGACGCCCCTGCACACATTGTCGTCGAATCAGCGGGCTTACACAACTTCGGCTTCCAGTTGGGGATACAAGCTGAAATTACAGCTGCCCCCGCCCGAGCCGCCAACCGAAATACAAACTTTCCGTGTTACGCAATACACGAGTATTTCCAGCAAAAATATTTGTCACTCGGCGGCGACAATGGGGAAAGTTTCTGCCAGCCCGCCTGCGAGTGATGGGGTTTTGGGGAAGTTCTGGCGGTGTCAGCCATTGGTTATTTAATCACTGCCCCAACAGATCCGCCACGCTCATAAATAAGGAAAATCTTGAAGACAGCTTAACCCTATTAAGACGCTTCAGGCGCTGACAGTTTTCAGCTATAATTTGCCTAGGGCAAAATGGGTCGAGGGCAGGGCCCGTCGAGGAGGAAGTCCTCCCCGGCTCATTAAAAAGTCAGAGGCTGTCATCGGGGCGTATACGCAACCGCATTAGGGACCCGCGCTCCTCAGCCAGACAACGGCTGCCATTGCGAGAGCTCACGTGTGAGCCGCCTCCATAGGCTTAATTATAGTGCCTGCCGAGCGGGTCTCGGAAGGCGGATCCTTCTTATGCGGCCTGCCATTCATACGTACGTTTGTGCGGCGGCTAATTAGACTCGCCTGAGAGCTCAAAGGATGCGAGGAGCGTGTGGAGGACCGCTCTCCTCTGTGACCAAGCACATACTCAATTAGAGGCGTTGAATGGAACGGGCGTGAACGAACCCGAACCCGGCGCTTGCCGGGGTAAGTTAATTTTAAAACTTTGACCGGGCAAGTCAGAGCTGTCTCATAAATCTCAGCAGATCCAGTGGCGGCTTTCATAAGTTCCATTATTCAAATGCATAATCAGAACTGTGGCACAAATGTCTAGACTTTTAGGGGTGGCAAAGAAAATAAGTATTTTTATTAACGATTCCCCTTGCAAAACTCAAAGCGGAGTAAGACCATAAAATTTAAGAGTTGCACAATCTGCTTCCTGAACTCGCTGTACTGCACAATTAGATCCACTTCACGGCCTTATCCCACATTTAACCAACATCGCAGACACGCCCGGCTTATCCGAGGAAAAGCAGTTAGAACTTCATCATTATTCACAGTTATCGCCCGCAGGCGGCCAACACGAAAAGCTAATGGTGTTGGCCTAGTTGTAAACTCGCCGTCGGCGTATTGCGAAATTGTAAAACAATAAAAACAACGACCACAAAGGGCTTTGTTTAGTGGAGGGTACAAAAAAAAACTGAGGCTCACATATGGCCGAGCGAAAGCAATTTTTGAGCCCAAAACTGCGATTTAGCCCATTTGGTATGCAAATGCGAGCAGACACATGCACGTACGCACACAAAAGGACACTCTGCATGTGCACGAAAAACGAAATCGAATGCCATTTAAGGATATTTTCTTGTACGTGTGTGCATTTCGCATTTGGCCTGGCTTTTTGAGTTACAACCCTTGCCTTTGTGCGAAAAATAGAAAGGATAGACCTCCGGGAGCCACAGACACGACTCACCTACGCATTTGGGCTAATGCCTTGCTGTCCAATTTGTTTTGTGCCTGTGGCTGGTTTGGCCCCAATTCTGTTTGCATAATGGCGCTCTCACTAATTATTGTTTATGGCACTTAGTCCCAGTTCGAAACACTGCGCCAAAGTCCTCCCCAAAAGTCTACGGTAATTGAACTGCATCCGGATGGTTGTCTGCGTTATTTGTTGGCGGATTTCATTCGATTAAGATGAATTATGAGCGAACATTGGGCTTAGTTTGTCCAATTTGCTGGAAATTCGATACATGTTATTGCCTGGGAAACTAATTGGATGTGCGGCGGGGTTTGTTTATGAATATCAAAAACCCTCAACGAATTTTATAATTAAAGTTTGTTTAGGTTGTTAAAGTTGCAGTTATATTATATAAAAACTTTATAGCATGCTCTTTGTAAAGCGTTACTAAATCGTTCTTCCATAATCCTGAGTGTAAGTTAGGCTTCTCGCAGTCTTGAGGCTATCAAGAGCATGACCATAAATTCATGTGTCATTTTTAAGGAGCTTTCGTGATGTTGCTGTTAGTTCTCCCGGCAGCAACATGAACAGCAGCAACATCAACTACATCAGCAACTGCGATAAAACAGCAGCGCAGCGCGTTCTCCTAATTGGATTTTCGGTTTTAAGCAAGCTTGTAATTCCATTTACACCGCCGGGAGACCCACAAAAAACCAACAATGTCAGGCCAAGCCATTTAAGTATAATGTTAAGTGCTCCGGCTGTTCTCTTGTCGGGCGAACAAAAAGGCGGATCCAAAAAAAATGCGGAAAAAGAGAAACAAAAAGGAGGAACGACAACATTGACATGAAACACGCAATAAGCAGCGAGTCGGCTAAAAACAATGCTTCAGCCGCTGAATTGGCGATTTTTTGCCTGCCCCAAGAAACCCCCGCATACGTTTATACAAGAACATATGTATGTATATACATATATAGATACATATATACAGGTGTCCCGCAAAGCAGGCCAAAATAGACAAGAAATGTAGGACCACAATGTGCCTGTGTATATGGGTTTCTCGGGTGACAGGTGGAGGTCAGGTATTTATTTAGCCACCGTTAAGCGTTTAGCAAGCGCCGACTTTGTTGGTCCCCTTAAATATTTCAACAATGCTAGCACCTTTTCATGAATTCGCCTGCTGGGCCTTTATCAAACGTGTTTATTGAGGCTCTAATAACATTCGCCTGGTTAATATTTAATTGCTGGCTTGAATACGATTTTCTTTGCTTGTCAAGACATGCAAATTTCGCCTCCGGCCCAGGGAAAACAATTAATGAGGTCACAAATTAAAATATGGCTGTGTTAATAGGTGGGTATTTCACGAATTCAAAACTGTGCTGCGCTAATTTCAGCTTCAATCCGTTGCATAATTAAACCATCGTGTTAATCCAGTTAATTACGGCCAGGATTTACTTAAAATCCAGCAAAGTTTTAATGAGTTTCACAGCCAGGTTGGGCCATATTGTATGTATAATAAGCCTTAATCAGCTTTTGTGCACAGGATTAATATTAATTAAAGTTCTGTTTGAATTTCTCGGCAGAGCATCATCTGCGAGCATTTGACTAAGATATAGACAAATTTGCCAAAATCCGGAACCGTACACAGGAGAGAAACCAATAAGTATTTCTCAACGGGCGACTGTTTGTCCTTCCACAAGATTTATTTGCTCCAATAACAGCTCCATGGAAATGAGAAAACCCAAGGAGGCAGGAGTCCAAAGTGGGCCAAAACTGAGCAGTGCGGTGGACAAACCACAAGACTTTGTTCTGTCGGAAATTGAAAAATGGGCTTAGTCTTATGACTGTTGGGTCATGGGCAAGAAGCAAAAGTAGATGGCCGAAAGTACGTGGCCAAAATGGAATGACAAAATCTTTGCAACCGCAAAAGCTCCTTTCGCTTGCGTAGGGAAACGTTTGAGTTGGAAATTCTATTTAGCGGCTTATTATCGTGCATCATTTGTCACAATTTGTCGTTCTTTGCAACTGCCCCCAAAAGTAGGCCAAATGTAGTTAAAGGTGAACATTGCGTCGGTAGTTTGAATTTCACAGGCCATTTGGCATGACTAGCATGATGGCAATCACCTGTGCTTGGCTATTAAAGTGCATATTTATGACATCGAATTAACATGGTAATTATGACATCGACTCAACGATGATAAACAAGGAACTCAGCACACTCTCTGTCACAAAATCAAGCAAATATTTCCGGAAATTTTGATAAAAGGGTATTTAAAGTAATTTCGACTTTTACTTTTTTTCTAAGGTATTCACTGGAAAACTTGTCATTACTCTCTTTTTAAATGTTTCTAGTTTTGCTAGAAGTATTTATAAAACGTTAAATTTTTCGAACCGAGTCGAGAGGAGAACATTACCCAAAATGCCTGGTCAGTACACAAACTACAGGTTCACCCGAGGGACGATGGTTATTCTGCGCTGCCTTTGGGCAATCCTATATCTCTGGGGAATGCTTCACGCGGCTGCCATAATACCGATTCCAAACGAGCGTTGGGAGTCAAAGCTCTGGACCAAGAAACTCAGATATGAGCTCAAATACCATACCCTCTTCGACCTCGACGGGAAGACGGAGGTCTACGTTTTGGTTCTGGTTGTGGTGCTGCTATATGGGCTGTACCACAGCTGCCGTTGCAGCTTCGTTGGAGCTCGATATTTGGAGGGGAGAGTGGACAAGCCTCATCTGGACTACCGCCTCTTGGTCTTCAAGGTTCCCTACCTGGTTGCCTTCGTCTTTTCCTGGGTGTTCAGCACTGGATTGACGGTGTGCGGAGCACTACTCGTAGCTCTACGGGATCAGAGTGGCCATACCCATGTGCTCTGCTGTCAATTCGCCATGGCCATTCTCTTTAAGCTCCTGGTCTTGGCCAATTTCTACTCGGTCTGTGTGCGCACTTGGGCCTACTTGAAGATGTTCGAGGCGGAGACGGACGAGCATATGCTGAACTACCAGAACTTCGGCGACCACTTGAACTTATTCTTTCGCGTTTGAGGAGGTAAAACTAAGTTTGTACCCTCTATTGCTACCTTCGGAGAAAATAAAGATCGTCTAAAAACCGGTTGACTATATTATAGTCATAGGAAAACCATTCATAAACTAATAAATCATAAAGCTGTCATAGGAACAATAGATGAAAATATAAAACACTAATGGAAAATTTGTCATTGATTCGATGATGATAAGCCCTTATGCCTTTTGTTCGACAATTGTGAAGACTGAAAGGGTATATAAGCTTCGACTCTCGAGGCTATCTTCATTTCTTGTTGTTTATTATTTGTGACACAATTACTAAGCACACGTCACGGATTTGCACTTTCGCTAATGGAACTCACACACACTCGCCAGCCACTGCCATATATCATAGACCCGCTTTGTTTTTATTTTCCTCTGTTTTAATATAAATTTGCATTGTGCGGGAATGTGGGTCAAGAGCGTTGAGTCCCACACAGACAGGCAAATACGGCGAGAAGCGACACACGTGTGCTGCAGTTTCGCAGTTGTCCCCACTCAATATTCGCAATATTCGCAATAAAGGGAAGCGAAGGCCGGGCGCAAGCAAAGTGCAGGTGATGTGGCTTATGATTGATTCCATATCCTTTGAGGATTACCGCTCAATGGAAGCTGAAAATTGGGTTATTTAAACCGAAAAAGAATTGCCTGAATTGAAAGAAATGCTCGAGAGCATAGCGACAGGCATGCAAATTAAGCAAGCTCCTGGGAGAGCGAAAAGCGGCCAGCGTGTTAGTCAGTCAATCAGTGGGACGTGACCGATTGGCCCGGACTCCGTACATGCAAATCAAATCCCTGGGCGCACATCAGCCCAGGTGCCCAGCCCCGCCCAGTGCCAACCGCCCCCGGAAGTGCATGCTAGGCCCAACGGCGGCACTGACATTTTGCCAGAAAGAAAGCAAACTCAATTTGTATGCCTCGCCAGCGGACAGGACATCAGGACACCGAGCAGATAGCAGGACGAAGCCTGGAGCGAGCAGAAAAAGCAACATGCATGCAGCCTGCTGACAAGTTTTCAGACACTGTAGCTTAGATTTGGGACTTATGCGGTCCTGTGACAGGACACGCAGGCTACGTGATCGGCTTTTAACATGTGTTGCATGGCCGGCGACATGTGCAAATCTCTCGGAAGAAACTTTGCACTAAGAAAAAGCAGAACATAATAATTGGACGACTTTAGAAACTTCTAGTGTGATACCTTTCTCCTTTTCGAGTAATTTGTATACTTTTCGGAATAGAGCAAGGAGCGAACCAAGTGTAAATACTTTAAGCTTGAATTTATATCATATCTTTAACCAAAGTTCAGTCAGATTTTCTGTTTGTGTATGGTTTGGCAGGGCTTTCAGCCGAATAAGGTAACAAAACAGAGAGCGAATTTTCCCACAGGTGCAAGAAAAAACTGGAAAAGAGTGAGGGGCGAATTCTATTTGCAGCACAGCCGAGAGCATGTTGATTACTGACCGAACAGCTCAGCTCGACTAAGTCGGGCTAACTAGCTGGCCCATCGGTCCTGAGCCCCTGTAAATGTCACAGCACGGCTGCTGGCGGTATACAGCTATTTGCACGTCTTGCAGATATTTTTAAATATTTTATAAATAAACATAAATGCAGCAGCGCCAAATGGCACGTGCCTTTCGGTCGGGTCACGTTGCTTAGCCGCCGTGTGTGCGTAATTTGATAAAATAGCACATGCCATAAGTCCTGGGAATGGACCTTTTCCCCTCTGCCAAATGCTTATCTTGGCCTAACTTCAATTACTTTTGGCGAATTAACACAAACCCACTTTTCCCCGCCCTCTGAAAATGTTTGCATGGCCAAGTGGGCTAACTTTGCCCGCAGGCGAACGCGCGATTTCGTAGCGGAAATTGGCCAAGTACAATGTATGCACTTTTGCAGCAAAATCTCAACAAAAAAGCAAAATTTCCAAATGAGAGTTTTCTCAGAATTTGCATAAATGCACAAGAGCAATGGGAGAGATGACAAAATGGGAAAGCGACAGCTGCAATGATGTAATCTTGCGGCTGACAACGTAGAAAAAGCGCGTTTTTGCAAGTCTCCTTAAATGCTATGCATATTTTAATGGTTTATTCCTGCGGCCTGAAGCACACGTATTTCCTGGGCGTTTTTACACAATTACTGGCTAATTAGACTGAGCTTTTGCCGGGGAAAACTGAGTTAAGGTTGCACGTAGAGAGACGCACGCGTGACTTAACCACAACCACATGCATCCTGGCCAGCTGCGAGCTTAATTTGTGGTCAGTCCTCATCCATCCACTCGTACAGCTCGTCCCCGACGGTCGGGATTATATATGCAGGATATATGCGTCCCGCTGTGCCCACCACTGCGTATACGTAATGAGATTAGCCGGGGAAAACGTGGTCGAATCCAGCGAGTACTAAACACTCTGAACAGCGATGGGGGAATAATTCGCTTCGTGATTTCGATTATTTCCCTTTTTTACAAGCAATCTGGGATCCCTGGAAAATGATGGCCAGTGTTGGGCCATAAAATACGAAGCGGCCGTCAGATAGGGAATTTAATAGTTTGGGGGAAACAGTAACAATAAATTTAAGCGAAGCCATACGAACTCAGTTGAAGCCAGCGCGAGGACCGCAGCTAATTGAAAAAAGTTTACAACAATACAGAAAACAATGTTTGAGTATCATCTAAGGTTTCAATTGGCCGAGGAACACCAGACAAGTTCAAAACTACATTTTTCTTCTTTGTTTTTCGTGGTGTTGGCCAAGTGGCCACTTTAGCGGAACTAGAGCACTAATTTACACAAACTATCCTTCTTTCTCCCCTTCTCTCCAGATCTGTGCCATGCTGCATTGAAGATTCAGTCCACCTTCCGGGGTCACTTGGCACGCAAGCTGGTCAACAAGGATGCGCCCGAGGACGAGGACATCCAGGAGATAACTAAGAAGGTGGCCGAGGAGCTGGACATAGATTTAACCGATCCCGAGCTCAACAAGGCAGCTACCAAAATTCAGGCCTCGTTCCGCGGCCACAAGACCCGCAAGGATGCCAATCCCGAGTAAGGAGCTACGGCGGTTGAATTTTGTTGGTCCTGGCTGGGCAAGTCACAGATGAAGCTTAACTAATGCAAATGCAATGCAGTGAATAAAAAATTTGGTAATTGTAAATGTGTAAAAGGCCAATCAAGATGAGGGCACACAATTGTAAACTTTTTAGTGAATATGTTTTAGACCGAATGGTAAGACCCCAATGATTCTCATAATATTTACATAAATTAAGTCGAAAGGCAAGTTACGTATTATTTGCGAAGCTTTAATAAACTTAAAGAAGAGATCTCATTTTGCGAATGATGATGAGCAGTTAGACGATATTTACGGAAATATATTTGCGGCTTGTCTTGTTTAATTACTAATCTTTAGAATCGTAAAATTGCGTTAGTTACTGTTTAATTAAATGTTATTATGTTTTTGAAAATTTCAATTAATCCCAAGAACAGTAACTAAACCTAACAATTTAATAAACTAAAGTTAAATTTCCAAAAAAAAAAAAAACCTAATGTTACAAAAGATAAATAAAAGGCACGATGTTCCATAAAATTTATTGTAGGAAAATGCGAAACCAAACAAAAGACAAATGCAAGGAAAATGCTGAACAATTTTTGGGAAATCATTTCCATTTTGTCTGGCCAATGCCAAAAGTAAAAAATTAATTGTACCTACAAGCGTATGAACATGAAGATTAAACCAAAGAAACTCAATGTTGTTTCAGATTAAGGAAAATTAGGGGTACCCAAGCAACATGAAGCAGCTTCGAGACGTCAACTCAACAATTTTTCAGCCCCCGGGCTCTATATAACTGATAAACCAATGAACATGAAGATAACTAATCTGGTGGCACAATTTTTGTTTTTCTACCAAGTGTATTACATATTTGTCTACTTAACAATTGATCCCCGAAGGGAAACTGAAATACACATATATATATACCTATACAAAAAACAAAGACATGTATTAGAGAGAGTTGAATTGGAAAATATTTTTTTTCAGCCACGGCTGGGAGAATTGTTACCATGTGGGCAACAAAGGCCTCTAAAGAAATATTTAAAATTCAAATCAATTAACTACAAAGAATTAATAACAAGCTAATGAACATAATTGAACTTATATTAGAGATCAAAGTCAAATTCAAATAAATTGCATAAAATATTACATTTAAAAGCAAATGGGTAACACCAGTTATATGTGGATAAATGAAAGGAAAACAGAATATGAAAGCAAACCATATACAAGCCGAACAAACAAAGCAAGAATGTCCCAACTAAATTTTAATTGAGTAATAAAATAAATACAACAAAGATGAGAGCTCTTTTTCTTTTCCATTGCTGAGTGACAGGTGGGTGATAAAAATAATGATGTTTTTGCAACACTCTTTCCAAAAGTAAGCACTTAATCTTTATGGCATCGTCACATAAACAAAATCATTTGCTAGCCAGTTTGGCATTAGTCCTCGACCATTCCCAACTACTCACTGCACATGGCCAACATTTAACGATTTTTTTGCCACCTCAAGAGTCGGGGAACTTCTCCCCGAAAACAAAGGCTTCCTGCGGCGGTGGTGCTGCCACTGTAACTGTCAGTCGTCAAGGACATTTGAACATTTTAAAGGATGGTGGTCCGAAAATACTCGAATCCCTGCCGAGTTTTCCAGCAATTTCGTGGCTGCCATGTAAGTATTCCACAGAGTTCTTGCACATTCTGCTGATGGGTCAGAAACCATTCTTTTCAGGTGAGTTGTGGCCACAGTTTTTTGAGGTTCTGGACCCACTGTGCGGCGACTGACATGAACTTCAGTGACAGTTTTAGCACGAGAAATTTTCATGACAATGACGTTGATGTGGCTGACTCTGACAATACTTGACCTAGATGGGCCTGTGTGAATTTTGTAGTGGAGGTAAGTCCCGGGCACTTGAGACGTCAGAGGACCAGTAAAGGGACTTTCAGCGCATTATCCTTTGCACCGGTGCTTACAGTTTGCTTACAGTTGGCAGGCACCGTCAAAGGCTGCAAATATTTGAGTTCGCCCCCCAAGGAGATGTGAAACATAGCGAAGCGGAAAATTCTCGCCGAAATTTTCCCCGAATCCGCGGGGAGTGCATCATCAGAATTTTGGGGAAAGTGTAGGTGTGACTTTCGGATTGAACTTGCCAGCAAAAGGACAGCGAGATGGCGCGCCAAATTTGCATTCCATTGCATGGTGCATGTCAATTGGGAATCCCCAGTCCTCTGGCGCACCGCATGGATGTTCTAAAGTGCTCCGGAGCATTCGGTTAACTGCTTTTTCTGTCTCTTTTTTGCTGCGACATCGCTTCACGGTCCGCAAATGTTTCACCCGTTGAATTTATGCGTGGAAGCCATGTCGGCGGTGCAACGTGGCGTATGCGCAATTTATGAGGCTTTCAAAACAAAGCGTTGTGCAAGTGAACAGCAACACCGAGCAGAGGAGCATAAATGGAGCAATCGCTGGTGCACCGAGTGCCCTGAACGGGAAACAAATGTCAGTTTAATAGTTCTTCGCAGCGCGCCTTTGACGAGAGCTAAATTTATTGCAGTAACCACTTTATTTGTGTGTTGGGCATAAAAAAGAGTGTGGTAGAAGGTTTCGCTTTCCCAGCTTTTTTGCTCATAAAAACCCCTGACAATTCCATTCAGTCGCTGCTCCGGCACGTTTATCGCACATTTGCAGTGGCACCCACATCAACTTTCAATTTCTAAAAACCTCTTTCGCGCGGTGACAGCCACCAGCAGGCAATGCCGCAAAATCCGTGCCAAATAAGCAACAGCATCCAAATCGCCGCCACCGGATGCCACGCCCACCGGATTCCGCCGCCGCATCTGCTTTAGCTGCTAAAGCTCGCACCTTTTGTGCAGATTTCCACCGCAAAATGTACCACCGAGAAGGAATTCCTTGCCAACTCCGGGTGTTTCCAAAATAGTTAATAGTTACGGTCATTGCCGCCAGTAACTGTCACTTTCGGTGTGTTACTTAAACTTAAACTAAAACTATTTGCGAGCTTAAATTGTATATGACATCCGTGTTCATTGCTATAATGTTAGCTGTTTAATGTTTAGTGTTTAGTTTAGTAAAATAAATGTTTAAATTTTAAAGCTTAATAAGCAATGGAAAGGTTAAAGATCTTTTTCAGCTAAGTTTGGAAACGAAACATATTTTTGCCATAAGACAAATGTCACGTCCTCAGGCTTGTAATTTGTTGGCCAAGTGCCATGACTTTCCCTTCCTTCTGCATAACGGCTGTTCGTATATAAGTTGTTTTTCATTTTCCACCCGAATGTTTTTTTCACATTGATTGTTGCGGTTTATTGTGACAAGCGTCCGATATAACTGTTTTGTTTTATTTATCGTTTATGTTTCCCATTTTGATCTTAGACAATAATGAATTAGTGTTTGGTTAAACAATTACGTTCTCTATTTAAAATTGTGACTACATCAAACAAAAATCTAAAAAAAAAACTATAATTGTTTAGTTTAAAAATCAAGTCAAGAAGAATATTCTTTATCTGCTTTGTTGTACAAGTAACTCTTGGTTACCCCTTGGGTGAGAAATCAGTATCTAAGCTGCTTAGATTTCTTTACACACATTTTATTTAGTGGAGTGTAGCCCTTTGGACACCCATTAGCCTCCATGTCCTTTGAAGAGTCTTTAGGATTTTCTGGGAAATATCCAGTCATTATTTGACTCAATTTAACACACTGTTTTAATTCTGGAAACCACGACCGGCCAGCTAAAAAGGTTCAGCTACTAATATTACTTGTATTTTATAAGGCTGTAGTTGAGAAATTACGTACGTTTACATTGACTTGGCGGTCCTGTAGGCGGTGATGGTTCACATTTTCCGTTTTTCGGACTAACAATAAAACCATCTTGGCATTGCTGACACCAGATGATATTAAAAAAACTTAAAGCAAGCAGAAAATAAAAATTGCCTTGATCCATGAGAAATTTAAAGTTCAACTAAAAGTTTGGTCTGACAGATATTGTGGGTCTACAAATTGGATTGGATATGGTGAGTTTTCCAGAACGAAAAAAATTATTTATATTTATTAAATAATTGCATCGAGTTAATATCTGTTTGTTTCTAACCTATATTTCTATATATGTATCTAATCACAAACAGATGAAAATCGAAGTTTCATCAAGTCCGTCAGGAACTATTTTGTTACTAGGAAGTATTGTCAATCATATTTTTTTTCCAGCTACACCCACATCAAATTGTATGTCATTTTATTTAATTATCCGCTGAAACGGGGCTGCAAATGTATGTAAGAGACATATGCAATCAAGGTGGGAGGTTTTCATTTGGCATGGCGATATAACTACCTGTCTGTAATTACTTTCACTCAACCCACAACGGAACGAGGCGGTAAATTTAATTTACCGCTCTATTATCCAATTTGCACACGGCAGACGGAAATTCACAGATAATAATAATAAAACTAAACCGTGGAAAAAATCAATACACATTTAAGAATTTTTCATGCAAACGTTCTGCCGACTGCGGGAATTTTGACAGGCAATCTTGATTATATTTTGTTGCACAGCTCGCCAGTTTATATTTATTATTGTGCTGCCTGAATGAATAAATGAAATGAAAATTTGTGTTCTTCCAATGGGCATTGACTGGTCAGCAAACAACAAATAATAGTTGTGTTTGTTTTTCATTCACTGCGGAAACAGCTAAAAATGAAGTGGCTTCAATGATTAATGAAAACTTTCGGGAAAAGAACCCTTTTCTACCTTCGATTTTGGAGACGCATCTTGAACTTTGCAAGAGTTTTGATTGGGGTACAAATTGTTGTCCATTTTGTATCAAATCGATTTAATATAACTCTGATTTAAAAGGCCCAAACGGTTTGCCAACACCAGTTTCTTTTGAAAAATTTCACCCCAACCCAACAGAATGGCATTTAATTTTTCATTTTTTTCCTCTTTTCATTTGTCTGGAAATCCTTTTACTGCTGTGAAGTTTATAAATTGTGCTGGGTGGTCGTATTCCTGGCTTAACCTAAAAATTAGTTGTCATTACTTTTAATAGTCTCGCCTCACCTTTTTTATAGTTATTAATGCTGCAGACCCTAATGGGTCTTTTGGGTTCATTAAGTCTGATAGCGCTGAGGTCCATTGTCTGACTATGAGCCGAGGTAATATTTTATACACTTTTTGTGAATGGATTCCGCCGCTTGCCCAAAGGACATTTACTCTATCCACAGACGGCTTTGAAAATCATAATCGATACTACAATCATAGGAGAAAGTTCCAATTGGAGTAAGCCACTTTCCATTTTTGTGCCCACCCACCACAACTTATTGATTAGCCAAGGTTTGGGTCTCCAGCTGCGGGGCAATTGTCACACAACTGCCAGGTTCTTTCGCTCCACAGGGAATAGTCCGAAAGGAAAATGACAAATTACTGCGCCACCACACCTGTGGCAATCGAAGTGGCAAAAATGGAAACTTTACCACGAACACATTATTGGCCGCAGGCCCATTTAATAATTGCGTTCTATGATGAAGAGAGGTTACTTAATGTAACAATTTGTTGTTTAAAAACCAAAGCTCTGAAGCTTGTAAGCTCCTATGTTGCCAGTTAATACCTAACCAAACAGTTCTACTTATAGCCAAGTAAAGCCTTCGTCAATCGTAACTTTTCCGTTAATTTATTAAACCCAGTTTGTAGCACTTATTTGCCTTTTTATTTCATAGCTTATGAGACCTATTGCTAAGTTTTCTGAACCCCGCCCTTAAGCCTTCTAAGTTTTGCTGGTTTTATATTTAATTCACCTTTTTGTAAAATAGTGATACATGGTGTGCATTTCAACAAAGTCTACTACGTCAGCGGAGCGTATACATAACATTGTAACCCTTATAAACTTAGCTATACCCGCAAAATCTCAATGCCTTTTTTTTAGAATTTTTTTAAAATTTACTCGTAAGATTCAACCTGTTTTTTTTCATTTATCTACATACTTTTCTGGACGCCTTGAAAATGCTTCAACCCCATCGAAGTGGCGAGTTTATAATACCCAAGCCTTTAAAGACATTTCTTGTCTTTTTTGAGATTCCTAATCCTTACGGAATTCGTATATAAACACCTTTACAGCGAGAAAACAACTTAAACACCGCTTAATGGGTCTCAGCGAGGCTCGACGAAAGTCAATTCAATTTGCATAATTTCCATATTAATAGCACTGGATGGTGCCACAAAAGAGAGACAGAACCCAACCGATGGAAGTGTCACTCTTCCTGGATCTCTGTCTCTGTCTGTCCCGCAGACGTTCTGGATGTATCCTGGGTATCCCTCTCTCTTTCGATGGACCGTCGTGTAGCCATGGGCTCGCTGTTTATGACAGCTGTGATTGAGGCCATCATTGACCGCGTTAGCTGCTCGCTGGAAATGGCCAGTTGGCGGTACAATCGCAATCTCCTGGCTTGTCCTCTCGCTAATGGGTGCAATTGTGCTCTATGAGAAATTAGTGGATACACAAGGAAAAATGCCTGGCGATTTATGGTTCGTTCTGTTTTTTCTATGAAACCCATTACTGAGAAAACAATTATCAAGATAGTCTCTTTAAATTTAATTTTAGAAATCGTTATTTTTTCTGTGCCCCGCACCACTAAGCGAAAAATCTCCTAGACGTCTCGCCAAGTCCTCCGCTCATGAATATGACTTTTGAGCCCCGTCTAATAAGCTGACAAATTGGGATGCAGGTCATAAATCCACACAGATGGCTCGGCATCTACATTGTGCACGTTTGAAGGATAATAAAGCAATCTGTGGGAAATCAGGCCGACAAACTACTTGGCACCTCCTTGCTCCTTCGGCAGAACAATCTTGTAGCTGCAGTCAGGAGTGCTGACACACAGGCTCACCTATGACAAACATGTCTTATCAACGTTTATGGCACTTTTATGGGGCGTTGGCACACTCACGTGCCCGTTAAACTTTGGCGTGAGTTCGACGAAATTCATTGGAGCGCAAAATGGAGCAATAATCCTGGCAAAGTTTGCAGGTAAAAGTGCGAAGGCGAACGGAAGTACCTGCATAGCAAACAGTTAAGGCCTCGCAAACTGTGTTCTTTTCTCCTCGTATATTTAATTTTACTGGACATTGAATTATTCTCTCTCTTTATAAATATCAGCCTTTAGTCTGATTCTACCTTTGACCCCTCAGCTCGCTAATAGCATCAGTATCATCAGGATTATTTACGATGATGCTGCACAGCTGAGTTCTGTTGGGAATAAAAAGTGCTATGTTCAACATACATCAAGGCTGGGCGGCAAAAAACGTTAATACATTTCAAGAAACAGGGTGCTTGTATAAAACTACTACATTTTAGTTAATATATACGTGCCTCAACTCATGAAAACACGTTTCCACTATAATTACAAATCGGCTGGCACTTATATACCCCCTAAAAGCCTTTAAATATTCATTAACAGATTACCCTGTTACTGCCATTTTCAATTGCCCTGCTATCATTTCTCATGGCCGGGAAACATTGCAGAACTTTTAAATATTTCATAGAGTAAATAATTTGATTGAGAATCGACACTGGCGAGAGATATTTTGTATTCAGTTTTAAGTTGAAATTGTATGTCAGGTGGATATTTCCCTTAGCGGCAGGCCTAATGAACTGGATACTGCTATGTACAAGAGTCTCTTTAATTTCCTCATCGGACTGACCATCGTCTCCTACAGGCATTTATGGCTTTATCCGGTAATCAATGTAATAATTGCCAAGTGCTTTGATTACTGTGCTGTTGCATTTTGGCCAAGCGGAACCGTTGCTTTAATTATGTGAAGCCGTCCACTAATGAGTCGCCTAGCCCGTCGATGGAGATGGGTCCTAATTAGTTCGTTGGTTGCTAGGTGGGAACTCTCGGACGCAGCCGTTCGACGAGGTCAAATGGAGCTAAAGCGTAAGCGAAAGGTTAACGGTTGGCAAACGATGGTCATTAGGGCAGATCCAGTCGACTGCGGATGAAGAAAAAATATCTGATCGAGCTAATGCCAAATCGACCAACTCACGTTGTTAACCTCTCAATCCGGGCTTGTGGTTTCTAATTAAGCACTATTTCAGCATTAAGAAAATCAAAATAATATCATACATACATTCATGAATGACTGCTTTAATGCTTCCTTAACATTTTATTCTAGTTTTGTAGAGTCTCAGAGTTTTTGAGTTACATTGTGTTTACCAAACAATTTTTCTTCTTACCCCATTAAAGGACAAAATACTTTTATCCTTAGCGTAACTAAGTCTCCCACGTGCACACTTATCTCACGTAATCGTATGTAAATCTAACTGAAGACCTATTGCATAACTTGTCACAAATTCGTCGGCAATCTGAACAAATGCCGCCTGCTTATGCTAATGTCTTTCTCATGCCCCGAGGCGAGACTCAGACAGATAACCGCAGTCAGAAACGCCAGTTGTTACCTGAGGCGACACCGAAACTGAAAGCCAGCCGTCGCGAATCTGACGCAATGCAAGACAAAGGTCAAACGTCAAGCAGGAAATATGCTAAATATGCATAGGGCCATTGAGCGACAGGAGGAAAGGGGTAGGAAATCGGAACTTTGTTTGCGCAACAGCGAACTCTAAGCCGAGCTATACGCTTCCGGTCAATAAGATCAGGTAGATTAGTATAGCTTGGGATGGGGTAACCTAGCTAGCTAGACTCCGGAGGCAACCGAAGGTGCAAACAAGAAAACTAATTGAATTTATGCTAATTAGCCCACCGTGCATGCAGCGTTAATTATGGCAGCCTCGGCATACGGGGCGTATGCGTGATGCAAATGAAATTCTAATCAATTGCTCGGCAAATTTGCATAATGGCCATGAAGTCGGCCCAGCCAGAGCAACTGGAGCAGGCCAACACACATTATCAATCACTAATCGATGAAATCGATAAGGTTAAAAGTAAACACGCAAAAGGAGGTAGAGCAGAGCCCATTTCCCCCACATTTTCTATCTAATTAGACAAAGCGTTGTCTCTCCTCCGTGTCTAGTTACGAATTCATCGGGTTTCGGGTTGATTGATTCGCCGCCATATACTGCGCTTTTGACTGCAGTTTTGGGTTTGCAACCCTCTTCTCCTCCTCTCATTGTCGCCCTGTGGGAACCCTTCAATCATTTTTATTTCATGATTTATTCATCTAGACACTCGAAATGCTTTTCGCTCGGTTGGATCTGCGGCAGCCGCAACATTTTAATGGCATTTTTAGCCAGCAAAGTGCGCATATGGTTATATCCTTATCTGCCGACTCGGGACCGGGAACAGTTGCCAATTTTTATATCCCGTGCTATAGCATCGCGTTTTCTGGGGACTTTTAAAAAGTTGCCCATCTTTAATTGTAATTGCAATTTTATGTTGCCATTTTTTCTGTCCTCTCGACAACCCACAGCAGTAGGCAGTGGAATTGAATGTTAGCGAAATCATTTTTAAAGAGGCCTCAGGTGTTTGCGAGGTACACATCCTGAAACGATGTCCTTTTTTCAGAAAAGCTAGGTCAAATTTAAAGGGAAACACTACATGTGTGCTTGTATCTGTAAAGCAGGTTTGAAAAAAAAGCGCCGTTTATAAGCTTCGTAGAGATATTATTATTCATTATACGATTTCGCCTTGCGTCCCTATATCGACCACTACAAAATCCCCCTCCAAACTTGACCTATCAAGTTATCCAACAATTCCTCTCAACTTAACTCAAGAAGCTACCAAGTAATATATTAAGTGATGGGAACAGTGGAAATGAAATACAGATGTAAGTGTAAGTGCTCAAATGTTAATATACCACTCACTCAAAACTGAGCCAACAACCTTGCCATGGCAGGCAACTGGTAACCTAAAGACCTAAATCAAACTGCTGAAAAGCTTTTCGAAAGCTTTAAACCAGGATATTCAAAGCTGCAAATAATTACCCATTATTTTGGGTGGGAACATCTAACAGCACAGTTTCAAAGATAACAAGAAAATAAGCTAGCTTTGGCGAGCCGTAGCTTATAAATCTAAACAATATCGAAGCTATGATTGTTCATATGACAGCGATATGGTATAACCATACCATAAAACCGTGCGTTTTTTTTTTAAATTTGATTTGTAATTCAAGAGTCGTTAGTACCCACTATATTCCAAAAACCATGCTTGCTTGATAGAAAACAAAGACGAAATTTTTTGATGTGATTATACACGTGTAAGTGCTGGTTTTAGGCTGAAGCCTAAGGGGATTAGGTTACAGGCATTTTGAGGTATACCAATCCAAAATCCGACATTAATAAGAAAAGTTATAAAATTTTTATAATTGTCCGATTTTTATGAAATTTTTTTCATGTTTCAAGGCTTGTTAAAAACTTGATACTCAACAAAAATGATGGCCGTATTATAAAAAAACTACAATATCATCATCTAGGTCGATTCAGATCGTGATGCTGATCAAAAATATATACACTTTATGGAGTCTAAGGTGTCTCCTTCACTGCATTGCTTACTTCTGAATGAAATTATAATACCCTCGCAAGGGTATAAAAAGTTCTTTGCTTTATTTTACTTTAACAAAAATTGTAACTTTGATTTTTTGTGCATCGATATATAGTTATATGCCTTACAGCATTACATACACGCTGGTATATACAAAGATTTACATAACTTAAAGCTTGCAAAAATTTTGCTAACTGACATAAATCAATTCAGCTTATCCTATTAAAATAGCTGTGAAGCTCTTCCAAGCGCCTAAGCTTGAATCAGTGCAGATCGGAATCGTCTACGCGAACTGGCTTGCGAGACAGATACAAAACGATGATGGTGGTCAATGCGCTGACCAGGAATATGACGTCGAACCAACGATGGTAAAAGTTAAAGTGCAGATTGCCCAGAACTTCAGTGATAATCACCCGATATTCGGCTGGCATGTTCATGCGCATAAGCAGCACTGAAGAACAGAAGTACATGCCCATGATCTGACCTAAGATCAAAACAATGATGTTGCTCGATTTACTCGATGAAATGCGGTAGAAGAACTAAAAAAAAAAACTAGACTTGGCTTATATTCAAATTAAATAGTCTGAACACCTACCTTTGTGAGCGTTAGCAACAACCCTCTTATCGAGGTAACCACTATGCATCCGACAAGGAGAAACGATATATGCTGGTTCCAAAAGGCAAAGTCTATGTCGAATCCGCACCAGTGAATTGCAATCTCTAGGCCGCGGGTCACTGGATCCTTCCGTCCCACTCTATCAAATATAATGTTGATGCAACACTACAGAAAAAAAAAATATAAATTATGTGTGAGCGAATGCGTTTTGGGGTTGGACTTACCATAAAAATCTTATACACACAGTATACACTAAAAAAGTGACCCAAAACATTAAAGTATTTTCCTTTCAATGTTTGAGACCATCTTTGGCGTTCTTCCATGTTTTTCAATGAACTTAGTTCCAAGAAAACAGAGCGCAATAACTCCTCTAAGCCGTAAACTTCCTGTTTTAGTTGATTGATATCTGTAAATCAATAATTAATATTATCAGAACATAGATTTAATGATTTCCTTATAATCACCTTCGCCATTTCCTGTATTGCGTTGAACCGCAGAGGTTAGCATATCCCAAATTCTGGGTTTGGCAGGATGCAGTTTATTGTGATTATAAACGGCTAAGGCAATCCTCCTCTTCTTGGCCGTCAGCATGTCTACCGTTAAGGCCAAACGGCGCTCGAAGCAGATGATGTCATTTCGTGACACTGGCCTGCCAAAAAAGAGAAAGAAGTGCACGTCACACAAAGATAAGAGGGAATTTTATAGCAATTCGATTACTTGATGAAGTAGGCCATGCTTGTGTATGGATAGTTGACGGCACCAAACCCCGAGAGAATGGCCATTACGGTTACCCCAATCACACTAATCCGGGAAACGCCTTGTTCGATCGTAAAGATGCCATGGGAGGCGCTAAGCAACGGAAATGGTTCTCCAATTCTCCAGAGTCCATAGAGAAATACGAACCAACTGAATGTGGTCAGAATTCGGACCCACCTATCGGAAACTATTGAATAGATAGAGTTACTGGGACAACTTTAACTTATAGAGGCGTTCACTTACAGAAGGAAATGCTGTGTATCACAGAGTAACATATGTAAATGGGTATCACAGCCGTCGTCATAAAGAGTAGCAACGTTAGACCCAGTCTCCAATGGAAGTACCTCGAACTGGACTCAAGAACGCCGATAATTTCGAATATTATCAACTCGAACATAGTTATGGACAAGGCGAATGTGGATGAAAATATTAACTGAACGGATATGTGACGTATCTCGTAGTGCTTAAAGAGTTCTTTGTTGAAAAACAGCCAGCCGCCGGCGAAGAATACCATCTGAAAGAAAGGAAATTGGGATTCACTCTTTTCCACATTTCCTAATTGAGACTCCCACTTGCCTGCGACACGAACACGATTACACAGTCGCCCAGGAAGGCCATTTTTGGTCCTAGTCCTCCTTCAGCTCAGATATGACAGTTAATTTGATTGCCTAGTCACTGGCATTGTTTAGTTCAAATAACTAACGCTTAAATCATTTGTTCTTAGAACTGAAAATGCCAACAAGCAAATATAAACAAAAAAAGCCGAATGCCTAACAATCGATAATTCGATAGCACTGAAAGAGGTATGCTTTTTTAATGTTTTTAAAGCTAAATATATCGGTATTAAATGTAGTATTTTTTTTTAGACTTTTACATTCCTAATAATATCACAATATTAACCTTTATATTTTATAATATTATAACGAGATCATGAATCTACATCCTTAGCAAATATATTTCAACAAGAATTTTTTGTAATATTTATATGACCGTAGCTATTTCTAGCTATCTCTATTCGATTTGACAGCATTGCTGGCAACCCTGGCTGATTGAACAATGTTTATCAGATGATTACCTGCTGGATGTGGATTTGGATGCTCGAAAATATCTCAGGCAAGCGGAAAGGACAGCGATGGCTTGCTATTATCGCCAGCACGAGGACACCGCGGTGACGGTTCCGAGGTTCACCAACGAGAACTCCAGCGGTGGGGTGACCTACTACGATGTGAAAGTTCGGGTTGGAAAGGTGGAGTGGCTGGTGGAGAGGCGCTATCGCGATTTCGCTCAGCTCCACGAGAAGCTGGTGGGAGAGATATCCATCAGCAAGAAGCTGCTGCCACCAAAAAAAGGTACGCCCCCAAAGAATATGCTGCAACGACGAAATTAATACGATATTTTCAGCTCGTGGGTAACAGACAGCCCGCGTTCTTGGAGCAGCGACGGGAACAGCTGGAAATATATCTACAGGAACTGCTCATCTACTTCCGAACGGAACTTCCTCGGGCTCTTGCGGAGTTCCTGGATTTTAACAAGTATGACATTATATATTTGCTACAGGATCTTGCCAAACTCTTTAACGAAAGTGGAGATACACTGCTCAGCTCCAAAAAGGAGTACAATCTTTCAGCCCTAGAGGTGAGCTTTTACTCCTTGAAATTAATGTTACGTTTATTCCCCCTCTAACATTATAGTATGTCAAAATTATTAGTATTTAATTTGGTCCAAACTGATCCTTTGCATCTTAGAAACGTACTAAACCGAGTTAGCACAAGGGGCATAAACTATTCCCTGGGAACCCTTCACAAACATAACACTAGCTTCTCTGCAGAACTGGAGAAAACCATAAACTCAGAGATAAACTTTAATAACATAAAAAACCTTAATAAGTACGTCCAACAGCATAGAAAATGGTACCGAGATGACGACTCTAATAATCGGCAGTACTTCAACTACTTGTTACTGGATCCAAGAGTTACCAATAAGCTGAGGGAGCGGGCACCTCAACTTCATCGAATGGATGTTTGGTACACCTTCCTCAGAGCAATTTTCTATGTTGGAAAAGGCAAGGCTTCCCGTCCCTATGCTCACTTAAAAAGAGCCCAGAAGTTTCTGGATGGAACCAATAGTATAACGTTAGTCAAGGACCCAAAACTAGCTTTAATAGTGACCATTTGGAAAGCTAATCGTGGAGTCTTATTAATCTGTGCTTTTTGCGGCATCTCGTCACATGATGCTGAAACCCGTGAGGCATCTATTATTGATGCCCTCAGTATGAATCACTTGACTAACCGCCGATTGGGTGTCTACTGCGGTCCAGCTCGGACCAGTTTATCAAGTAGAGAGCGAAAGTATCTTGGCATAGCGTTGCTTTACAAACTAATGACAAAATTTCTGGCCTCCGAAGAGTGTGAATTGTATCCTTTGTTAGACTCAAAATCTGCTATAAACAAGGCTGCAGCGGCAGCTTAAAATATAGCCTTGTAAAATTTCGGATTACTATCTTTGTTTTTATTTTGCTACCTCCTTCCAGGTCTTTGCTATCAGTGAGCGACTTAGTCTTCCCTGTCCGCCGAGCATGAATCACGGTGGAAAATATGACTTCTCGCATGTACTGGACTTTTGCACGCAGCTTGTGGCTTTGGTGGTAACTCCAGTAAAGGACAACGCCAGCTATGCCCAGGACTACAATACGGTGGATGTGCCCATTGGGCGGAGTAATATCATTCCAAACAGACTAAAATTTAATCTGAATGCGTTTCGCAATCTCAAGACGCTTAAGTTCTCAGCCTTGTCCACGGAAAACATCGTAGACATCGAACTTCTAAAGCCGACTCTTCAGACAATCTGTGTCCACAATACAACCATACAGAACATAAACCAAGTGCTGCTCTGCGATAATCTGCACAAGCACTGTGATGTGCCGAGCCTGCTGCCAGAGACAATTACTGCATCGTCATCTAATTCTGTTTCTCCTACTTCTAATGGCAGTGTCTTAGTCAGTGCGGACGCGTGGCAAGAGATATCAGAACTGGATCTCACTGGCAACCTGCTTACTCAAATCGATGGCAGCGTGAGAACAGCTCCAAGACTGAGACGACTGATACTGGATCAGAATCGAATTCGAACCGTCCAAAATCTTGCCGAGCTTCCCCATTTGCAGTTGCTTTCTTTGTCCGGAAATCTGATAGCAGAGTGCGTCGATTGGCACCTAACGATGGGAAATCTCGTCACTCTAAAGCTGGCTCAAAATAAAATCGCGAACCTAAGTGGTCTGAGGAAATTGCTTTCACTGGTTAATTTGGATCTAAGCTCAAATCAGATTGAAGAGCTCGATGAAGTTGATCATGTCGCCAATCTTCCGCTCCTAGAGACTCTTCGACTAACTGGTAATCCTCTGGCAGGCAGTGTCGGTAAGTTAACGGTCTAATAAAAATGAATTTATTTCTCATAGCTTATATCCTACCGCTAAGACTATCGTCCCCGTGTATTGGCCCGATTCCACGAACGTGCTGCTGAAATATCTCTGGATAATGAACCTGGCAATCAGCAGGAGCTGGACACTGCTCTAGTCTTGTCCGCTCTACTGCAATCTAAGCAACGACAGCAACAGAAATGATTCTTGTCTCACAAGAAAGTTCTTGATATTGCAACTTTACAAATCTCTCAAAGAATATCTCACCTTATTCCAAACGTATTATTGATTAATTTTTCCTTTGATAACCCCCAAACAAATATCGCTATGTAAAGGTTGTGGACTTTTCAAAAATTGGAGATTTTAGTTATTGATATTTCCCTTGTTTAGGCGTAATTATAACTTATTTTCTGTGTCTTGTATATTTCCACACGTTTTCAGTAAATTTGTATGTTTTTTGTCCGCCCTAAGTGCAATAAATCCAATGCTCACCTCCAAATAAATAGTTAAGTAAATAAATAAATTATATTATATATCCTGACAAAAACTATGAATAATGATTGACCAATTGTATTGCATTGTAATATATGTATTAATTTTCCTGCATTTCTGATCATTGATAAGGCTAATCAATGCCGATTATATTTAATCATTCAATTATTTTCTACCTTATAAGTCTGAGGCAGGGACGTCGAGATGTCACAGCATAATCAACCACCATGCGCAAAGTTCTTGTAATCCTGTTGCTACTTTCCGCTCGTGCTCAGTTGCAACTCACTAGTAGAGGTTATAACATGACTTTAGTGAAAACAGTGTTAACTGTCATCCGCAGAAAGGAGAATTGGAGAAACACTCCGATCTTTGTGGGGACCGATACGAGTTCAAACGAGCTAAACAATCTGATGAATTGGCTTCAACATACGATTAATGTAACTTGTCACACGGTGGATACATCAATACCTCCCCAAAAGGAGTATCCTCTTGGCCACTATAAAATAAATGTGGATAGCTCGCTGTGTTTGCTATTTTGCCAAAGCACCCAGGAATTGATTTGGTTTAATCTAGATAAAGGACTTCGAAAATTGCGCCTTATCCGGCTGATTGTCGTTTTGCCCAACAAAAGAAGTGCGTCTTACAAAGCTATAACAAACATATTCAGGAGGTTGTGGCAATTTCAGTTCCTAAAAGTCCTTGTTTTGCACAATAATCAAGTTTACTCATACACTCCGTATCCATCTGTTCGATTTTACAAGGTAGATATGGATTCTGACTCGTTCTTTCCGCCACGTACTTTGGATTTCCAAGGCTATGTGGTCTCTACTCCAGTGGAGAATGATATTCCACGAGTGTTTTTTGTGCGAAGCCAAGAAACAGGGCGAAGGCAAATACGGGGATTTGGATATCGCACATTCGTGGAGTATCTGCATCGCCACAACGCCACGTTGCAAGTAAGTAATCCCCACCAGGACCATGCCATTAACAAAAGTGTGAATATGGGAAGGATTATGCAGCAGATAAGGGATGGCCTCTTGGAGATCTCTATGCATCCGTATGTGGACGTACCGGAGGATGTGGGAGATCACAGCTATCCATTGGTGGTAGGCACCAATTGCCTCATAGTTCCTGTTAGAAATGAGATACCACGTCACACGTATCTGCTGCTGCCCCTCAGTCAATGGAGTTGGGTTCTTCTGCTGGTATCTGTAATCTATATCAGCGGAGTGCTCTACTGGATTCAGCCCGGACTAGAAGATCAAACCTGGGATCAGCGGATTGGGCTTAACCTTTTGGATAGCATAAGCAGAGTTATATACACCTGCTCCCCCTCAAGGGTTTACAGTCCCACACTGAGATATTTTATGGTGTCGTTACAGCTCACCATTTTGGGATTTGTGATTACAAACCTTTACAGCATTCAGTTGGGAAGCTTTTTCACTACTCTGGTGGTGGGTGAGCAGGTAGACAGCATGGAACAGCTTATTCAGCAGCACCAAAAAGTACTGGTAAAGCAATACGAGATCAGTACTTTTCTGCGACACGTAGAACCGCGATTAGTTGGCGAAGTGAGTAGACTTTTAGTGGGCGTCAATGCCGATGAGCAGGTGTCCGCTCTTCTGGGATTCAACCGCAGCTTCGCCTACCCCTTTACCTCCGAACGGTGGAGTTTTTTTTCGCTGCAACAACAATATGCGTTCAAACCTATCTTTAGGTTCTCATCCGCCTGCCTGGGATCGCCGATCATTGGTTACCCGATGAGGAAAGACTGCCACCTGCAGTCGTCTCTTAACATATTCATCATGCGAGTCCAGGCGGCAGGGCTTCTGCAGCACTGGGTCATTTCTGATTTCAACGATGCCATGCGCGCTGGTTATGTGAGACTCCTGGACAACGTTCTTGGATATCAGTCCCTGGATATCGACTCCTTACGACTGGGATGGGCTGTGCTTGGATGTGGATGGCTATTGTCTGGTATGATTTTCCTCTTCGAACGCTGGCGTTTCTACCATCGCCAATAATTTAACCAATTTCGACCATAATAGTCGGCCCAATGATCTGCGCAATGGCCCACTTACCAATGACAAGTAAAGCGTAATAAGGACCACCACAAAGTAATAAGAAAACCAATTTCGACCTTAATAGTCGGCCTAATGATTTGCGCAATGGCCCAGTTACAATGGCCCTATCACCAATAAAAATTAAAGCCTAATGAGGAGTACATTTATTAAAATTAAAATGTATTTGTGACATTTACAACTGATTATATTTTGATATCCAAATGAGTTTAATGTATTAGATATATTTAAAATTTAAGGATACAGAACCAACTGTAGGGAATCTCTTGCTATTTGCTATGAAATATGCGAATCTGGTATAATCGACTTTTGTGCACCCGAGATTTCAATCGTTAATTTATGTCGAAACAGCTTAACATTTTGTGCTTAAATAGATGCTATACAATTTTAACTGCCTTCGTATTGTATTTGTTTGTGATTAGGTTTGTCTGTTATGAATCCGGGGTATAACCAGTGGGTGATCAAAATGTTAGGGACTGGCTCGAACTAGTAGTTCTGCCAGTGGAGAGTGTAGTCGCGTGATTTCATCTTCCCATGTGGCTTATATCATTGCGGGTGGTGGTGGTGCTGGGCGTGATAGTGCTGTTGCTCGGCAGCGGCCACTGCATCAAACATGGGCGTGTGGACCTCGCCCAGAAACTGTGGCGTCGGCGGAGCATTTGGCTCGGAGAGCTCTCCAATTAGTGGCATGTCAATGTCTGTGGCCAACGAGCTCTGTCCGTAGTTGCTCAAGCCATAGGGTTGCTGTTGCTGGTGCTGCTGCACCACCGAAACTTGAGCGTAGTCCGGAGTGGCCTGCACCTGCTGCTGAGGGTCCAGCATTACGGGAGCAGCCTCCATTTCCCCGAATTGTATTGGACCAGGCTGCTGCACCGGCATGCTCTGGTGAACAGGCAGACTCTGCACGGGTTGGTGCTCCACTGGCGCCGATAAGTACTCAGGTTGCAGTTCGGACTGAGGCTCATCGTGTGGTTCTTGCTCCTGCATCTGCTGGTGGTGCTCCACTTCGTGATGGTGCTGCTGCAAATGGTGATCTTCCTGCGACGGCATAATGTCGGAGTTCTGATCGGTGACATCATCGGCGGGCTCACTTATTTCTGCACCCTCGCCCGAGGTCTCCCCATCGCGTCGCACCAAGCCCAACATATCCAACATATTGCGCTTCACGGCATTCTCATTGGCCGCCTCCAAACTGGGATAGCAGGTGCTCAGCCCGCAGTTGGCCAAGTGCTGGGCCATCTTGTTGCCGTTGCCAGTGGCAAAGCCGCAGATGCAGTGCATCTCCTGTGGCATATTCACTTCCATGGCGTCCACAAAGTTTCCGTTACAGTCCACGCCATGACGGAATTGCGCTCGTTCGCAACAAGTCTGGTAATTGCACTTAACACAGTGCAGCCAGCCGCTAAAAATATAGAGGGAAAATATATATTTAATGAGTTATATCCTTAAAAACACTCAACCAAACCCATTACGACATATCAATCAGATGACTTTCCGCGATAAGACCAATCGAGGTCTAATAAATCGCATTAAATCAATTATCTGCTGGCTTATAAACCCTCTTCCTGTGGGCTCACCTGTCATAAACAAGTTAACCACCATGTGCAAAGTGTGGCTTCTGTACCTGTTATTAATCCCGGAGCTCACAAAAAGTGATTACAATGTGACTTTTCTAAAGGGCGTTTTAAGAGTCATATCTTCCCGGGATCAGTGGACGATTACTCCAATTTTTATAGGACACAACACCAACCAATACCAGCTAAATGATCTGGTTATTTGGCTTCATGAAACAATGGGAGTGACTACTGTAACGACGAATTCATTTATCAAACCTGAAGAGCTACGACCGCTTGGCCATATTAATGTGACTAGGCACAACGCTATTAGCTTGGTCTTTTGTCCTGAAAGACAGGATCTGGTTTGGTTTACTTTGGACAGTGGTCTGCGAAAATTACGTCGCACTCGAGTGATCATCATGCTGCGCTCTCAAAGAAGTGGTTCTTATAGGGCTATGTATGCCATATTTAAAACACTGTGGCATTATCAATTTCTAAAAGTTCTTGTTCTGCATAAGAATCAGATTTACTCATACACACCGTATCCGTCAGTAAAATTCTTCAAGCTGAACATTGACTCAAATCCCCTTTTTCCACTTGAGACGAGGAACTTTCAAGGTTATGTGGTCTCCACCCCAGCGGAAAATGATATTCCAAGGGTGTTTCATATTCAAGATGCTAGTACAGGACACCCACAGATGCGGGGATACGCCTATCGCGCCTTTGTGGAGTATTTAGACCATCATAACGCTTCACTACAGCTGACCAACCCCGAACAGAATCTTGACCCCACAACAAGTGTGAATATGATCCGGATTTTGCAGTTGATAATAGACGGATACTTGGAAATCTCCCTGCACCCGTACGTTAGCACACCTGCCAACGCTGTCAAAAGTTATCCACTCTTAATATACCCTAATTGTTTGATTGTCCCCGTGCGAAATGAGATCCCCCGACATATGTATCTACTGCGTCCATTTCATTTGTACAACTGGTATATTCTGCTTGTCGGAGTGGTATACATAAGCGCAGCTCTTTATTGGATGAGTTCAAAAACAGAAGAAACTAGCTGGGAACAGCGCTTGGGCTTAAGTTTTCTGGACGCGGTGACCAAGATCCTGTTCATCAGCTCTCCCATAAGAACTTACAGACCCACCTACCGCCACTTCATAGTTTTCTTCCTCCTTTCCATCCTAGGATTTATAACCACAAGTTGGTACAACATTCAGTTGGACAGCTTTTTCACAGCCTTGGTGGTGGGAGAACAAGTGAATAGCATGGAGCAACTCGTCGAGCAGCAGCAGAAGGTTCTTGTCAAGGAGTACGAAATAAACACCCTCCTGCGCCATGTAGAACCTCATTTAGTGGACCAAGTGGCTCCCCTTTTGGTGAGCGTAAATGCCAGCGAACAAGTATTTGCCCTACTCAGTTTTAATCGCAGCTTCGCATATCCATTCACTGAAGAACGCTGGCAGTTTTTCGCCATGCAGCAGCAGTATGCCTTCAAGCCGATCTTTCGCTTTTCATCTGCCTGTCTGGGATCGCCACAGATTGGTTATCCAATGCGAATTGACAGCCACTTGGAGCCGAGCCTCAACCGTTTCACCATGAAAATTCAGGATGCGGGACTGCTTACACACTGGCTTGTTTCCGACTTCAATGATGCCTTGCGGGCTGGATATGTAAGGCTTCTTGATAATGTCCTGGGTTATCAAGATATTAATGTGAACACTTTGAGACTGGCCTGGTTTGTTTTGGGAATTGGTTGGCTACTGTCCGCATTGGTTTTCACTTGCGAGCACTGGCACCCTTGGCAACTTTATGCTTGACTTTGTTAATAAATTTATATAATATCGCCTTTTGACTTACGTGTAATGTGTTTCCTCGCTGGCGAAATCCGTGTTGCACTCTGCACAAGTCTTGCCCTCCAGGAAAGCAAAGAATACTGGTCGCTTATAGGTGGAGAACGGAGGCTGCTCCCGGTGATGAGTGCGAATCTTCGGCGGTGGAATTAACAACGAGTTGTTAAGCAAAAGACGCACCGGTCTGTTGGTTTTGATCATGCTGACATGGTGCTGCACGGCGTGTTGCTTAAGATCTCCTTTCTCGAGGAAGGTAAGCGAGCACTTCTGGCAGCGCAGCGATGGATCCCGTTTGTTGATGTGCTCGTCCAAATGCAGGAAATAGTGTTCAATGCGCAGCTGGTTAACAACGCCGCGCTTGGAGAAGTAGAATATCTAAAAAGTGGGAAACCCGATTATGTAGTCATTGAAGATTATTTACTAGCCAAATCTACTTACATCCAAGCAGTAGGGACACTGCAAAAAGTTCTGGTGTTTGTGGTCGTCATAGAAATGCCTGACCAGATCTCGGTGCGAGGATGAACGATATCCGCAAGAGTGACACCAGTATGGCAGCTCCAGCGTGCTGTGTGCCTTCTGCAGATGGGCTGTCAGGAGGTGCAAGGAATTGTGACGCTGCTGGCAGATTAGACAGTAGTAGGAGGGCGAGCCCTCCGTCTTTGTCTCGGTTGGATGCATGATCTGATTGTGCTTGGCTAAAACCGACTCCGTGGGGTGTTTCTCCAGGCAGAACAGGCACTGGAACTGGTGCTGCTTGCCCTCGGGAGAGATATGCGATACAAGGTGGGTCTGGAGCTTCTCGTTAGAATCGAAGGAATCGCCGTTCAAGCAGATGGGACACTCCACAGTCTTTGCCAGATTAATGTGGGCGGTTCGCGGTGTATTGTATGGGAACATCTCGTAGTACTCGTCCGTGCCATCGCTTATGCCGTAGTACAGCTCCTCGAGGCCTCTTAGATCGTCCTCCTCCTTCTTGATAATCACCGGCATCTTATCATCCTTTTCCCTTGGTTTTTTACCCAATGTTTTTGCTGCAAATGCTTTGGCTGCCATGGATTTGGCCAGGGCTTTGGCTGACGCTGGCCCTGCTTTGGAGGCTGTTGCTTTATCTCCTTTTGGTTGGTTGGTACTGCCCGGAGGACGACCTGGACCCTTCTTAATTGGCATTAGGGGAGGCGGAGTGCTCACTGGATTTGGTGGACGGCCGCGCTTGGCTCCAGTGGAAACTCCATCCCTCTCGCGATCCTTCTCCTTCTTTAAAACCTTGCTGGAGGAAACGTAGTCTGCATCGTTGATTGCTGAAAACAAATACAAAAATATTTACAAAATGGACTCAAACAGTTGTTAAAATGATTGCAGGGTATACAAACTCCTTATAGCTTATATTCTAAACTCATCCTTGATTTTCCAATTTAAATGTGGCATCCACAAACAAAGCGAATCAAATTAATTTTACGTGTTTTTGCGTTTTATCACTCCAAATGAAAAGGAAATCAAATAAAAACATAGTTCTTAAATTTCTTTATTGGTTGTTCTCTTATTAGTGCGTGTTTAAAATAAAATAACACAAACGATGCCAGAATATAAAACTTAAATTTTAGTGTAGGTAACATGTGACTCATGTACTTCTTTTAACGATTCAGAAATTCTGAGATCGCATTATACATCAGGGAAGGTGAAACAAATCGACCTAAGCTTCACATTTGGCTTCGATTTTCCGAAGATAATAAAACAGATAAAAACATTTCACTTTGGAGTGAAAAACGCAGGCATTTGCTTAACCGATTATCATTACGGATTATTCTATTCACGGCCTAAATTATAACTGGGTAGAAAAGTACGAAAGTACTAACGTTTCTTGAGGCGCTTAGGAGCGGCATTCGCTGGTGTTTCCTTGTAGTTAGCGGGCAGAACACTCCAGTCCTTGAACGGATTGGTGGCCACCTAAACGGAAAAGGCATTAAGTGATTGTTGTTAAATATTTTTATATTTCTGATTACCTGATACAGGCGCTGAGTGATGGTCTCGTTGGTTGTGACCCTAGTCTGCTCAGCGATGTGTATAATAATGTTGTTAAATGCCTGCAGGGCATAGGTGCCGAAGGACTCACGCCAAACCAGTTCGTCAAGGAATTGCTGAATCATCTGGCGAGAGAGCAGCGACAATGTGTTCTGGAACATGCGCGGGACAATGCGACGCAGGTACTCCATAACCGCAGAGTTGTTATGCTTGGCCGTGTTGTCGGTAGCAGCTGCCTGTACTATGTTCTTGAATCCCATGCTAAAGAGGGTAATTTTGTCCACAGTTAAGTCAATGCAAATGGTGCTGTCCTTGTGCACCCAACGCGAGAGTGGTTCCAAAATGGCCTGGAAACGTTTTTTATAGTTGCGATCGCCATCGGTGATCGGCTCCACGGCCCGCAGACGAATTGATTTTTCTGCATAGTCATAGACGCCCAAAACCTCAACCTTAACTTGGCGTTGGGAGCCGTCTTGGGAGGTGGTGCCCAGGGAAATGACACCCACCTGTAGATATACAAAACATGTTATTACCAAAGGTGATTTTAGTCATACCATATTCTAGTTACCTCCACAAACTTGCCGGGTCCTCCCAGCTTCTTGCACTTCTGATGCACTGCTAAGGTACAAATGGCCCTAAGCCAGGTGTAGATTCCCTTAATGTAGACACTGTCCACCTTAACCCACTGCACTACGTTCTGTATGCTGGTCTGGCAGGCCCAGTGGTAGATAAGTTTAAGCAGGAATGTGGGCGGGTGCTGAGCTCCTTCAAAAATGGAATTGTTGAACACAGAAACAAAGCGATAAGGGCAGCATTCGCTAATCCACACATATCCACCAGTATAGGGGAACTTGGTCACATCCGAATAGATGCCTTAATAAAAGAAATATGAAAGTAGATGGGTGCGTGATGCAAGGCTCTTTAAAAACTCACCCAACTTTAGTTCGTTATTACGATGGTTAATGCAGTGTTGTTGGGCTCGAAGGAGTCCTTCCTGGAGCAGCCACTCGCAAAACTTGTTAGGCGTCAGCATGAGCACCAGCTTGACCTTTGAGTCCAGCTTACTGCGTGTGGCAGCCATGTCCTTCACTTTGAGATAGGGCTTGGCCAGCACAACGAGAGAGGGGTATGTCTTGCCCTGCATCTTGTTGTCCTTGCCATCCTTGCCGTCCTTGGTGTCTTTGCTCTCATCGGTGCTGCCCACCACGAGGCCACCCACCGAGTTGACTTCGGCGGGACGGTAATTCTTGGGTGGCGATTCAATGTCCGGCTTAGATTCCTTCAGCAATTTGCTGCTCTTAAGAATGGGTGAAGACTTTCCAGAAGAAGTGGATGCAGCGGCTACCTTTTTGCCCAGTTTTGGACTGTTTGACGAGGATGCATTAGCCACAGCGACCGCTTTTTTGCCCGCCGACAAGGCCAGCCGCTTGGCCAGTGGCACATCGTCGTCTCCCTCGTCGGAAGACTCCAGGTAGGCGATGTTGGAGGGCTGCCGCGGAGGACGGCCGCGCCCACGACCGGTGCCAGTGGATGGGGTTGCGGGTGTAGGCGGTGGATCCGCTGCCTTAGGCGGCTTCTTGGGTAGCGTGGCCTCCTTCAGCTCCTGCAGCACCTTGCCCTTGAAGGAGTAGGCCTGAAACACCTGGCCGCTAAAGAGTTCCTTCCCCTCGTTAGCGCTCACAGCGCTCTTCAGCGCCCCCTTCACTGCGTTGTGCTCGTTCGTGATCTTCTCGTAGTACGCCAATTGTGCCGGCGACAGCTCCTCCACCCAGAACTCCATGTCCAGGGAAATTTCACTTCTCGTAACGCGCGTCATCGTGAGGCTTACTATTTACCCGACCACTAGGCCAGCTAAGGCGTTATTTTCAAATCAATTTAGCGCTGATAAAATTTTTTCTTCGCTCGAATTAGCTTTTTTTGCGTGGATGTACCTGCTAGTGTGGACAAAAATCGATGACACTATCGATTGTGCTTGGTTTAAGGCTTGGGTATCGGCAGTTGCGATAATTATTAAAATATACCTATGAAATAGATCACAACTTAATAATTCAGTTTTTAAAATTAACAGATAGGTACTCATTGATAAAATGATTTAGTGTATTTACTTAATTTTTATTCAAAGTTTAAAGTTAAGTTTGTTTTCGAACTACTTTTTATTGATTAAACTTGTAAACAGTTAAATTGGAATATGTTAATTAGTTTTAATAAATCATGATTTTAAAATAAAATATAGTAAAGACCTAAATTAGTTTTCACTGCAGGAATTTCCTATTAGTAGAATTTATGACGTTCCATGAGTGTTTCCTTAGTATCGATTTTTCTGAAAGCAAAAAAAAACATATCGATACTTACCACTTTAAAAATGAAGACAACCCTAACAAACAGCGCATTTTCTGAAAATTTTAAAATCCACGCTAAATATTACTTTGCATTTTATTTCGACAAAGAAAACGAAATGATTTTTTTGTTTTTTAAGTTGTATTTTATTTCTCTAAAAATAAACGTAACACTAGATATACCGCTTGCAAATGGGTTTAACCATTATTTTAAGCCCAAAGCAATGTGCGCTGTTAACTGAAGTGCCACCATTTGAATTCGAATTTATGACCACTTATAAATTATCGTTTCATTAGCTACCTAAGACCCCCGATTAAGTAGTCCCCTCGTCAGTGGAACTTTTTTTATCACAACGTCTGTCGCTTTATTTGCAGCGCACGTTTATGCATTGTTGATGTCATCGATGACCCGGTCATAAAGAATTTCCTTAACATTCAGTCCCCAAAGGAAGTCGATGTGGTTCCACTTTTCCTGCGGCAGGCGATATGCGCTTCGCAGGGCACTCGGATTCATGGTGTACCTTAGGCGATCCACGTCGATCAGACTGGCGAAGTAGTCGTTATCACTGTAGTAAAGGTAGGTGGGCACCTCAATGCCCTCTACATCGTATTCCGGCGGAGTCTTGCTGCTGTACTCCTTCTTGTTGCGCGTTTTGCCATAGTCAAACTGTCGGAAGTAGCCGGAGTTGTACTCCTGCAGGTAGTGGAAGATTTGATTCACAGAGCATCCGGCCGGGGTGGTTGCCATAATTTCAGGCAGCATGGTTTCGTTGATGTACGGCGAGTTCCAGCCACCCAAAAGAAACAGGGTGTTGGTGCACATGAATTGCGAAATGGCCTCATCATTACAAAGAATAGCTCCAAACAGGTTCATCAACTGGGTATTAGGAAGGAATTCCGCACTGCCGAACAGCTCCACGAAGGCGTTGGGCTGACCCAGCAAAGGACCTCCAACTGTAGCCAAAGGACTCTCCATGTGCTCCATCCAGGCAACAGGAGCCAGCAGATGAGCTGACCTAATGCGACTCTTGAAACGGGGGATCATCGAATTGAGGACAAAGAAGGAAGTGGTTCCCTGGGAGTGACCCACGTAAGTCAGTTGATCCACACCCGTGCGGTAAAGGACGTAGTCCATCATAGCGGGCAGATCGTATATACCAATGTCGTGCCACTCAAAGTTCCAGAAGGGTTGCAGCAGCGGGGATTTGGTGGCATGCTTCTTGGAGTAGGTGTTACCCCTGGCATTGCCCATCCAAACATCATAACCCTCCTCTGAAAGTAAATAGGCCAGTCCACTGTGAGGTCCTCCAAGCACCCAATCGGAAGAGGAGCAGAGTAGTCCATGCATAAGAAAGACTACAGGACGTGGGCCATCGTCCCCAGTGTTTTTGGAGTAAGGAATGCGATGCATGGTCAGGATGTAACCATCGGAGGTCTGCACATCGTGTTCCTCCAGCTCGTATCCATGTCCCCTAACGATGGTGACCTGAAAAAAAATAAAAAAAAAAAAAAATGTCTGGATTAGTAAAAACCTTCAGGAGCCATTGATGTCCTCTAACTTACAGTGGTCACTGAACTGGCTCGTCCTGCATCCGCTGGCAGGGCTGTAGCCAATCCCAAACTTAACAAACCCGCTATTAATTGTAGGAGCCACATTTTGTATTCCACAGGTGCAGGTGCTTTGAGTTCTGACTTGGCCGCCCTTGCCTTTTATATGCCCCCCAGGAACTTGATAAGGATTCCTAGATTTGGCCAACTGATTTATGGCTGTTTATTTTTGCCTTCTAAGTAGTTTCATTCGCCAAGACTGATAGATCGTGTGGGAATTTCGATTCGAGGTGATTTAGCTGGTTACTGGTTAATGGCGATAAGGCTTTCCTATCGTTCGTTAATCATGATGACTTCAGATTACGTATAATTGGTATGAGTTTAGGAGCAATTAGTATTTCCTGTTCATATTCAAGGTGTTCCAATTGAACTGCGTTTTTATAAAACTTTGTGTCTGTGCTTACCGCGAGCACTGACCCTAACTTTTATTAATCTTTGATCAACACGTTTGCAATGTTGACATTATAAAATCTTTTTACTTATTTTAGTAGAATGTGCAAAGAACATAAGTTATATCAATTTAATATACCACAGCATAATAATATGAAATAAATTCTTAAGAACTAATTTTGTATATGAGAGGTTGTAAAATTTGAAATTCGCGCTGCACTATTATTATTTAAAAGTAGGTCTTATCGATAATATTAAAATCGATTTCCATATAGAACAAACGGACATTGTCATCCCCAATATTTGCCAATTACATTTTTTAATCAAGAATTTTTGTTTGGATTAAATAATGAGAGATCGCGATCGGCGTGACAGAGATCGTGACAGGGAAAGGGATAGAGACAGAGAACGGGAGAGGGACAGAGATCGAGAGCGGGATCGCGACAGACGTTATCGTTCGAAGTCGCCCGCCAGAAGTAGCCGGCAGAGCTCGAAGTCTAAGAAAAAGAAATCTAAGAAGTCAAAAAAGTACTCCCGCAGAAGTCGCAGCAGCAGCCGCAGCTCCTCGAGGAGCTCCACCAGTAGCAGGAGCAGTTCTCGAAGTCGGCACAGCAAAAGCAGGAGCAGGGACCATAACAAATCTCGGTCAACGTCTCAGAGGACCACAAGGGCTCCCAGCTCCGAAAGCAATTCCCGATCCGCCACTACACCTGCCACTATTGGCCCCATAAAAGCCATCGATTTGCTGGACACCAAAGTGCAGAAGACGCTGGAGACCATAGAGGAGGACTCCTTCAAATCGGCCTCGTTCTTCAGCTCACGCGATTCAAAGGAGACCTCGGAGAAAGTGATTATCGACCTGAACAACGAAACGGTCACAGTACAGACCAAGCCAACCGTTCCAGTCCGAAACGAAGATGTAATATTCCATCCCAACGTGAGTGGTGCTCTAGGTGCATCAATTTATTTTCTAAAATCTTTAACTCATAATCATTGCAGTTTCTCGGCGAACCGGATCTCAAGGCAGAGAAGTGGTTGCGCAAGCTCTACAATTACCGCCAAAAGTACATGCAGGAGTAATCGAGTTTATACTTTATTTAAGAAACAATAAACCTATCACTAGAATATGTCGCTGCCGGTTTTTCGGGCACGTTGCAAGGCCTCCTCCGAAGTCAGCTGTTCGTTAGCCGAGGGCTCCTTGGCACTGCCATCTGCCTGCAGGTTTCCCGCCTTGAAGTCCTCGATGACCTTTTGGGAGTAGACGGCATTAAACAGATCCAAGCTGGTGAATTCCGATTGGACAACGTCTGGAGCTTTGTATGACACGTAGGGCTTCAGCTTGCAGTCGGTCAGGTCGGGCACTATGATTTCCGGTATCTTTTCGGGAATCTCCACGTACTGCCCATCCACAATTATGCCCGTGTCGCGTACCCCACGCTTGTGAATGGCTACCGGCGAATTGGCCATCGTTTTCTGGGCCTCCTTCACCACGCGCGTTCCCCGCTTGTTGTACACATTGAATTTTCGGAAGTTTCGCTTGCCCTCCAAAACTGATGAAGTACTAATGCTTCTCTGCTGGCATCGGAGTACCATGGGCGCTAGTTTAATACAGTTATTCATTGTAATTTGAATTTACACCTAGAATAATGATTAAATAACAAAAGGAACAGCAGCTTAACAGCTGTTTTTTACGGTAGAGATGGCACTTTTCTCGATAAATCGATAAGCAAAAAGACCCCCATTGTAAATTTGGTTGAACGAATTTTTCGCTGCGTTAAACCTAAATTGTATACATATTTATTTATAAAGTTCGATGTTTAACAAATATTTCGCGCTCGTTAGGGCTTAAGTAATGTCATCCAAAAGGTTTTTTGTTCCCTAAACTGTTGGCAAATCAGAAACAACCAAGTTATTTCCAGTGTATCAAGCAACCATCCCTAGCTTGTCGATGTTAACACCGAATACTTTTGCCGCCAACAGTGCTGAAAAACCCCGTTAGAATAATAGTGTACTGAAGTTCTCCAAAATAGGCTTGTGATCCTTATCAAAATATTGCAAATTATAATTCTCCAGATTTTGAATATGTCTGTGCCAGCTGCTGAGGACGACACTGGAGACAGTATTGCTGAGCACGATTTCATAGAGTTGAAGAGCTTGAAGGACTTGGAGTCGCTCGAAAAGCAACAACTGCTGCAGTATGTTGAGAAGCTGCATGGCATTATCCGGAAAAACGACACCAAACTAGCTGCCTATAAACAAAAACTACTTCACTTCGTGAGTCCGGATGTTTACATTACCTAAAACTATCTAAATTCTTGGTTTTCACTTCAAGCTGAACCAGAAGGAAAAAATTCCATGCGACAAAGCAAACCAAACTACAGAAACGGATTTCAATGAAAATCAGGACTCGCTGCAAAGAGATGAAGGGACAGACGAAAAAGACAAGCGCAGCGATTGTGAGTCGAGTTTTTTATTCCAGCGAGACTTTTTATTAAGGCTATAGTAGTAGTTAGTTTCTACTTCGATTTGCTGGCCACCGCGGCGACCAGCGCAGCTCCTCGTCCCGATCCGTCTTCTGAAAGCATAATGTCCCATTCCTTGTCCGCCTTTACCAGCTTCTGGAGGGTCTGCCGCATGTAGGCATCGAACTTTGGATGGTATCTGTACACGGAGCCATCCATGCCGACTATCACACGGCGGTTGGAGGTCCTGTTAACCAGGCCACTCACTCCGATGGCCACTAAAGTTGCCGCTCTCTTGGACACGCACTCGCAGATGTATCTCAGCGTCTGGCAGTCCTCCACGGATGCTTTCTCCAAACCGAACAGCTGCTTGACGATCTTCCTGGTGCTGGCAAACTCTGGGAAGGAGTCGTCCTCGATCTCTGATATGTAGCGCGATTCAAAGACATCTTCGCTCTTCTGCAAAACGCCGGCAAACTCCGGACGCCGGCTGCTCTGCTTAAAGATGAGCTTCCGCTCCAGGGCGCGCAGCAGGACAAGACGCACCAGGTTGCCCAGGTACATGCCTGCCGTCATCTTCTCGAACAGCTGCTCAGCCCGGTTAATGGACTTTTCGTCGACCTCGCGATCGTACTCGGTGCGCACAAAGTCCAGTTGGCCTCCCTCTCCGAAGGCCCCCCACTCCGCATTTACGATCACCTGTCGCTTCGTCTTTTTGAAATCCGCATGGAGAAGGTCTACATTCTCCACATCCTCCACGTAGCAGGCATTGCAGCCGGTACCCACGATTACGCCTACCCGGCAGTCTGCGTTGCGATGGGCGCAGGACATCAGGGTTCCTGTTGTGTCATTAAGAATGGCCACCACAGCGATGTCCGCATCGCCGCGTCGCTGAATGGCCTCGTGCAGCATGCGACCCACATCCTCGCCCTCTACTCCAGGACAGTCAAAGCCCTTGGTCCAGCGCACCAGGATGCCCTCCTTGAGACCCAGCTGCACGCAGGGAAAGGAGAAAGTAAACCCTAAAGGAAGGTAGGCGGTTTTCATGTCGTGTTTTTCCACAAATTTAGCCAGGCAGCCGGCGATGTGATCAAACAGCTCCACACCCGGTCCGACCATCAGATCCTTGGGCACGGCGTAGATCTGGGAATCGACTGTGGCCTCGTGGTGACCTTTCAGGGAGACTAGCAGCACCCGGAAGTTGGTGCCGCCGAGATCCAGAGCCAAGAATTTGCCCATCTCATCGCCCGTGGGCAGATCCTGCACGTACGTGGGAAAGCACTTGACATTGGCTTGCGGATGCGTAGAGCGCTTTAGGCCACGGGCCACCTCCAAGCAAAAGCGACTGTACACCTCCTGAATCTGGTAATCGCTTAGCACAAAGGGTTGCATAAGTTCTCGCACCTCCGCGTCCAGCATTTTGCTTGGCTAATCTGTCTTGGTTGTAACCGCCTCGAACGATGAGTAACGACTAACCAGGCGCCTGGCCAGCCCACGGCGACTTGGAGCTGCACCGGTGGTCTGATAAGAAACCGGCGGCGAGATGAGGTCCGCCAGACGTGGAAACAACTGCTGCCACTGCAATCTGGGCGCTGCGTAGCAAATTAAAAACAAAAACACACCTAAGAAGCTGATTTGCTGATTCCAAATCTGGAACTACAACTGCGCGGTATGCTAATCGCTCGGCTCTCGGTTGCCGCTCGTCAATTGCTGGCAATAGCTCCTGATTTCGCACCCTACGACTTAATTGTGGATCGACACGAGTCGACAGTCAAGATTTTTTTGTTATCAAGCAAACCAAAAAGCTTAAAAATGTACTAATAGCTCTTTAAATTGTTTAAAGGAAGTAGGAGCCAAAAAAATTGTTAAGGCCTAATTTTACTTCTCCACTTGTTTGAATCATATCGAAGACTATATTAGTAGTAATCTGTCGGTGGGTTGATATTGCCGTTTCAAGGAGCGCATCTCAAACACTATGCCCACCCACTTCCCTATCTATTGAGGATTATTATTGGGGTCTCGGGTCGAGTAATAAAGCGTGCGTCAAACATCCCAGCCCGCTGATGTCCGAGATTAGCGCTAAAGTGTCGCATGGGCTAACGCCACTGTCCCTGAGAATAACCCAACCAGCCCTTGACACTAGTTTTAATATAATTGAAATGATTGCGTAAGAATACGTATCATTACGTCCCATAACCCACAATTTTATTAGGTCAAATAAGGATATGAGTCAATGGTCTTGTTTGTTTTATCGTTTCTAATTTTATTGGTCTTGTAATTTTTATAGAAAATTTATATTGTTTATTGTTCTATAGTTGCTCTTATCAGTCAGCGCAGGTTTTAAGGTCTGAGAAGTGTCAGTATTTTGAATATTTAGAGGACGCCTCAAAGCTTTATTTTATTTCCGCGAATCGAATTGTTTTAAAACCTTATCAGTGATTATTAACAAATTATTACAAGTCATGTTAAAAGAGTATTTATATTTTCAGTATCGGCAACGGACGCCTTCAGTTTTGTGGACGAGATGCGGCAGGCGGCCAAGCATGCCGAAAACCTGAACAACTTCGTCTACGAGCCGACCTCCGGCATGTACTACGATCCCAAGACGGGTTACTACTATAACGCGGTAAATAAGCTGTAAACGGCGGGCGCAATCTTTATGACGTTCTGTTCTGTTCGGCGATGCAGCGCTGCCCCGCTGTGACTTTCAGGGGTTATCGCTTTCGGCGAACCTACATCAATGGCTCGAACTGTTGTTAACCTCCGCCTGCCTCTCCCTTCTTTCCAGGAGTACGGGTTGTACTACGACGGGAACACCGGCTGCTACTACAGCTACGACCACGGAAAAGACTCGTACGAGTTCCATTCGCAGGCACAGGTGCAGGTGAGTGGGTGGAGCCACGACCTCCTCTGCCACACGACCACATTAACCTCCGTTCTTCTCCTCCTCGCTGCGCAGCCTGTGAGCGACTGCGCCTATAGTAGCCTTTTAGCGGGGTTTCACAAACTCAGCATAGACCGAATGCGTTGCAATGCATTAGGTAAGCGCCGAGGCCCAGAACTTGCGATAAAAACGCGGATTTCTTTTCTTCACTTGGTTGCAGGCGAACGAGGCGGCCAAGCCGGAGTCCGAGGACGAGCAGGTGGAGTTCGATGAGTCGGGTGGCGTCATTACGGACCAGGACACGCTGAAAAAGATCAAGGCCGAGAAGCAAAAGGCCAAGGATCGCGCCGAGAAGTCCAAGCGTAAGGCCAAGGGTAAAAAGAAGAGTAAGAAGCATAGCAAGAAGAAAAGGAAGAAGGAGCACCGCCACAAGTCCAAGAGGCGTCACAGGGATTCTGGGGATAAAGATGGTGGGCAGGGCGAGGATGCTGAAGAGGGAGAGCTCTCGCAAAGCAGCGATTCCAGTTCCGATTCCAGCGATAATGAGGAAAGCAGCAGCAACAGTGACAACGAGGACAGCAGCGTTCCTATTTTTAAGGCCGCCGGACGCTTTCAAGGTGCTTAAGAAATCCGTGTTTTTATTGCCATTTGTTAGATAGTACGAACAAACCTAATGTCTCATTTTCTTAGATATCGCCAAAAAATATCCACCCTCACTTCGCATTATTGTCCAGGAGACTAATGTGGAGACGTTAAAAGTGGGAAGCCTGCATTTAATCACCTATAAAGGTGGCTCATTGGGGAGGGAAGGAGCTCACGATGTTATCATTCCGGACGTGAACGTGAGCAAGTGCCACCTGAAGTTCAACTACGAGACAAAGTTGGGAATCTACAAGTGCCACGATCTGGGCTCCCGCAACGGCACCATTCTCAATGGTTCGCCCATGTCCAGCGACGCTATGGATCTGGTACACGGCAGTGTAATCACCTTAGGCCAAACGAAACTGCTGTGCCACGTGCACGAGGGCAACAGCACTTGCGGGCTGTGCGAACCGGGCCTGCTGATAGAAACTTCAGCGCCGGTTGTGGCCACAGCTAGTGCATCCTCCGCTAATGTATTATCCCACAAGGAGCAGCTCAAAAAGCTTCAGCGGAAGTATGGCCTAGAAAATGAGAGTGAGTAGGATTCGTTTGCCATAAACTGAATAGTTTATGTATTTATTTACAAATTCACACATTCAGAATTTGTGGAGTCCAGCAGCAATGGTCAATCCAATTACAATGATCGCGCTGCAACGAGGCGTGTCAAAGTTGGCAGCAGCACAGATAAGGAAAAGACGGAAGTTGCCTGTGTGAACACGTGAGTATCCTCTAATGAAGTTAATCGTTTAATGTACTAACATCCTATTCTCATAGTGAGATTGGCAGCTCCAACAAGGGTTTTAAAATGCTTAGCAAACTGGGTTGGCAAAAAGGTGATACTCTGGGCAAGACCAACGCCAGTGCTGGCCTTTTGGCACCAGTGAGTATTAAAAACGTGACTAAAGACTGTTTATACCATCCTCTATCTTTCACAGATTAATGTGGTGGCCAATGACGGCACAAGTGGGCTGGGAAACACTGACCCAGTGACCTCCAGCTCCAGATCAGTGGACAAACGAAAAATGGCCAACTTAAAGATCACCCAAGCTCGATATCAGCGCGCGAACGATATCTTTGTTGGGTCCGATAGTGATTAGAAAGACGTTTTGAACTATGTTGGAAACACATTTAATTAACAATTACTCAAACATATTCATAAGTACATGTATATATGTATGTATATATTACATTGGTTCTATATATGTATATATAAATTCAAAAATCTTGCTATAAGGTTAAGCTATCAGTCAATTAATTAATTTAGCTTCGCTTAAGAACAAAGAGAAGAGAGGGAAGGCAATGTTAAATAAATATGACGTCGCGTACGTTGGTCTAAACTAATTGCGAGCGAAATGCGCAGACACACCAATCGATTAAAGTAATTACCGTGTAGCCTATGTTAATGTTAAATACAAAAGCCTCTTAAGATATGTGGTTTCTCTTGCGATACATGCTGGATAAGAGTTGCTGCAATACGTAATGTTGTATGGTTGATAATACTTTGCCCTGTATGTAAAATGTATCCGATAATATGTAGTGTAAGCCTGGATGGCAACAGCCTAAGGCCCATCCACCGATTACAACACGAAAACGCACAACGAGAATCTTTGGATGTTGGAACTACGGAAGAACACGCTACATAATGCCATCGGCCGATGTCGTCGGGAGGTGCATGAAGTCCTTTAGCAGCTTCCCTGGGACTTGACGCCGATGAAGTAGTGGGAATCGCAGGAGTGCTTGTGCATCTCACACCATGAGTTGTAAGTATGGTTGTTATAGCCACATATTTTTTGTGCCTTTCGTGAAAATTATTCAATGATTAATGGCGCACTTTGTGATTGTCAGGAAGGGAACTCACCGGTCGCTGCTGCTTCCGCGGACACTTGTAGCGACAGGACACACATCGCGGCTGGCGCGTCTGCAGATCCACCAGGCAGTTATCCTTCGGCCCACACTTGATGTCCGCGCAACTTAAGCGGCCCGCTGCAATATAAAGTTTACGATGCGAGCGCATTAATGACGGCTGCCTGTGGTTAAGTTTCAGCTTTGCTTTATGTCTGGCAATTTCGGTTTAATGGCTCCTGCACACTCGACTGCATGTCCTGCCCTCGATGGGAACCTGGGCAGGTGCTGCCACGCCTGCTTGAGGCTAACTTTCGAATTTTTGAGGGCCGGACCCAGAACCACACAAAAGATTCATACTTTTTGATTGGTTTTAATGGCTTCATGATATATGTGAATAATATAGGTATATAGAATATGTTGAATCTCTAAATCCTTTTAATTAAATTTGTCTTAGTTTTAAAAATATTCTATTATTTATAATGGTAGTTAAACTAACCACTGAATCTCGTGCCTTAGAGACTGAGGAATGCATATATTTAAATCTGCAATTTTCTAAGCTGGCACATTATTCACACCACGCGCACCAATGCGGACAGACCCATAAAAAACACAAACAGAAAAAGATTTAAAGATTAAAAAAAAAAAAATAAAAGTGTATTATCTTCTCCAACAACAGTTCCAAAACGGGAATTCAATAACATAGGTGTAACGTTACCTATTATAATTTTTAGGCCAGGCTCAAAGTGTTGATATCTTTTCAAATGACTCCTCAGATCGTATCATGTTTTTTCCTGTGCATCAAGACCCTTCCCCATCCCATACCCATCCCCATCCCCATCCCCATCCCCATTCAATTTCAGCGGTGTGCGATCCGCATGCGCAAGACGGGTAGCATCTTCGGGCCGGGCCAACATCCAACTCGCGACTTGCGACTTGCGACTGGCGAGACTGCCAGTTAGCCATTTAGCCAGTCAGCCAGTCGAGCAATAAAGCAGCCAAGCGGCGCGCAGCCGCAAACGCCGGCAAAATATATGTGTTTATCATCAACATGATCTGCGACTTGGCAACATTGTTGCGCAGAGCCCCCGGGCATTGTTGATCGCAATTGCGATGGAGGTGGAGCTGGAGCTGGAGCTGCGGTCGGAGCTGGAGCAGCAAAGGGAGGCGGAATGTGTCTGGGTGTCTGGGACTTCAGCCTGGGCTTCATCTGCATCTGCACTTCAGTCCCCGGGAGGGAGACGGTGCGTGAAAGTCTGCCGTCTAGCAATTCGTAACAGTTAAAGTTTATTAATTTCAACTGCCAATTTAGCTTTGGGCAGATACTGCGTCCTTTGTGCGAGGACCTCCGTCTCTCGCCGCCCCGCACACTTGTTGATTGTGATGGATGTGGCCAGTGGCCTCCGGAGCGGGAGCTGCACCGCCGGTTATGGCTGATAATGCCGTCACATGGCGAGCCAACTATAATTTGTTATGTCGACGTGGTTTAATCAACGCCGGCGGCCGTTGGCGGAACTTATTGCAACATTGTGTGGATGGGATGGGCAGGGATAGGCTGGGATGGGATGGGATCGGATCGGATCGGAACGGAATGGATCGGATGGGTTGGTCTGGGATGCGTCGTGGGTCATATACCACTGCTGTATGCGTGTTCCCATTCAGGCCTGGCCGACTGGCCATTTTGGCATTGCGTGTTGTTTAAGGTGATTTTAATACGATCGTAAACTACAGCCGGCCCAGAGGAAGAAGAGCCAGACGCTCGGCCAGACAAAAGTGACGTCGCGACGACGTTGGACGGCTGGACAGTTGGACCGTTGGACACCCCAGACCGGACTTCATGCCACTCGGAGTCCCCACTCCTCGGGGAGGAGAGGAGTTGCAATCACAGAACCTGCGTCGCCGCAGAGCGTTGCGAAAATGGCGTTTTAATGGTTTGTACGTGTAGTCATATTTCTTGGGGCCAACGGCAACTTTTCGTGGCTTGTGCCGCGGTCTTGGGCTCCCAGACTTTTTCAAGCCTGAGCCCGGATCGCGGCTCGAAATATTTATGTGAAAGCAGACAAACAAACAAATGCCCGAGAACCATAAACTTACTAACCATGAAGATAAAAAGCTCAGGGACCAACACACGCGCACGTTACCATTATCTTATCGCCAGACGATCCACGTAACATAACGAGTACCAGACGCACATTAAGCAGCAGGAAGGAACCCAGGGAAGCGGAAGGAGCAGGGCTCTTTCCGGGGCACGGGGCCGGGACGAGGGTCCCAGATCAACAAACTGCAGGGACTCACGCACACTTGTTCTTCGACTCGACTGATGGCGTGGCTCAGCTAAAAGCAAGAGTGAATGGTGGCTAACGATCTTGGCTTAGAACCCGGCTACCGTTTATGGGGATTGCAAAGCTAAATAAGTTACTTGTATGAAAACCTATAAGCTTCAAAACTAAATCATTAGGAGGCTGTGATAAAATCGCTTACGTTTAGCTTCGTATTTTTCACATTGATAAACATTCCTAATTTACCCGTTGTGCTGAGAGGACATAGAAATATCGCTTACAACTTGTGAACTACCACTTTGTTATACTTTGAAACACTCTTATTTATTTTAGATAATCGAAGTTTGAACCTAAATTGAAACCGCTTAAAAATTAAAAGCAACTGAAATAAATGTGTGGAATATTCAAAGAAATGTGTAAAAATTAAAAGTAACTGAAATAAATGTGTGGAATATTCAAAAAAAAATGTGTAAAAATCATGAAACTGTGCTCAAGAAAAGAACTGAAATGATTTATTGTTAACGGATCAAATTTTTTTAAGCAGATCATTTTGCCAATGATTTCATTACGTTGTCGTCAAAATTGATAATTTTTCACAAAATGTTTAAATTGTATAAGTTTAATTAAAGGAAGGACCAGAAATCAACAATTCTACAATTTAAGTATAGTATAGTTTTTAATTTTGTTTCTTTCAGGTTCTGCTTTGGTAACAAATGAAAATTTTACGTTATTGATTAATAATAATACCGACCAGAATATCCGCTGGGGCATTTTTGTCAACAGCAGCTGCTGTTATTGCTGGATTGACAGCTTTTGTTTTCGCATTAACTACAAGCAGTAATTTGCAGCAAAATACTGCAATTAACAGGCAATTGCAGCACGACAGCCTTCTTTTGTCTTCAGCCCCCATGGCACACTAAACTAGTTTGTTCCGTCCGTCTCGGTCGCCTATCCTATCGGATCCGAGGTTCTCGAGTTCGTCTCCGGATTTGGTGCGACTGCGGAACGCCCTCCACGCTTTCCAGCAGCGGTGATTGCCACACAGGCAGAAAAATATGACCGATTCTAGGGTTTTTATAAGTATACGAAGCCCATTACTGTTTTTAAATATGAGAAGGAAATAATAATAATACAAATGGCTAACCAGTTTGTAGGTAAGAAGTTATTTTTTCAGATATGATACAAATTCATTAAAATGATGTTACAATAATGAATGATTACTCACAAAATCAATTATTTTATCCCGGACATTGTCTCAAGACGAAACAAATGAAAAGGCTATACAGGTCAAATGTATTCTTTTACTACGAAATTTTAATTTTTATGTTTAGTGTTTTTCAGAAGCCATTAAATAATTATGCTGTCATAATTTACTGAGGTTAAATGAATTTTAGGTGTAAGCTGATGACGTGTAATAATTAACTATGAACTGCATGAGCCTTTCACAAAGTTATATTATGATTATAATATGATTTTTATCTTTTTTCGATATCGGGTCTAAATGTTCGTTTACTTTAGATTTTGACTGAGGTTAAATAAATTTTAGGTGTCAGCTGAAAAGGATCTAACTATGAGTTGCATGAGCCTTTCACAAAGTTGTATTATGACTATAATATGATTTTTTAGCATATACTTTTGATCTTTTTTCGATATCGGGTCTATACTTTTGTTTACTTAAGATTTTGACTGAGGTAAAATGAATTTTAGCTGTAAGCTGAAGAAGAACTTACTATGAATTGCATGAGTCTTTCACAAAATTATATAACGATTATAAAGATTTATGATTAATGTTTAGCAGAAAAAATTTAATCCTATTTTTGACCTTTTTTCGATCTCGGGTCTGTAAGTTCTTTTTTTAGATTTTGACTGAGGTTAAATGAATTTTAGGTGTAAGCTGAAGAGGAACTTACTATGAATCGCATGAGCTTTTCACAAAATTATATAATGATTATAAAAATTAATGATTAATGTTTAGCATACAAATTTATTCCTACTTTTGACCATTTTTCGAACTCGGTCTATAAGTTCGTTTCTTTTAGATTTCGACTGCGTCTATTTTAGAGATGAATACCCCATATCCAAATATCCTATGTTAGATGACGAAAACCCTTTGAAATGCGATTCCCATCTCTGAACAGATTTGAATGACTTTTTTGCAGTGCTGTCTCTGTCGTGGGCCGACTTGGGGCATTATAATTAATTGGAAATCGGAGTCGATCAATCGGATGGCAACCGCAGAATTAATAAGCATGAATGATGCCGACGACGCGAGTGTTCGCTGTAATTGTGGATGCGCCGCGTACCCGACTCGCGGCCAAAGTGGAGCAGATCGGAGCTGTCGGGCTAATCAAATTGCTGGCAATCACAGAGCCGTATAAGCAAATGTAGCAATTTCAGTCAAACACCGAGAGAGCCGGCAACTTGATATGGCAGTTGCAGTTGCAGACGGCAACAACCACTTGTGGCTGTGACGCGATTCGATTCGCCCCAGCTCAGCCCAACTGGGGCTGGCTGGAAACCCCAGTCGAGTCAATCAAATGCAAAATTGCGGTTCTTTGTTGATTGTTGTTAAATTCGCACAGCCGCTACTCAGCAACAGCAACATCAGCAGCAGTTGCAGCAGCAGTAGTGGCAGTTGCAGCAACAACTCGCAATTGCCGAGTGCAACTAGGCCTTCCATACCAATTAATTTGATTGATTTTCGCAGTCGGCAGCCAAAATACATACCTCGGCAGGGACCCGGATACGCCACGGCGATGGACCGTCCAATTTGGCAAATCATCCGGTTTATATCACAAGCGCTCCTGTACGTCTTCCCGTCCACTCCGCACACCGCCTGTCGTTCGTCGTAGCCACTGGAGCCCAGGTCCTGGTTGTCCCAGGGACACTCGATTTTGCACTGGATGCAGTGCGGCATCATGTACTGGTCCTCCACGCAGGTCAACCCGTTCAAGCACTGGACTCCGCTGCAGCTGTCTGGAGGAGATGATTGGATAGGTTAAGGATTTTTTAAGGATTCAAGTTTTCTCAAGATTGGCTTTTCTCACAATGTTCACATATTTGCAAAGCTTGTAATAAAATGTTATCTATGTAAGCCATTTAGAAATTATAACTATGCTCTATGCTTTAAAAACTAATTTTATTATATTACTAAAGATAGCCCTAAAGAGTTACTATCAATCCCTCAGGTCTGACCCATTTTTCCCTTTTAAGACGAATCTTCGCTACCAATCATCCGAATATGTTGCACCTTGCAACTATGTTTTTGGCATTTACGAATGCTCTTCGCATATGGGCGCTGATTGTGCCTATAAATAAGTAGTTGGCCAATGTCTATGATTAGCCCGCACCCCACTGGCGGCCACTCGAATCACTCGGAACTCTCGGCAATATGCGCCTATATGGCCGGCCATAAACTGTCGAAATTTATCAGGGGGACATGCGGCCGCTGATGCGAAAAGGCGAAACGCCTTGGCGCCAACTGTGACACTCGCGAAATATTGCAATCATTTTTCCGCTCGCAATTGAATGCGAATGAGTGGTCGCCGCAGATCGGCATCGGAATTGCCGATTGGGCATTCCACTGGATATATTGGCACGCGCCAACGTTAGATTGCTGGAATTGCTGTTGCTATTGCTATTGCTGTTGCTGTTGCTGTTAATGTTGCTCCTGCCACTCCCGGTTTGTGTTGCAAGTTGCTGGATGCCGGTCGCAAATTGCCGGTTGCAGGAGCACCAGCAACAGCAACAGCAACAGCCAGAGCAACAGCAACAGAATGTCGGGTGCTTGCGGCTAATCCAACAAGTTCTTCGGTTGGGTTCTCGGCCTCTCGGCTCATCGTTCTTGTACGCCGTTTTTATTGATCATTTGAGCATGTTTGCGAGTGCTTCCTGTATCATTAAATTATTACACAACATTTCTGGCCGCAGTCTGGCTGGTTGGCCAGTTGGTTTCACCACTGGCGACAAGTTGTTGGCCGTAATTGAAATGTGCAATAATTTGTCATCTAATCTAATTGTGGCGCTGCTGCGTTTTGGCACGCGAGCAACCCAGTCCACCTACACTCGCAGAAAGATTCGTTTGCGAATTGCTACTCTTGGCCACAAAACTGTTTGGAATTCGCCACTCAATCGCTTCAGTTATTCGGCGAGTGCATGTGACTGGGGCTGGGGCTTGTGGCCCATGGTAAATGCTTTTGGCGGACTCACTCTTGCAGTGGCCCCGATAGGCGACCTCCAGTTGGGCGTTGTTCGTCCGGCAGGCGCGCTTGCGCAGCTGGCACTCGGTTTTGTAGGTGCGTCCGTCGGTGCCGCAAACCGGATTCGAGTGCTGCTGTTGGAGGAAAGGCATCCGAGTTAGCCGACTTGGCCCCGAGGAGCAGGCAATGGCCGGTACTTACCAGCTCGTAGACTCCGATTCCGCCCAGAAGAGCCGAGTCATGGGCATTAGCGAGGTCCGATGACGCGGTCGTTTCGCTTCCGCGTTGCAGCTGGAAGATGCGGCGGTCGTGCGGCGACCCAGACCCAGACACTGTGGTATTCGCAGCCGCCTGGGCTTCTGCATCCAATCCCAGCCGATCCTGGAGCCCATTGTCTGGATGTGGAGCGTGCTCGATGCGTCTCGCGTGGTGGTGTCTGACTCTTGTCGACTGCCTATTAATGTCGTTGGCGGGTTCATTAGCATTTGCCGAGTTGCCAAGTCTAGACTGAGCCGAGATTGAGTCTGTGGCAGGCGACTGCGACTGCGACTGCAACTGCGGCTTCAACTGCCACTGCGCAGGCGTCTTGTCTGCCGGGGACGAGTCATTGGCTCCTGTCGTCATTGATCTTGTTAAGTGTTTGCCCCGGCTGTTTCTGTGCCTCCGCCTCTCGAAGCCCCGCATCTCGACTCTTCCGCGCCGGCCGCTCGTGGGCTGATCTGGCAAATTGCCGCTGTCTATGACCAGCAGTCTGCGGTGCTTCGTCTCGCGGGGAGGCAGCTTTCTTTGGTTGTCGGCACGTTGGCGTTGGCCGCCGTCTAAGCCTAAATTGGAGTTGAAGCTGGAAGTGGAGCTGAAGCTGGAGCTGGAATTTTCGCTACTTAGACTACGGGAATCGCGGGCTGGCTTCGTGTCCTGCTGCTCCTGCGTCCTGCGACGCAACGCTGCTCCGCATTCGGGGGCACAAACGCATTTCGGTCGCCCCTTGCGCTTCACGCACTTCTTGTTGGGGCCGCACTTGAAGCCCTTGCAGCTCTCTTGGGAATCGAATTAGATAATAGTATACATATTTTTGAATAGGCAATCTATAACTCACCCATGCAGGGCGAGCACTCCACTCCTCCGCCGATGGCCGTCGCAAAGAAGTACTCCACGCTGCTCAGCTCGCGATCCGTGTAGGAGAAACTTTGGCTGGCGCCACAGCACTCCGACCTCGAGATGTTCGTCGAGAAGACCTGGCCGCACTTTCCACTCCCCAGGTGGTTCTGCCAACAGGTGCCAGCTGTTAAGGATAATGAACCCTTACAAACCTCATCCAATTTTATACAGAAATTCAGTCTAGGTGCCGAAAGAACTGCTTTGAAATCTACCCAATCGATTTGATCCCGCTAATTTCTTGTCTTTTGATAATGCTTTCTCAATAACTAAGTAAAACGGAGTACTAAAATTAATCACTTAAGTTAAACAAACTCTTTAATGTAAACAAAAGACACAGATTTCTTCATTCTCAATGTGCAATGAATCACGTAAGCTGTTGCAAAAATACGATCTTGCACTTTATGCAAATTTAATTTAACAAGAAACTCGAAAAAATGAATTATTATTTCCCTAACCTAACCGGAAGAAAGCAGTTGAAGCTCCCCTTTCGCAGTGGTCAAATTACGTGCAGGTATTGAATTGAGCAAAACAAATATTATTTGTTTACTTTCAAGATTCAGCAGGAATGCGGTGTGCCGGCTGTTTGCAAATATTACTGTGTGATGTGCGAGTTCTCGCCAACTTTTCTGCTCCAACTTTTTTCCTTTTGCATTTAGATCTGCTGCTTGATGTGATCAAATCGATTTGGCAGCCCAAGCAGTTTTCGGCATTTACTGGATAAACAAACAGCCAGAGCAGGGCTGTGAGAAATTGCGTCACATTCGGATATAATGTGACACATTTATCGAGGCGAATGAACTGGCGAGGGAACACACGAGTACGAGTTTATGGTATGCAAACCGAATGCAGGCGCCACTCTCCGCGGCTCGAGTGAGATTCTGATGTATCTGAAAGAGGCTGGGACTGACATGCAGCCGGCTAACTACTTACCCGCCGCCAGGCGAAAATTCAGTAGCAGCAATCCAATTAACAGAGCCATCAAAGGCTGTCCAACCAGCAACTGATGGCCAGAAGATGCTCTCGTGCAGCGCTTGCTTTTTATTGGACTAGAACTGGCCAAGTGTTCGGGTTGCTGCTTCTGATGTTGCTGCTGCTGCTGCTGCTTGTGTTGCTTGTATTGCTGCTTTTGCTGTTGTTGCTGGTGTTGTTCACGTGCCATTGACACCTCGTCAGAGCCATCAGGCAACGCATTGACGTCACGGCCAGGGAAAACACAGCGATCGCCATCCTGCCAGCAGCAATTGACCAACTCTTGCAAAGCGCTCCATGCGCTTACTATAAATAAACCTAGAATTGTTCTACATTCGCGGCTAGTTGCTCTTGCTGACGTCTTTGACATTGTTGCCGCTAATTGGTTCGCCGTACGCGCTTCCGACATCGACGCAGGAAGTGCGCGGATCGTGTTCATGTCTCTGCGCTTGAATTTGTAATTCGATTTTAGAAACGTCAAATTGTTTTGGCTGCTCGTCGGCTGATGATGGTGGTGATGAGGCATGACAACGGCAAGTGCTGCGGATAAACAAAAGCAGAGGGTGGGCAAACGCACTCGAGTAACAGGTAACGGCCAACAGGCAGCCAGCCAGCCAGTCAGCCAGCCAGCCAACCAGCCAGCCACCGGAGGACGGATTCAATTAGACAAGGCACACTGCCACTCCAGCTCGAATGGAGATGGAGATGGGGATGGAGATGGGGATGGTTATGGGGATCGGGGTGGAGACGGGGATGGAGCCTCGAGTGGAGTGGCACGCCAGCCACATGATGCAACCGGCGGCAACCGCGGCGGCAGCAGCAGAAGCAACAGTCAAGCACCAAGAATGTTTTGTACAAAAACGACGGCCAAGAGGCAACAATTAAGTCTCAAACGCTGAGTTGACATTGAGCAGGCGGTTTTCAAAATGCGACTACTAAAAATAAAGAACCTGTTGCTGCTGCCACCGCAGTGTTGTAGGTTTGGCGCATTATGCACCGTCTGTCTGGCTCAGTGCACTGAGAGAAGGGCTTAGGCAATAAATCACATAGTAAAGGCTCAAAAATTATGGAAGATATTTATAAATTCTCCGTAAAATACTAAACTATTATGTTTTGTACAGGGATTTTAAAACAAATACAAACATTTACCTACTTATATTTGTAATTTGTGATGAAATATTTCTTTCCACCCTTCTTTAATAAGATGAAAGCTCCCTAGTTTTTTCTCTGAGTGTACCTTTTTCCCTCTGCAAGCCCCTCTTTCTGCCTGTCTGACTGTCTGTTTGCTGGTTTGTTTGTTTGTTCGGCTGGTTGTTTGTGACTTGCAGTTTGGCGCGCTAGTTTGGCATTTGTTTTATTTTGGCTGCCGTCGCCATCGCCATCGACATCGCCACAGCCATCGCAGTCGCAGTCGTCGTCATGGCCTTAAGGACGTGCTCAAGACAACATGTGCAGACGGAAAAGAACAGACTGAACGTGACTGGAGTGTGACGGCTTGGCTGGAGTATCCTAATTTGGCCAACTCGGCGAACGTCCTTGAGGCGCTGACTGCGCTCCCCTATTCAATTAGCCCACTTCAGCTGGATCCCCTTCTGCTGGTCCGACCGACTGGCAGTCAGTCCATTATCGGAGGTTCAGCTGCTGTTGCAAATGTTGCAGCTCCCCGCCTTTCCCGCCCCGCCGGCAATTAATGACCTACTGCGTCTGGAGTTCATGTCCATTGGCCGGCCCAAAATTATTGCGTTAACACGCGTTGCGACATTTTATATGGCGGTCGGTCGGCCGGTCGGCCGGTCGATCGTTCCACTGCAATTTCGCCGACGTCTCCGCATCCGGCGGTCGTCCATTGTCCGTTGTCCAGTTGGCGCGCCAGACGATGTCTGCACTCACACAGAAATGCAGGAAAAGTATAAAAAATAACACACGCACTTGCCGTGGAGCTGGCGATTGGCGATTGGGGACTGTGGACTGTAGATTGGGGATTGGGGATTGGGGATTGGGGCTTTTGCACTGCAGTTCCATTGCAGTTGGAGCTGCAACTCGGGCTTCGGTTCGAGCTGCATTCCTGCAGCCAGGCTATTTTTAGACCCCGGGCAGTCAATGGGTTTTTATAACCTTTGCAGACGGTATCGCAAATAACTTGGTTACGACAAATGTAACGGACTAATCCATACGAACAGCTAATATCGCTCGTTTGCACCGAAAGAAATCGCTTTCGATTGGCATTGAGCTATTTAAAACAAGAAATAAATCTTTCCTTGAATATATTTGTACAAGTTTGTATACAGAATGTTTTAAGCTTTGAATACAAATATCCTGCTAATAACGATGCCATCTTTCGAAACATTGTGTCTCTTTCAATTACCATTTCTCTTCTAGCATTTCCCCACTAATGATCCCATTTTTCTCGCAGTGCGGTGAAAGTGTTAATCCGACATGGCCATACCTAGATAAAAGCCTCAGATTGCAGCTCCGATCGCGACTGATCCGCTAAGGACTTTCCTCTGGCCGGCGACTGGCGAACCCACCGGCTTTGCTCTGCTGTACCCAAACTCTTCGTACCCGAATGCCTCGAATTCCTTGATGCTCGCAAAAATGTCTTTTGGGCACAGCCACAAATAACAAAAGTACAGGAGCAGCAGCGCGAAAAAATGCAAGGAGCGCCGGAGCGACGACGAGCCACAAAATGCATTCTCCTCGGCAACTGCATTGCCAAACTCAGGCCCAAAGAGGGGCACCACCACCACCACCACTACACTCGCACTCGAGCAGACTGTCTGGGGTTGTATATATGTGCGAATATACCTATATATACATATATACCATATCCATATAGCTATGGCGAATGCCGTCTTCTGGAGATGCAGTTTGACCGTTGGCCGCCGCTTCAAAAGACCTGTTTTTATGTTTTTGGGCATTTATTCTGGATTTTCGCAAAATGTGTTTTTTTTCTGCTGTGCGCATTTTCGTTTGTATTGAATTGCATCTTCTGCTGCGCTGATCCTGGGCTTTTGCTGCTGCGGCTGCTGCACTTCGGCAACAAGTGCATAATTTCAACCTCAAGCCCCAGGCTGGCCGAAAAACTTGCATCAAACGTGGTGCCGAGTTTCACTGCGGTTCTCTCAGGTATTCCACCAAAAACAACTGCACCGCCTTCAGTTACATTTGCGTATTAGATTAAGCCGCTCCCAGGCAATCCAGCTACCAGCCACCAGCTACCAGATCCCAGCACTCGCAACCCAGAACTCAGAACCCAAAACTCAGAACCCAGAACCATATATGTAAGCCCAGTGCGTATCATATTGTGATACTGTGCCACAGAGCACGTGCTGTTTGTCCCATTGTCCCGTCCAGGAAACCGATCCTCCAGACGGCGGCACAGAATATTTGGAAAAACAGATAGAGTTGCGAACGAAAACAGATCGTGGAATCCATCGATTCTATCCTGAGAATTTTGGTATGAATATGTGGGAACTGCACAGTAAGAAAGCCGTGTGATATTGTTAATATTAATGGTTTATGTTAAAAATCGAGAGAAAATCTATTTCTTAAAAAAAATACAAATGTATCTAAGAAATATATTTGTATTGACTAAACCCCAACGATCTCTAGAAAGGGGAATCAACGACCTCGTATCTGATTTCTTTCCGTGTGGTTTAGTTTCCACTCTACGCTCGCCTGGACTCGCGATCCCGCAATCCAGCAATCCAGTCACCGACCGACTTTGAGCTCCATTCAGGCCGATTGCGCAATACCGATCAGCGATCGCGAGTGGCAGACCCGGCTTAAAGCTATTTTTAGCGCGGTCCGTTCTGCGGAACCCTGTGGGTCGCCCAACTGAATGGCGGAGCTGCAGAAAAAAAGGTCAACGTATTTGGTTTCATAAGCAACAAACGGCCCAAACCGAAATCGATGATTCCGGCAGGAGAGGGGGCTTCTAAGGAAACAGTTTGTCATTCGCCAACAACAGGAAATTCCTTTCGGCAAACTCATCAGCCAAAGTAAACTGTGCGTCTCCGTTTTGGCGCGAGATTAATGACACTTGGACGGCGGCCACGCCCCCTCCAACGCCTTCGCCCACTTGGGAATTTGCATATGACAGCAGCAGTAGTAGAAGCAGCAGAAGCTTCGTTGTTTGTTATGCAAGCAGTAAATTTTCAATAAATATACATAAGCCAACAAACAAATCAAATCAAACCGACAGTGGCTGTATCATCAGCAGCATCGCAAGAGCAGACAGCTGGACTGTCTGCACAGTGAGAAATCGGTTCAAATTCAATGGAAAAATATATATCCGAAATCAATCAGAAATAATTTTCAAGTTAATTTAACTCCTTATTAAATAAACTTATTTTCAAAAAGTTTAATTTGCTTGATTGTATTAATAAAGTGTAAATTTATATTGGTCAACAAGCTCACTCTTTTCTCGCCGTGTTTTGCTGTTGCTCTGGGCGGAGGCTTGTCTGATAAACACAGACATATAGACAGTCACTGACCACCGAGATCCGTAGACAGCGACTGCTGAATGTTTGTTTTGCCAGCGCTCGAATGCCACGCGTTGCACATACGCAGCGTTGGCCGAAACGAGAAAAAAACGCCGCTTGACACTCGAAGCTGTTTGTAGTTGTTGCGCTCAGAAGAAACGCTCGACGGCTCATTAGCAGCCGCCAGAAAAGTCAAAGAGTAAACAGGAAATCTGCAGGACAACCGAGGCAAAAGCGCGCGCGCGCGTTTAATTTGCTATTTGCTTATTCTACGAGTCGTTGGCTTCACGCCACTCATCTTCCAAATCTGAATTTGAATATGATTCTGGTTCTGATTCTGATTCTGATTCTGAATCTGAATCTGATTCTGAATCTGGAGATGTTTCTGCTGGCTGGAGACTCAGCAAACCGCAAATAAAAACAAATATCGGCTCACATGAAATCCGAGCTGTTATTGAGTCTTTCGATCGCCTTTTGTTGACAACTATGCAAGAATTTTGTTATTGTCTGAGATGGGCAAGTAATGGTACGTGGAAAAATTCGTCTGATGCGGCCGGGATAAATGAAAATGAAACAGAATATCCAGATGATAGCTGTCTGTCTGTCTGGCTGGGATTCGCTGCCAGAAGGCTTATCTAAACATCTCCAAACTCTGATATAATTGCGAACTCACCTTCTTAACTGCACCTTGTGGCGGTGTTGCTGTTTTAGAAATAACTTTCGCACTTAGACGTGTTTGTTTGCCAAATAATTAGCAGCCGACATGCAGAGAGTATAGATTGTGTATATACGTATGACACTTAAAGGTTTTACAAGAAATCAAGCTTAAAAAACCCAAAAAAATAAAAACATTTCCGCACAACTGAAAACAAAATGAAAAGTTGCCGACCGGTGATCGCACTTTTGCCCACACTGTTTTGCTGAGCCTTCGGATTTCGACAGTTTCTGCCTGGGTTTATTTACATTTCCCCGATTTCGTCTGTTCTGTTCTGGAATCACGAAACTGGACACAGCACTAGTTTTTACTTGTTACTTTACTTTTTTTCTGGGGACCGGAGACGTGCGCTCCATCTGATGGTCGAATGCCGACTGAATTTTGAAAACCAAAGTTCTCATTTAGGTAAGAAAAGAGGCAGCAGTCTTACACCCATACACATGCAAAGTGCCGCACAATGGGACGACTGGCTAATTTTAGCGACACTCACTGACAAATTAAAAACTGAAAAATATTTTACAGGACCAATAATAAGAGTTTTGCTTGGGTAGATGCAGGAAAGATTGCGATTCTTAGTTTTAGTTTAGGATACACTCAATAAAAACGAAAAACATTTCAGATTGCAACTAGTGAAAATTATATTGTAAACATTTAATAAATGCTATAATAATAAATGAAATAAATTTTAAAAGATTTGGCTTAAAAAGTTCAAAACCAATCAAAAACCAATATGTAGGTCTTCAATATTACTTGGGTTATTACAAAAAATTGTTGGTTTTATTTTGTTTATCGAGTGTATCCAAAAATAAATTACTTTTTTAAACAAAAATGCCCTAATTTTCACCACTGTGCAAGGCACCGCCGGCTGCTGTGCGGCTGTGTGCGTGAGAGGCATGTAAATAACTCGCTCAACGGCTTCGCAGCAACATGTTGCCGGAAATGCATTTCCGGCTGAGACACTTAGCCGCCGTGTTGCCGCAACATGTTGTTGGTGGCAGCAACATCAACAGCAACAGCAACAGAAGCAGCAAAATCGAAATCAACTGCAAGAGCTCAACGCGCAACGCGCAACGCTCATTAAATGCAGCGAAATCATGCCGCGGCCATATAGAAAAATATCTTTATCTACGGCCTTAACTATCTATTGTTTGGCCAGAGCAAAGCGGCAGTCAGGCAGCCGAGAAAAACGATTTCTTTATGGTGCAAACAGCGTCATAACTTAGATCTAATTGTCAGATACTTGCGACCGGGCCACGTACTGCATGTCGCTGGGCCCAGCAGCCTCGGAAAATGTGGAAATGAAATGAAGACATTTGACGAGGGAGCCGCCGCACTGGACAGCCGAGGAGCAGTTTTGCCAGTTGGATTTTACGTCAATTACGGCGTGGAGCGTTTTATTGGCCAATGGCGTGCTGGGCGCGTATTAAGCCTGCTCGCTGATAGCGGCAACCCGGCTGCATGCTCCACCTTCGCCTTTCCGTTCCCCTTCTCTCTGGCCCCTGCCTCCCTAACCCACTAATGATGGCCAGTACGGATCCGGATGCATGCGGCGGTCACATCGCCGGCTATTTATTGGATGTGCATCTAATGAGACATTGGCATTGCTGGCCATAATTTGAGGCGAGTGAAACGCCGAATCGGGTTTGATATATGCCATTCAATATTTGGAAATGCAATCAATTTCAGGCAAAATAATCATACAGCTAAGGGGAAAATATTAGTCATTGGCCTAAAAAAAATTCAAGTTCCTATACAAACGATTGCCATAGAATTCGATTTTATGAATGAAATTCGCCAACATATATTCCTCCGCGTGTTTTTGTTTCCGCCCGTCAGAATAAATCAAACGTCTAAAGCACATCAAAGCGAGCTGTATGACATTTGAACTGCCAGCGGAAATGAATGAATGGTCTTCGAAATTATTCGGCTATAAATACGCTCGCTTCCCCCTTTTAATCATGCGAATCCATGGGACATCGCTACGTATACGTAATATGCCCAGGTTCAGCTATCTTTGACATTTCTCACGATAATTAGTCCTAAGCACTGGGCGAGGGCGAAGGGCGGAGAGCGGTGGGTGGTGCAGTGGGGCGTGGCGCAGGTGGGCGTGGACGGCTTAAGTGACGGCAATTTGCGGTGCCTCAAGGATATTCAATGACAAAAAGAAATTGCTTTGTATTAAGCCGTCTGCCAGTGTCTAGACTGATTTCCACAGCACACATGGGCGGTATTTGCGGGAAGTTCGACGAGGGGAGGGAAAGTAAGGGGGGCGAGCTGTGTGTAATAGTCCGCTTAGGCTTGCCATGCTGTCGGCACTTTACATCAAAGTAAAGCCATTGCAATTGGCTAGACAGCGCCTTATAATCCTCTGCCGTCGGTCGGTTGTGTGTTCCTTGCCGAACTCCATTCATACGCACTTGCTCGGGGATCTGCTGCGGTTTGGTAATGGATAGTGCTGACCGGCTTCAGCACAACTGGCCCATGCATGATTAATTGGGCTTGAGGAGCGCAGGCAGCCGGCAGAACCCACGAAACTTGCCCGAATCTTGGGCATGTGACTATTCCCGGGAAGCGTTTCCGATCGCCAACGCCCACACATTCCTCGCGTTTTATATCATTTTAGTAGGTACGTGCTGCCCTTTAAATAGTTTGATGCATTGTTCTATGTCCAAGTGATTCACTTCCTTGCATGGGGTTCACTACTACTAGGTTTTATAATTGTAATCAGATTTTGCAGTGGCGTTCCTCGAAAAGTTTGTAACTCTCTAACGAACTCCATCATTAGTTATTTTTTATTTTTTGGCCGATTTTTTTAAATTTTATTGTCAAACTTTCGATTTATGGGTCTTCAGAAAAATTATCGAAACTCAGCCCATCTTAATCCATAACTTTATTTATTTTGATCCGATTTGGATCAAAGTTTGTCTAAAAGTTTGTAATTTAATTCCAAAAACAACTGCATCATTATAAATTTGCTTATTGCTTGGCCGTTTTTTTTTTCCAATTTTTTAAACGCAGTCAAGCCATACAATCCATTTGCCCGCCTTTATTCAAATTCCGATATAAGACGTTGCTACACAGTGGCGACCTCTACACAGTGGCATCGGGAACTGCGCTGCCTTTCTGGCAACGCTGTGTGCAACTGATTCTGTGTGATAAAAAATTCAAAAGTAACTGGACATATTTTTTATTTGTAGCGGCAAATAATGTTGTATTTGTACAATACTTTTTAAACAATTACATACTTAAAAACAAAACCAAGTGTTTGATCGGTCGAACCCGCTTTATAAACAGTTTTTGATTCCAAATTCATAGTTGGTAATAAAAATGGGTTCTAAAAACTACCTGATATCAGCTCTTATCCAAGAATAAAATCAATTCCACATACAAACATACAAAGCAAGGCATGCGTTTCCCGTACTTAAAGTCTAATTATGTAAAAAACCACAACCGAAAGAATTAGTCTTTGTTGGGAGTTTAAAGTGTGCAGTGGCTTTGCATTCATAAATCCGAAAAAAATCCGAACGGCAGCTGCAACCGCAGCTAATCACGTTCCAGTGACGCCTGAGCAGAGTCTTGGCCCTCCATGATTTGAATATTAATTTAGCTAAATGTTCTGGGCAGGCGACGACAGCCACTCGTTGTTTTTATGTGATGTGTAAGGAGCATTTAACAGATAGTCTGATTGTTTTATGACGACAACGTGCCAAGCGCAACGAACGAGTGCCAATGGACACTAAAGTTGACAATTACAACTGCTGATCTTACGGATCGGAATGGCTTATTTGCAGCGACATTGTGGGATTCGAAATACGAGATTGTTTTTCAGCTAGCCCTGAGCCAAAAAAAAACCTATCAAAACGGCTTAAGCTGACTTTTAGCTGTCAATAACTCCCGGTCGTAAATGTACTCCAAAATCTCGCATTACACACTTGACATATATTCAAGAGGAACCCGAGATAGGGAACGAGATCTTCCATTGCAGCCGGAAGGGAAAAGATTGATACTCCGCGTTCATTCATTGTTTTACGACTCTATCGCAGTGAAAGTGTTTATGGCCGTACTTTTCGCATGAAAGGTGGCATTATGTGGGCGTCGTCTGCCACTCATTCGGCCTCCGATATTTGGGTTAACAGATCAATTACGGACCGGCCTCCTTAATGAGTTCAACCTGTCGCGGCGCTTGATCAGCAAATCGAAACTGAAAGGGTTGGTTGCTCATTACTTTTATGACTGTCTCTCAGGCCTAAAAAATTTCCTTGCCATTCCATGAGATTTTATTGCTCACTTTTACTCACTAAGATGCAGTTTTATTTTTTGAATTGCCTGGAACTATTGTTTCTGGCAGTGAAAAACATATATTTCTTATCTTGGTGACGTCATAGGAAGGTGAACACCTGCCTTGAATCACGGACGTGTTCACCTTTTTTCCACTTCCTTTTGACATTTATGCATGCTCAGAAAGCCCAAATAAGGCGCCGCAGCTCTGCACCTGAAGCTCACGTCTCGTTTCGGTAAATATCAATATACATAGGTACACTTCTAAAAACAGGAACCTTTAAATATATTTGTGGTTAAGTTGATATAACATTCTTAATTCAAGTGTCTTTAACATATAACTGATAACCGATTATAGTTTGGTTGAATTTTACATATTAAGGTAACATATTTTCAAAAATATATCTACTAGCAATACTACTGCCATTGAATCATCCTATTTAATCCCTGTTCAAAGATTAAACCAAAGCGTTTCCCCAGTGCAGTTTACACCGACTCTGCTGTTATTGTTGATGAGATGCATCACATATAATATAATCACAAAAGTGCTGATTAATGCCCGCCGCTCATAATGCAATTGTGATGGAGTTGGAGTGCTGAAACTTCCGCCAAGTGTAGCGACAGATTGTAGCTGCAGCGATCCATTTCAAGGGCAGCTCCCCCATTTCATCCATTTCATGGGCTCGTAAGACCCATTCGAACGGTTCAATTTGCACCCTGTTTTTGTGCAGCTCGCATCTGGAGAATGGGATGTGCGCCAGAAATAGCTGCCCCCGATTGTGACAGGGGGGCGGAGGGCGGGGGTCGTGAACTTCAATTATGTGCCTGGCAACGGGGCGTGGCCCCTTCCCCAAGCAACCCCTCCCCCTCCCTCGCCGCCCACCAGCAGGTGCCATGTTACTGCTGGGGTGCTGCAATCGTTGCTGTTGCTGGCGTGCACTCGTGTTGCCGCCGGGCAGCAAGCAGCAACTAGCAACTTGCAACACATAATTGCCGTCAAATCGCCTGGCGAGCGCTTAATTGCGCGTTTCAATAGCGGCGTGGCCCAGAAAACGCTTTAGTAAACCGAGTTATCCGCCCTTTTGAACTTCTTGTGTTTACTTAAGGCCCCGCCAAACATTCAATTTTCGAACTTTAACGAGAACTTTATTTATGAATCCCGATGGGAGCATTCGGTGACTTGTGAATTGACTTTTATGGCGGTAATCTTTTCCTGCGGCTGCTCTTATCGGTCGAAGCAACTTTTCCAGGCCTCGGACCCCACTTTCGTTTTATTAGTTTTTATTGTTTTACATTGTCTTGATAAACGGAACGGCCTGCCTGCGCTGGAAATCAATTGCTTGGACGCACACAGTGCAGCGATCTAAGCGCGGTTTTCCAGCTTATCGGCCACGGAAAAGTCGACTGGCGGTGGCCGGGGGAAAAGTCAACTGAAGTACAACTACTCCCCTGCTGATCTAATTGAACCTCTGAACCCCTGAACCCCGCGTGCTGGGCTCAATTTCATGTCACCGAGTCGTAAGGCCATTAATTGTGGTCACCACCCAACCTACCCCAACGCTGGGTGGATAGCGCAGCAACTCGCCATAAAGAGGAAAATTTTTCGAGAGCTCTAGGGTCCGCTGATAAGCGGTTTGATTGCCATGCAAACAATATTTTGTGGCCAAGTTCAATGACAGCAGTAGCCACCAGTGAGCCGCGCGATTCGGGTGCCCACTCGCCTGGAAATCGTGATCGGCATCCTTCATGTCCGCCATATGCTCTCCGCTTTTCCATTCGCGCTTATCCCCGTCCCAAAAAGTGATCACTCTGAAAAATAACTCAAGATTTTGTTTTTTTATGAGAATTTTTTTTAATGAAGTCGTGGAAAATGTAGGGAAGAAGGTATAAAATGGAACTTTTTACAATAAATTGAGTCAGATAAGGGCTGAAAATGTTATTATTTTTCTAGCGACTATCATTTTATTGACCCACACTTTGAATAAATAAAGACTAGATAACACAGACTTAGTAGCCCTACTTATGATTTGATTATGTTGTATTTCTCTTGTAAAGAGAGTTAAATAAAAGCATACAGGGAATAAGAATAAACATTTAATCAGGAAAGGGAGGCATGAATATTAAGTTGGATTGCCTTGTTTTTCCCCGTGCAGATCAGATCTTGGCGAGCTTGCATTAAACCCTTCGTAAATATTAATTATAACGAAATACTCGAGATGATGAGGAGCAAATAGCAGGCCCGTTCCCCTCGAAGTCCCTGCAATAAGTGTCCACAATAAATACGGCTCCCTGTTGGAACTCCATGGCGACAGGCGGCGAGAAGGCGACGCCGTTCGCTTCCCCAGTTCCCTGTTTTCTGTGGTGTGTACACTGTGTACACTTGGGCGTGCACTTATTTATGTGCGTCCGCCTGTGAGCGGCAATCGCGTGGGGGTGTGGAAGTGCAAGTGGCGTTCCGAACAAGGAGAGCCACCACCCGGAATCGTCAGGAACGAGTTACAGTTGCCATCGAAAGGGAAAACAAAATTAAAGAACATGTAAAAAGAATTAAAAGCAATAAAAATACAACTTAGGGTTGCGCATGCGCATAGAGAGAGAGGGGATCTTAAGTACAAACTAAAATACAAAACCTTTAAATCTCTTAAATACATTAATTGATTTAAAATGTTCTCCTCCTTTTAAAATTGAAAGAATCACAGCACACAGAGAGGGATAGCAATTCACAGCTCTCAACGACATGAACACATGTATCTTCAGAGGCCAGTAGCTGAAATTCGTAAGATAGGAATACCCGCCCAGGTCAGAATCTCTCTTTCGACAAACGCGTGTGGTGGGCACACCGGCAGCGGAATCGACTGCTGTCCAAATGGGCTGCAGCTCTTGAATTCATTTCATTTCGGTTCGAGTCGTCGGAGAGTTCGCTTGCACCACTGATCTGTGGTCCCTGTTGTGTGCTAGTGTGCTAGTGTTGCGGACACAAAATAACTCTGCTCTACGGCATATATAGATATATGCAGATAGTATGGTCCAGTAGTCGTTATAGCGTGCGGTTTACAGCGACTTGTCGCCGGCGAAGTGACAAAAGCCCAAAACAAGTTTGGCCCGATTTTCAGCTAGATCTCGCGAGAGCATGGCGAAAGCCGGCCGGGCCTAATTAAATTAATATAGTTTCGAGAGAACGCCGGCATCCAGCGATCTCGAGTGTGTGAGTGCTTTAATTAAATTCAATTAATCATAAATAAGTGAGTGCCAACGGATCCTGTGCTAGTGGCGTGGCTCTCCGGCGCAATTGTGATTTATTGGCCGCAGAGAAGCCGGGCGGATTCAAGTGAAATTACGGAATTACGAATGCGAAACTTAATTTTGATGAGTTCCAATGAAAGCTGAATCGAAAATGTTCCCCCTCGTGCTCCTCGTCCTCTTGGCGCTGCTTTCGCAGATCGAAGCCTTCAACTTTATGCCCCGACCCAGCAGTGTGATAGGCTCGCCGAGCCATCTGAAGTTCCACCTCAACCAGACGCGGAGCTCCTACTTTGGATACACGCTCGTCATCCGTCCAACCAGGTGAGTGCTCGTTTTCCAGCTGGGGATCGCCGTTAAATATTTGCATACCGTGGGGAGTGTGAAACTGGGATACCGATTCCGATAGCCGACATACATATCCCGTGTTTGTTTTGCCGCAAGACAAGCGAGCGCTTTCAGCTCCGAGCCAACACCTCTGTCAATATTTTCAAACTTCTGGCACACGGAAATGAAAAACTTTGAAACCGAGGCTTGCGAAAGGGAATCTACAGAAGTGGCAGCTCGACAAAATTAGTGTTTGGTGGCTTTATTGGCAGTTAGCACTCATTTTCACAGCAATTAAAATGTTATTTCGCCCAGTCGTAAATGGATGCTCGGCACAGAGGCTCGAATTTCAGGACAGAACTAATGGCATGTCGAAAACCCCAGCTTGAAAACCTCTCAGAAACAATACCACTTCAGACGGAAATTTCTAAAAATAACAAAAACTGGCTACTTCAACTTCAATTGCCATCAGCTACAATTGCCACAGATCTGAGAGATCGCGACTCCGTCTCGAAGAATTGACAAACCCGAACACTTTTCAGTGAGCTGGGGCGACCTACATATCTCACAAGATATGTGTGGAGACCCGATGGCGGCTACTTTTGCTTTGGAGTACGGGCCCGCAAATGACATCACACACCTCAAACGGCGCCACAAATCACAGTTAATTGAATAAGAAGAAAGTGCTCAGATCGAAGCTGAGATACTCTTCTTCAGATACTCACCGAAAAGTATCTTTTAAAGTTTTATCTTATATGGGGAGACAATCTATTTTAATTGCTTTTAATAGAAATCGTGCATAAGTTTCTTAATTTTAGCTGAGTACTAGAAGAGTATCTTTGCCAAAGCTTCAGATACAAAACTTCAGCTTGTTGTCTTGAGTACTTCCATATCTTGATTTATTTCGGACAATCTTAACTCTGGTTAGAATGCAGTACTCGCATGTGATCATAACGAGCTGGCCTTTGACCATGTTTTTTATTTCCATAAACCTGGATGGGTAATTTGGAACTTCCTCTACGGTGCCCCTCCTCTGTTTTATTACCCGCACTTCAAAGCCCAAATACCCATGGCTGTTGGCCATTACGAAGTGCGCCTAATTATGTACGGAAATTGCGCGTAAAATCACGACAAGCCGTAATTTATTTCACATCAATTGAAGCTGGCTGAAACAAACAGAAAATGCAAAGCTTGTTTATGGTTTTCCGAACCAAGGGGGCTGAATTCGAAATGAATGTGGGGAAGATGGTGCACTCCCCACTCTTTTCCAATAGCTCTTGCATTCTGGCGAAATGAGTCACAAATGTTTCCAATCCGATTTGGATGCGATGGCGTCTGGAGACCCAATCCACCCCCATCCCCGCGAACAACTCCCCCGACCAGCTGACACCACACACAAATATTTTTAGCCGCTTACTCTGGGTCATTAAACCGAATTCTGAAAAAGGCGAAGACTCCACAACGGAAAACGCTGCAACGTGGTGGCTTTTGTTCTTCGCATTTGATGACCGCAAGCTGCAGCTCTCTTTGTTTTGGTTTTGTTGTTCGGCTGGTGGAGATTTGTGTGGTCCGCAACATGGCTTATTGTCTGCTCGCATAAACAGTAAACGGTTCCTCGTTTGGCATTTAAACAAAGCGCCACCGTTTCGAGCATCTTCTGCTGAAGGAATTACATTAACAGAAATGTAGCTTTGTGTTGCTGGGTTCCACGGTTTCAACAGATTTCTCATTTACGCATAACATCAATCAGCACTCTATATTTATTGATATAACATGTTCTTAAAGAAAAGCAAATAGGTAATCGGACTATATATTTTTAGACCTTAGGTTTCCCTTTAAGAACAGATTCCCTGGAACCTCAACTAATTGTGAAATAAACTCACAAATTAGGTAGTTTGTAAAGTTTGTTTCAAATTTAATGGGGTGCATCTCTTGTTCCACCAGTTTGAACACAGCTGTATTTATGGACAAAGACCAGTGCAAAAGGGGGGATGGGGGGCATATGCGTGTTCGAGACTTGGTTTACATGGCCATGACTCACGTCTTGGGGAAATACGTAAGCGACAACCTATACTTTGTTTTACCACTCAGACATGCCGAATTTTCAGCATTTCTTCGCAGCCAAAACAAATGTTGACTGTGCTCAAACCTCGACTCACTCCTCCTTTTCTTTGGCATAAACAATTTATGGATCAGGTAGCCAATGTGACGTGTGCTCGTTACTAACTCAAACTGTTTATATTATGTTTTTAGTGCCTGTTATTTTTTCACGCAATCAAGCTCAAACTATTTGCTTCACACCGCCTTGCGGATAAAGTTACAAATGAAATCAGGCCAGGAAACAAATGCATATATCGTGACTCATCCAACTGACTAAGCCACAGATTGGCTGCGGGAAAAACTTGTGCGTCGATGTAGTTGTGTGCACGATGAAAAGTAAATCAACAATCTAGCGGAGGTCAAACTGGTGCCATTTGATGCGAACATAAATGTTGAAATCGCTTCGTTGCAAACTTAATAAGATTATAATAAAAATGCATATATCAGATAAGTTTTTATATATTTTAAGGTTGGGCTGTTAATAGCCAATATAATAAAGGAGGCTTAGCGTATTATTTCCCTCGGATTAGATTTCAACTTCTTGCCGATGTTATAGAACCCGAATAAAACTGTCAAATCCAGTATTGTTTTTCAAGACTTTCGTTTTTATTGAAGCGATAAGAAGTTTAAAAAACTATTGAATATGTTATTTGTTTTGCATTGCTGACAAAACTTGATAATGGAATATTTCTTGGGTCTTTCTTTATGTGCTTTTTGACTCTTGCTTGTATTCTAAGCGATCGCGGGTGGTATTTTGTGAGTCAGACTGGTTGGCTGCTTAGAAAAACAAACACTGGGTTTTGTCGTAGCCAAAAGCAGTGCCCCTGAGAAGTGCAGATGCGGCAAGGCAAGGCATTGAAGAAGGCACTCAGCCACTCCCACGGGAGCTCCGAACGGTACTGTGAGTAGGCCAGGCCAAAACAGAGCGGCCCGCTCCGCTCGCAGCTTTCGAATGGCGAGAGCGAGTGTCTCGGCCGCAACCCGTTTGCTCTCTCGTTATCGCAGCCGAGTGTTAAGGTCTTCGCTGAGTCCCATTTAGTAGCCAATTGAGCCCCGATCGGCACGGCAGCAAAACTTTTCCGTCCGAGAAGCGCTTTTTGCGTTTGCACAACGAAACGAAAGTGATAATACCGCGTAGCAAAGATTACTCGACTGCCGAAAGTGTGTTTAAGCAGTTAAATAATCGTGGCCTAAAGACTTCAAACTTCAAAATGGCACAAATGGCGCGGCAAGGTCGCGAACTCTGGGCGGTGGTCCTGTGCTTCTTGGCCACTCTCGGCCACTCCACTGCATTCAACCTCTCGCCGCATCCGAACCGGCGGATAGCGGACCCCCAGTTCGCCACCAGTCTGCCCCAGGTGCGTGCGTCATACTTCGGATTCACGATGAGCCTGCGACCCAATGGGTAAGACTCCCCCTCCGCTCCCGCCCGCATCTCCACTCAGCCACTCCAAATCCGCGGAGCAAACAGGTTGTGCGATGATTCACGCTCGCCAACGCCAATCGAAATAGTAGTCGTAAATTGAATGAACTTTTCCAAAAAACAGTGTCAAAGAAAGACATTCCGTACACTTAACGCGTTGTGCAAACGATGAAGTCATACTCTTAATATCAATTACCTACACAGCGAGGAGGTGTAGTCGAGCACTCGAGTATCTAAGAAACATAAGTACATATGAAAATAAATGGTTTTATGGAGATATAAAGCTCAGTCGCGGCGGATTGACGGGTTGTCCGGCTGGAAGTTATGCAAATATTTGCAGCGTTGCACGTCCGAACCTTTGTTGGCTCAATAAGTCAGTTATTTAGGGTGGAGTTCGATTGCTTCCACAGCGTTTAGAACCCTCAATGCCAATTTGTTATCAGCCAACGTTGCCAGCTTCGTTTTTAACGATTTACGATAAGATTGCCGCTGTCACAGTGAAATTCCGCTAAGGCGGCTGCTTCGGTGATAAGCCCCTCCAAAGTGCACACACTACCCAACTAGGGAGTTATGTTGCAAAGGAATATGATTGGTCAGTCCACATCTTATCGAATTTCTGACTAGGTGTCTTTGAGTTCTGCGAAAATGTAGACTAATTGATGAGACATATAGTAAAGTGGCTTCAATGCCTGACTAATTCCAGTAAGCAGAACGTAACTGTATCCCTTACATTTCGTGACGAATTTCCATTTGCTTTCAGATATGTAAAGGTAGAAATTCATTATTTCACTATTGAAAATGCAAATAAAGTCAACCTGTGGTTCTCGCTAATTGGTGATAACTAATTTTATTTTGTTGACATTTTCTTGGGTGAATAAAATGTTGTTTACTTCAGTATTTCTATGCTATATGTAGATACATTTATGATCTTTATAGAAGTTAAACAGTCATTTGGCAGAAGACCTCTAATGTTTGCTAAACAACTTTTGGGTTTTTATATTCATTTTACAAACCAAACCAAAATATTAATGTTATCAGTACCTTATCAGTTTAGCTTTAAACCTTCCTTTAGTTCTTGCCAATGATGTCTGGGAATAAACTAATGTGCCTGTTTCTTATCGCAGCATCATTGTGGGAGCTCCGCGGGCGCAGTCCACCTTGGAGTCGCAGCGCAGCATCAACGAGACCGGGGCCATCTACCGGTGCTCCCTGACGAGCGGAGCCTGCAGTCCGTATGTCCTGGATCCCCGGGGCAACGTTGACGCCCCGTTCAGCGAGTACACCTGGGACTCGGAGCGCAAAGACCACCAGTGGCTGGGCGGGTCGATGGACGGAGGCACCCGGGACACGGATAAGCTGCTCGTGTGCGCCCCCCGCCTCTACGCGCCCAGTCCGAGGGACTACCACCTGCACGGCGTCTGCTACTGGGTGAACGACACGGTGGCCAGCACCCCGGAGCACGTGACCCGCATCTCGCCCCTGCGACTCAAGTCGCAGCAGGTGATCGAGGAGGAGAAGGACACCAAGGCCAGCTTCTTCTACATCATGGGCGAACTGGGACTCAGTGCCCACGTGGCGGACGACAACTCCAAGTTCCTGATCGGAGCGCCGGGCATCAACACATGGAAGGGATCGGTGATCCTGTACCGGCAGGTGGACCCCGTGGACAACCCCACCGCCAGCAGGCGGGACACGAGCTCGGCGCTCCGGCGCACGATCCGGGATGTGGACACCAACGAGTACACGCCGGAGCACTACGCCCCCGAGATTCCAAGGCCGCTGACCTGGGGCCAGGAGGACGACTCCTACTTCGGCTACGCCGTGAGCTCCGGCCACTTCGACAGCTCCAACCCGACGAAGCTGCTCTACGTGGCCACCGCTCCGCAGGCCAACAAGCAGTCCGGCGAGGCGTACATCTTCGATGTCCGCGGAAAGGGCATCCACAAGTACCACGTCTTCCGGGGTGAGCAGTTCGGCGAGTACTTCGGATACTCCGTCCTGGCGGAGGACCTCAATGGAGACGGAAGGACGGACGTGATCGTGTCCGCACCCCAGCATGCTCTAGAGGATTCCCACGACAACGGAGCCATCTACGTGTTCATCAACAATGGCTTCGTGAGTAATAGCTAGCTACTTTTTGGGGTGGGGTGTCTGGAATAAACCTGACTAATATCGCCTTTCCATTGCAGTTCAACTTTGATCGACAGATTCTACGTTCGCCTCTGGAAACAAAGGCCCGATTCGGAACTACTCTTTCGCGACTGGGAGACATCAACCACGACGGCTATAATGGTGCATATCTCAGGGATTCTTAATGTGTTTTTGATACTGATAATCCACATTAATCCTACAGACGTGGCAGTGGGAGCTCCTTTTGCCGGCAACGGATCGGTGTTCATCTACTTGGGCAGCGAGCGAGGATTGCGGGAGCAACCGAGTCAGCGATTGGATGCTCCTTCCCAGACCAGTTCCAAGTACGGGGAACACATGTTCGGACACGGCCTCTCCCGCGGATCGGACATAGATGGCAACGGATTCAACGACTTCGCCATCGGAGCTCCGAACGCCGAGGCCGTGTACTTGTACCGGGCTTATCCGGTGGTCAAGGTGCACGCCTCCGTGAAGTCGGAGTCGCGGGAGATCAAGCCAGAGCAGGAGAAGGTGAAGATCACCGCCTGCTACAGGTTGGAGACCACTTCCACGTCGAGGGAGGTGCAGCAGCAGGAGCTGGCCATCCGGATCGCCATCGACACGCAGCTCAAACGTGTTAAATTCGCGCAGACGCAGTCGAATGAGATGAGCTTCAAGGCGGACGCGAATCTCGGGGAGCAATGCCGCGTCTTCGAGCTCCAGGTACGATACAGCGAGAAGGACATTTTCACGCCCATCGATCTGGAGATGCACTACGAGCTGACCAAGAAGGTTCCCGACTCGGACCGTAAGTTCTTAACTCTATGACTAAATCAGTTTAGTTACTAATGCTTACTTACCTCCAATAGAATTCTGCGAAACCTGCGCGATTGTTGATCCGAAAGAGCCGAAGGTTTCCACACAGAAGATCATCTTCAGCACGGGATGTGCCACCGATGTTTGCACCGCTGATCTGCAGTTGAGGAGCAAGAATGTGAGGTAAGTAACTGTCACCGAATATATTTTATATAACGTTTGCTTAAGAAGAAAAAACAACTGCACGCGTTGCAGAGATCCGAGCGAATGAATTAACTTGAAGTTAATTTGTATAGTTACTCATTGCTTAAATATGAGTAACTAAAATCTTATTTGGATGAGAGCTATGACTAATGTTTCCTCTCTTATATTCCCAGCCCCACTTATATTTTGGGCAGTGCCGATACTCTGCGCCTGAACTACGAGATCACCAACAATGGGGAGACCGCCTACCTGCCGCAGTTCAACGTAACCAGCACCTCCCGGTTGGCCTTCGCCCAGGTTCCCGGAAACTGCAAGGTCGCCGAGGCGGTCATGGTGTGTGACCTCAACCGGGGACGACCTCTGGCCAAGGGAGACAGCGACTCCGTGACCATCAGCTTCGATGTGAGCCAGCTCAGCGGAGAGTCGTTGATCATCTACGCAGAGGTGTTCAGCACGGGCTACGAATCGAATCCCACGGACAACAGGCAGACCAATGTGATCGGGCTGCGCGAATTCACAGAGATCGATGCCAGCGGGTATGATTGCCTTTACAAAGTAGAAGCTTCTTCAATTTTACTAAAATTACTTACTCCCTCCTCAGGGGCCAGACAAACGGTCAGATCGACTTGGAGCACTACAGCAACTCGGCCGAAATAATAAACAACTACGAGATCAAGAGCAACGGGCCCAGCATCATCGAGCAGCTGACCGTGTCCTTCTACATACCCATTGCCTACAAGCTGCCTGGCTCCTCGGCGGTCGTCCCCATCATCAACATGACCAGCCTGAAGATGCAGGCCACCTACGACTCCCAGCTGCTGGCGGTCGACCTGTACGACCAGAACAACACGCTGCTGATTGTGGAGCCCATCGAGGTGGCCACCGAAGTCGTGGGAGGCCTCGAGCGGACCGTGGTGACCCAGAACGGAGGGGGCTACGACATTCACACCAGCGGACACGTCCACCAGACCATCCAGGTGCTCGACTCCGACGTGGTGGCCACCGCCTCCATGACCCGGAGGCGTCGCGATCTCAGGGCCCTGACCGCCAACCGGGAGCAGTACGCCCGCATCTCGAATGTGAAGGCCCATGACCTGCTGAGCGAGGACTTTAAGGCCAAGCTGCCCGTGAACCGCACCATCGTGTTCAACTGCCGCGACCCCGAGATGACCCTCTGCGTCCGGGCCGAGATGAGGGTGCACTTCAGGCCGGAGAAGTCCATCAACCTGAACGTGCGCTACCAGGTGGACCTGAACGAGGTGAACGCCATTCTGATGGATCCCTGGGAGTACTTCGTCATCCTGACCGACCTCAAGATGACCAAGCAGGGCGACCCCGCCTCCAGCTCCTTCGTGATTAACCGGAGGATCGAGCCGAACATCATTTCCAAGCATCTGGAGGCCAACCTGCCCATCTGGATCATAATTGTGTCCGTGATCGGCGGCCTGCTGCTGCTCTCTGCGATCAGCTACGCCATGTACAAGGTGGGATTTCTTGCGACTAGAAGCAGTAGATTTTTATTCTGACATGATGTTGTTTTTCTTCTCAGATGGGCTTCTTCAATCGCGCCAAGAAGGACGAGCTGGACAGGCTGGTGCAGCAGAATCCAGTGGAACCGGAGGCCGAGAACCTCAACAGCGGCGCGAGCCCCTAATTCGGTCCTCCGAACTTCCTCGCAGTGCACATCACATTCTGAATGGATGGACCAGTTACCAAATCCTAACTTCACAACGGGAAGTCTTCCCACAAAGTGTGTTCTCTTGCATTTAAGGAGCAGCGAAAACGAGAAGCGATTAACGAAAACCTACCTTATAGGAATACTTGCAACTTGCAACCACGAAGCATTCAATGTTGTCCGTGGTTTGCCTTACTAGTGGCCCATTCTAGTTAGCCACTAATTTATACGAAAGTCCCATGTGTGCTACACCAGCCATATTGCCATTTGTTGTATATATTTATTACAAATTTTTAATTATTCATAACTGTAGAGAAGTGGTAAAGGAAACTTTACACGGCGACGTAAAAGACTTTATTAATGTGTAAATTGTAAAAATTAAACTAGACTTTATTAAGCCTGTTCTAGTATTATACTAGAGTGTTAAAACGATGGAGTATGAATAAAATATTTAAAATAAAAATTATTTTTAGTTGGACGTCTTGGGGGGTCTCACCAACAAGCTAAAACGATTGCCATTATCGTTTCGCCGTTTAAGTATTAAGAATGATACATAAGCAAACAAAACCTTGTCGATAAATTGACATTTTAGTATGGATTTTAAACAAAGGGTGTCCACATTTTGTCAGTTTTAATATCAGCAGTAAAGAGCTCAGAACTCTTCTTCTAAAAATATGTGTGGGTGACAAACTCATCGGAGTCTGTAGTTACTTAAATTTTTATCATTTCATTTTCAACTGCCGATGAGTTCGGTCGCAGAGTCTTAAGTCATTAAATTAATAAGCACATAAAGTACAAATTAAATATCTTCTGTTCAACTTGTCTTAATTTATAGTCTCGGTTAATAATATTTTTTATTTAAAATGAGCCTTCTAGTTTTCGTCGTGTTCTTGGCCCTGCAATCCCAAATCGAAGCATTTAATTTTTCTCCATTTCCAAATCTGGTGCTAGAATATCCCCAACAGACCAGCCAGGAACGCAGCTCCTACTTCGGATACTCCCTCGTAATTCGCCAGAACAGGTGAGTCACAGAGTTCCTGGCTAGAAAAAAGTTTTTGGTTATCCTTAGTTGAATTTTTTCGCGCCACTTCCATTTTGGATGAGTAATATTAATCTTCACTACCGATTTCTCTATAAAATTATCCCTCTACGTATTATAGGCAGTTACTAAAAATAATTATCTGTTGTTGAAGAAAATCCAACTAAACGCTCTTAAAAGATCTTATTCATTTTGTGGAAAAAATTATGACTATTTTATTATGACTAAATTATGGTTTTTCCGTACTCGCAGCATTATAGTGGCAGCACCTCGAGCCAACTCCACGTTGCCAAGGCTACGCAACATAAACGAGCCTGGGGTGATCTACAAGTGCTCCTTGCACAACGGGGAGTGCCACACATACGACCCGGACCACGAGGGAAACTACAATGCGTCCACCAACGACTACACCTGGGACTCGCGGCACAAGGACCACCAGTGGCTGGGCGGATCGATGGACGGAGGAACCCAGGACACGGACAGGTTCCTCGTGTGCGCCCCCCGGTTCTTCACCCACAGCCCCGGGGACTACTTCCTCAGCGGAATGTGCTACCGCTTCCAGGACACAACGGTCGACCCTCCAGAGGAGGTGGAGAAGATCTCCCCGCTGCGCTCGATAGAGAAACAGGTGATCACGAACGAGTTCAAGAACGAGACGCTGGCCCACGTGTACATCATGGGCGAACTGGGGCTCAGTGCCCACGTGCCGGACGACAACTCCAATTTCATCATCGGAGCCCCGGGCATCTACGAGTGGAAGGGGTCCGTAGTGCTCTTCGGGCAACACGAGGACAGTCCCAGCTCCAAGGCGAGTAAGCGGGACACGAGCAGGGCTCTCCGCCGGACCAAAAGGGAGAACTTCCAGTCCAAGGTCCTCCAGCCACTGAGTTGGAGCCAATCAAATCACTCGTACTTCGGCTACGCCGTCAGTTCCGGCTACTTTGACAGCTCCTATCCATGGAAACTGCTCTACGTGGCCACTGCTCCCCAGGCACACTCGCAATCGGGAGAGGCCTACATCTTCGCCGTGCTGGGCAACGGCATCCTCAAGTTCCAGACGTTCCTGGGCGAGCAGTTTGGTGAATACTTCGGGTATTCCGTTCTTGCGGAGGATCTCAACGGGGACAGGAAAACAGACCTCATCGTTTCAGCTCCGCAGCACGCTCTTCAGGATTCCCATGACGATGGTGCCATCTACGTGTTTGTCAACAGAGGGTCTGTGAGTAATGACAAAAGCATAAGTCACTTTCTCTGGTGATCCTCGATTATCGGTGACTAATGATGACTTAACTCGTTGCAGTTTAACTTTGAGCGACAGATAATTCTGTCGCCAGCGGGCAAAAGAGGTCGATTTGGAACTACTCTTTCTCGTCTGGGAGACATCAACCACGACGGCTATAATGGTGAGTTTCCGCAGGAGTATGTAGTTGAATGGTTAACATTCATAAGTTATATCCATTCTATAGACGTGGCAGTGGGAGCTCCTTTTGCCGGCAACGGATCGGTGTTCATCTACTTGGGCAGCGAGCAGGGATTGCGGGAGCAGCCGAGTCAGCGATTGGATGCTCCTTCCACGACCAGTTCCAAGTACGGGGAACACATGTTTGGACACGGTCTGTCCCGCGGATCGGACATAGATGGCAACGGATTCAACGACTTCGTCATCGGAGCTCCAAATGCCGAGGCGGCGTACTTCTATCGCTCCTATCCTGTCGTAAAAATACATGCATCGATCAGGCCGGAATCACGAAGGATCAAACCGGAACAGGACGTGGTGAAGATCACCGCCTGCTACAGGCTGGAGTCGAAGTCTATGGCGTGGAAAGTTCTGGAGCAGGAGCTGAACTTCCTGGTTGCAGTCGATACAAGACTGAAGCGGGTAACTTTCGCCGGAACCCAGCTGCATCAGATGTCCTTCATGGCAAATGCGAGACTCGAGGAGCAATGCAGGGACTTCAATGTCAAGATGTCCAGGAAGGCCATCTTTACTCCCATCGTTATGGAGATGCACTACGAACTGAAAAACAAGATTTCCGACTCAGCGGGTAAGCTAAAATAATAAGCTTTAAAAGAATAGAATAACCATGAACCACAAACAGTTTTTTGCAAAACGTGCGCGGTGGTTGATCCGACGGAACCAAAGGTCTCCGTTGAAAAAATTACTTTCTGCACTGGCTGTGCCACGGATGTTTGCATCGCTGATCTTAAACTGAAGAGCCTAGATGCAAGGTAAGCAAATACCTAGGAAATATTTTATGTGTTTAAATAATGGAAAGTCCCACTAGCCCCACTCTTACCTTGGGTTCCCTGGACATCCTGCGCATGAACTACGATATTAAAAACATCGGCGAGAATGCTTACGAGCCTCAATTCAACGTTACGAGCTCACCGCGCCTGCCATTTGCGCAAATTCCCGGAAACTGTCACGTCGTTGAGGAAATTCTTGTGTGCGACCTGAACCACGGAAGACCGTTGGCGCAAAACGAGAGCAACTTCATCACCATCAGCTTCGATGTCAGCCAACTCAGCGGAGAATCGCTGATTATCGAAGCTCAGGTTCTTAGTGCCTTGGAGGAAAAAAACCCCAAGGACAACAAACAGACAAACGTGATCAGTCTAAGGGAGTTCACCGAGATCGATGCCACCGGGTAAAATTGCATTGAACCAGTTTTAAACTCTTAGATTTCACTTAAATTTCTCATTTATTTCCAGAGGCCAGACCAACGGACAAACTGTTTTAAAGAATTACCCTTACTCCGCGGAAATCGTCAACCATTACGAGATCAAGAGCCACGGACCCAGTACAATTGAAAACTTAAAGCTGTCTTTTTACATTCCTGTTGCCTTCAAGGCCAATTCTATGGCGGTTGTACCCATAGTTAATGTGTCCAGCCTGAAGATACGGGCCAGTTACAACGCTACATTGTCGAGTATCGATCTATACGACCAGAATAATACCCTGATCAATAAGTACCAAACTGAGAAACGAGAACGTCGCGATTTGAAAGGTCTATTTGGCAGCCGAGATCAAGAGAACCGGACCTCAGATGGCCACTCTAACGAAATGCTGTTCGAGGACAAGCTGCCGAAAAATAGCACCATTAGGTTCGACTGCCGGAACTTCACCATGACGATCTGCGTCCGGGCCGAAATGCACGTGCAACTGAAGCCGGAGAAACCTCTTGACCTAAACATAAGCTTCATACTCGACTTGAGCGGAGTGGAGGATCCTTCGGAGTTCTTCGTAATTCTAACCGATTTGGAATTCCTCAAGGAGGGCGACCCCAAGTCCAGTTCGTTGCAGATTAATTCGCGGATCGAACCGAATGTTATATCCAGGCATGCCGCGCTATCCAACTGGGTAATAATTATGTCGGCCATCGGGGGCCTTCTGTTGCTTTCTGCAATCACCTATGCTTTTTACAAGGTTCGTTTTGGATTGCTTGTAAGTGATCTCGAATTAAATCATATTTTCCCCACAGCAAGGATTCTTCAAACGCACTCTAAGATATAGTTTGGAAGAGGGTATAGCTGGGAATGAGACGCCAGAGGCTGAAGGGAATGCGAATGCAGATGCGTTGTGACTGCGTAAGATACTTACGAAAAAAAACACCTTCCGAGACATTTCTTATTATAAAACATTTATTTAGCATATAATTTAATTAAATTTTAAGAATAAAAATCAAAAACTGCATGCCTACAAAAATATATTTTAATTTTTATGATACAACCCCTTTGAAATGCCAGGCAAACAGAATGCAATAGTAGGTGGCTACTTTTTTTTTTAATTTTTAAACTGTTCCCAAGAGTTCTTTTCTTTTTATGGGAAATTTACTCAGCAAAAAAACGCCAACTAATGCGAAGAGCTAGCTTCCTTTCTTGTTGAACCTTAATATATACTAAAGTTCTCTAAAACGAATAAATAAACAATATTATCGCCTCCAAAAATGTTTTCATACTGTAATCTAGGAGTTAAATAAGTTTTGTTTTTATGTATAAAATGGCGCAAATCATTGGATTAGTCAGCGAGCAGTTGTTGACTACATTAAAACTTCGCTGTGGCATCGCGTTTTATTTCGCTTTGAGTGATCGGTGATTGAAAACCACAATACGAGGCGGCTGTGAATTACGGAAAAAGTCAAGTTGAAAATGTGTGCACTACTGTTCCTCGTCTTTTTGATATTGCAATACCAGAGCGACGCTTTTAATATCTCGCCTCATGCCAACCTAGTGATTAACTCACCCAAGCATCTAAAGACCCATTTAAAACTAACGCGCAGCTCTTACTTTGGATTCTCGCTCGTCATCCGCCCTTCCAGGTGAATTGCTTACTTTCTAGCTGTGATCATTGCATACTCGAAAACGGATAATCAGTGAAATAGTCAATGAAGTGTTGACTTAGGTTCTTCTTTTAAATTCTGACTATTTCCCTGGTATTGTAGCGTCATTGTGGGAGCTCCTCGGGCGCACTCCTCCTTGGAATCGCAGCGCAACATCCACGAGCCTGGGGCGATTTACAGATGCTCCCTGGAGAGCGGGGCCTGCGCTCCGTACGACCTGGATTCCCGAGGAAACTGTAACTCCAGCAGCAATAGCAGCACGACCTTCGACCGGGAGCGCAAGGACTACCAGTGGCTAGGTGGATCCTTGGACGGTGGTACCCGGGATGAGGACAGGTTGCTCGCGTGTGCTCCCCGTTTCAAGTCCGTCAGCGCGAAGGACTACCAGTTGAATGGAGTCTGCTACTGGGTGCAGAACACATTGGGAAAAACTCCAGAACAGGTGACCCGTATCTCCCCCCTCCGGACGAAATTGGTGCAGGTGATTAAGGGCAGATTCTTCTACATGTTGGGCGAACTGGGTCTCAGTGCCCACGTGGCAGACGACAACACTAGGTTCCTCATCGGAGCCCCTGGTCTTGATAATTGGAAGGGATCGGTGATACTGGACGTCCCTGAGGAAAATTTAAACGAGAACAATCCAATAAAATATGTGGATTCAAAAGAGTCTAATTTGGATCAGAACACAACTAAAGTACTTAACTCAGGCAATTGGACACAGGAGGAGGACTCGTACTTTGGCTTCGCCGTCAGTTCTGGCTACTTCGACAGCTCCGACCGCTCCAAGCTCTTCTACGTGGCCACCGCACCTCGAAGTAACGAACACTCCGGCAAGGCTTTCATCTTCGATGTGCTGGGTGATATTATGGCTGAGCTCCATGTGTTCAACGGTACGCAAATTGGAGAATACTTCGGGTACTCCGTTCTGGCGGAGGACCTCAACGGGGACGGAAAAACAGACCTCATCGTTTCAGCTCCGCAGCACGCTCTTCAGGATTCCCATGACGATGGTGCCATCTACGTGTTTTTCAACAGAGGGTCTGTGAGTAATGACAAAAGCATAAGTCACTTTCTCTGGTGATCCTCGATTATCGGTGACTAATGATGACTTAACTCGTTGCAGTTTGACTTTGAGCGACAGATAATTCTGTCGCCAGCGGGCAAAAGAGGTCGATTTGGAACTACTCTTTCTCGTCTGGGAGACATTAATCTCGATGGTTACAATGGTGAGTTTCTGCAGTAGTATGGTGTTTGAATGGATAAAATTAATAAGTTATATCCATTCTGCAGACGTGGCAGTGGGAGCTCCTTTTGCCGGTAATGGATCGGTGTTTATTTACTTGGGCAGCAAGCAGGGACTGCGGAAGCAACCGAGTCAGCGATTGGATTCTCCCTCCCAGATGAATTCCCAGTACGGAGAACCCATGTTCGGCCACGGCCTCTCCCGCGGAGTGGACGTAGATGGTAACGGATATAACGACTTCGTCATCGGAGCCCCCAACGCAGAGACTGCCTGTCTTTACCGCGCCTATCCGGTGGTCAGGGTGCACGCCTCCGTGAAGTCGGAGTCGCCAGCGATCCAGCTGGAGCAGAAAAAGGTGAGGATTAGGGCCTGCTACAGGCTGGAGACCAAGTCGAAGACGAGGGAAGTTCAGGCGCAGGAGTTGAATATCCGGATTGTCGTAGACACGCAGCTAAAGCGGGTTGAATTTGTCGAAAACCAGAAAAATGCGATGAGTTTCAGACCGACTGTGGGCCTTAACGAAAGCTGTCGGGACTTCGACATTCGATTGCGCCCCGCTGTTCACGTTTTCGCGCCCATCGATCTGGAGATACACTACGAATTGACGAAGAAGGTTCCGGACTCTGAAAGTAAGCTTGAAGGTCCGGGTTTCTTTGCAAATTACTAAAAGATCTGGCCTTAGATTTCTGCAAAACCTGTGCTATCGTTGACCCAACGGATCCTAAGGTGTCCCGCGACAAAATTATCATAAACACGGACTGTGAACATGCTGTTTGCGTATCTGATATGCGGTTGCGCAGCAACAATGTGAGGTATGAGTAGAACAGGAAAAAACGTTTAAACATGAGTAACATGGGTAACATGAGTAAGGGTCAATCATAATAATCAGTCATGAGTAATATATAATTGTCTTTTCCAGCTCCTCTTTTATTTTGAGCAGTGCTCGAACGCTAAGTCTGAATTACGAGATCACCAACAATGGGGAGACCGCCTATTTGCCGCAATTCAACGTGACCAGCACCTCCCGGTTGGCCTTCGCCCAGGTTCCCGGAAACTGCAAGGTCGCCGAGGCGGTCATGGTGTGTGACCTCAACCGGGGACGACCTCTGGCCAAGGGAGACAGCGACTACGTGACCATCAGCTTCGATGTAAGCCAGCTCAGCGGAGAGTCGCTGATCATCTACGCGGAGGTGTTCAGCACGGGCAACGAATCGAATCCCACGGACAACAAGCAAACCAATGTGATCATGCTGCGCAAATTCACCGAGATTGATATCAGCGAGTAAGCCTGCGTCAACTACACACGTGGTAAAACTTTCTTAAATCTTTCTTAAATCCCAAATCAAGGCTTAGTGGACAGGCAAACGCGCGAATTATTTCAGACAAGCACCCATACTCAACGGAAATCCTCAATCGTTACGAGATTAAAGCCCGCGACCATGTAATCGAAAAGCTGGTGGTGTCCCTTTATGTTCCCATTGCGTATAAGACGTCAGATTCTGAAAAAGTCATTCGGATAGTCAACACTACCAGCCTGAAGCTGAATGCCAGATGCAATTCGCATTTGTTGTCTTTCAAGCTTAACGACCAGTATAGTAGGTTGCTGACAAGGAATCCCACCTCTGTGCTAACTCAAAATAATAGCCATCTGCCGACAAAAAATATCATCAGGCTCGACTGCCAGGATTCCAGCAGGACGATCTGCATCCGAGCCGATATGCAGGTTCAACTAAAGCAGGAAAAGCCTGTTACACTGAACGTGTCCTTCAATCTGGATTTGAGTGCGGTGAAGGATTCCTGGGAGCACTTTGTCATCCAAACCAGAATGGAACTATTCGAGGAAGGCCAATCCACTTCCAATACCCTACTGATCAATCAGCAGATCGAACCGATTGTTATATCCAAGCGTGGTATACTGCCCATGTGGGTCATCATTTTATCCGGGATCGGGGGATTGCTGCTGCTTTCTGTAATTACATATGCTCTTTATAAGGTTCGTAGCACGTTAGATAATCGTAGAGGTATATTTTATTGATGATATTTTCTTTGCAGAGTGGATTCTTTAAACGCGACAAAGTTAAGGAGGTGGTCAACGATGTACAGTTCCAGGCCGAGCAAAAAGATCTTTAAGTGCCACCATTCCAAACTTTGTTTAATGCATTGACTGAAGTTCTTAAAGTGTTAATAATTTATTTTAATAAAAATAACATACAATTCTTAAAATAAATAAGTACAATCATAAATATTTTATTAAAATGCATTGTTACTCTTAACCCTTGCAGATATTTAAGACTAATTTAAATTATTAGCACACTCTGGCCAAACGTGAACAATTTTAGCGATCTCTTCACATACATATGGTACCTATAACATTTACTCTATTTATGTACAGCAATATCTAGTGCCGCCGAAAAAGGCAGCTGCACATCGAATACACTAATCTCTCCCGTTTAACTAGTAAAGTGGACTATCTAAACAGGCGATATACACAAATGGTAACACACACATATACAACACGGGACTCGGGACGCGGAGTTACAGGTATAAGTACATTAGGTTGCGATAAGTTTCTAATTGAGACGAGGTAAGTGCTCAGATCGGCTTGGATAAAGTAGAGTGGTTGCTTTCAGATATGTTTGTGTGAAAGTAGCATGCTCGCTGCAATATGTTCGACTGACTACAACTAGGGGTTTGTAAAAGTACCGACTAAGTGACTGAGTGTGCTTCGCATAGCGCAGCCGCTTCCATATGCATTTCTTTGGTGGTTCCTATCGACAACAAACGTAAACGGATATTCTAGGCTCCTGTATAACATCAACAGTGGCGCCTCCTAAACAAATACTTGTATAAAAATACAGGGAAATTTGTGAACTACGTATTGTCAAAATCATTAGCGCGCATTCCAGCGGCGATCCCCTCGAGGAGCATGCGTAATCTCTGCTCCCTGATTTCTGGTGGCTCCTCGACCTTCGTTTTCCCCTGCTCCCTTGACTAGTTATCCCAGCGAGCACTGGACTGCTCCTGCCCTGCTAACACATGGTCTCGTTGAAGGGGGGATCCTTCTCCGAGTCGGTGCTGCTCTTGATGTTCGACGACAGCTTGGCGATCTCGTCCTGCACCAGGTGGGTGCTGATCTGGGGAATGGCCAGCGCCGGGTTGCTGCTCTTGGCGGACGAGCCCCCCGACTCCTCCGTGCTGGAGCTGCTCTCCTTGAGCACGTTCATTCCCAGCTTGCTCGCAAAGGGCTGCGGCTTGAGCGTGGAAATCAGTTTGGCCTGGCCAGTCGCGCCAGCCTGGACTGGCTGCCCTCCGCCCTCCGGGGTCTGAGGCACTGCCTCCGCCGGCTGGGACGGCTGGGAAGGCTTGCCCTGGTCCACGCTAAACTGTTTCTTCAGCAGCATGGGACGCGCTGGCGGTGCCGGCGCTGCCTGCATCGTCACTGGCCCCGAGGCGCTGAGGTCCAGCGAGCTGGAGCTCTCCTCGCGCAGGCGCCTGCCGTCGGCCGCGCCCACCGAGGCGGTGCGGATGGGCTGGTAACGCGCCGTGGCAGCGCCGCCCACCGCGCCAACGCTGATGCTGATCCCCGTCGCCGAGTGCGAGTCGCCGGCGTCCAGCGAGGGCTCCGCCGTCAGCGAGGGCGTGTCCACGTTGTAGGAGCCGGTCAGCGAGGTGTTCGTCTCGTTGGAGCTCTGCTTGATGAAGCGGTACGGGTGCGCCGAGTAGTCCGTCTCCGTGCTGGAGTTCTTCTGCAGGCTCTCGCTGGACTTCTTGAACAGCCGCCCGCTGCCCTCGTACGGCGGATTGAGGAAGTCGCTGGTGGCCCGCGTGGGCACCAGTGGCGAAGGATAGGTCTGCTGCTCCATCGAGGAGTTGCGCTGCCAGGGGCGCTCGTTCTTCAGCTGGAACCCGCTCGAGACGACGACCATGGCCCCGCAGCTACCGGCCCCGCTGGTGTCGCTGCTGTCGCCCCCGCCGGCGCCGCCGCCTCCTCCCCCCGCCCATCAGGTCGCCGTCCACCGAGGGCTTCGAAGGCGACAGCTCCACGGCGGTCTCGCGTCGCAGCGGATAGCGATGGCTGTAGTCTATGGACACGCCGATCTGTGGAGGAGAAAGTTGGTGTTATTTCAGAAACTTCTTCGCTCCTTCTTCTTGAAAATATTTATAAAATCCATAAAAAGCTCTAAAGGTTTTTTAATTTCCAATAGTCTTTATTTAAATTCCCACCTCGAATTCCTGGGCGCTGGCGTCGATGGAGCCGCGCGACTCAATCAGTCCCTCGAGGATCTTGTAGTCGTTCTCCTCGCACTCCTTCAGGTGCTTCTTCTCCTGCAGAGCAGCGGCCTCGGCCCGCGACATCTCGGTTTTGGGTCGGTCCAGTGAAGCTGTCGGTCGAATGGGGGAAAAGCAGACGTGAGTGGGTTGGCCAATTCAATTGGGGATTCTTTTCTTTTCATTTCGGAGGCGGCGGAAGCAAGGCAATGATACGGGCGCTGCGCATTCGCCCGGTTGGCTATCTACCATACAGTACACTTTTCTCACGGACTCGAGAAACGGGCTGGCGACCTCGTGCTCCTCGCGACTTTTTCCCGGGCTTACCTTTGTTGCTCGGCAGCGAAACCGTGGGCGATGATATCATGTGGCAGACGCTCTCCAGCTCGTCCGTGATCGAGGTGTACTCGCTGTGCAGTTTCAGCAAGATATTTCTGGAGGGTTTCGCATGCAATACTGATTTACCTAGAGTTCGGAGTTCGTGGTTAGGTTCAGAGAAGAGATGTGTGCGAGAGAAGAAACGGTAAGGACTCGACTCGATTCGGTCAATGGTTAATGGTCAGTGCTAATTTCGTGGGCCAAATCGGTTTGCTGGATTGGTTGGCTTGGATCGGTTCGGATCGGATTCTTTTTTTTTTTGGGATTTTCTCGTGGGTTAGGTGGGATGGCATGACGGGGTTAGTAGCCTGAATTTAGAGCGCAAATCTGAGGCGGTCGGTGGAGTCCACCTGCGATGGCTACGTACCCGGATGAGCGGATCCAGAGGCTGCGGGCGCATCCTTGTCGCTGTCCGGCTCCGACTGGGTGAGGCTCATCTGGCGGCGGGACAGCGAGGCCAGTTGGTTCAGGCTGATGTGCGACCGGTGCATGTCCGCTCCGGTCAAGGAATACGTCTCCGAGTTGCGCCGGCACAGGGAAACCGTTCGCTGTCTCAGCGCTCGATGCCTGGCAGCTGTTTGGATAAGAATGGTGGCTTTAATAGTGATTCACTTCTGTTTGAACATGTAAAGTGGGGACATCACAGAAAGAGAAGGCAACAGAGAACAGAGAAAGCGGTTTGGTGCAGAAGTTGGCGGCTAGGAAATTACCCTCGAAACTGATGTCCGGCGCCGCGTCGTCGGAGTTGTCGCCTCCGACGAGCGTCTGATCGTCGTCGTTGTTGCCCATCGGCGTGAGGGTGTCCTTGCTCTCCGTGCTGGCACCCGTGTCCTGGCGCACGGTCACGTACGGAGTCCGCTTCACCGTCTCGCAGGTCGAGGGTCGCTGGGAGAGCGGCAGGTAGATGTCCGAGTCCGCCTCCGACTGCATCGACGCCTTGCGCACCACCTGCTCGTTGAGGGCCTCGCGGGACTTGACCACCTCGTCCGGTTCCTCCGGCAGCGGCACCACCTCGAAGTGGGTGCCCTCGTCCAGGATGTAGGCATCCGGACGGACCTCGGTCAGCGAGCGATTGAAGCGGCGCCGGGTGGTCACCTGGATATGCACTCATCGCAATGGCAGGTACACAAAAAAGAGGAGGTCATAGCTTCAATTATTTATTGCACATAAAACGCATTTCAACAGATTAAATTTAAGAATAAATAAAACATAAAAATGTTTGAATAATATTTAACAAACGTTTAAGAACATGTGCATTAAAAAGCACTTCTTATTGTAAGTGATCTACTTTTCGGCTCTTGAAATAATAATTTCAAATCCTACTTAAATTAACATATTATATCCAGTATAAATAAATAAATAAATAAAGGGGTGTCACATAAAATGATAGAAAGGTAAAAATTGCACCTGGTGTTTCAAAGTCTAAAAAAGTTTACTTTATTGGTGATTAACTAAGCTGCCTTGAAAATTACTTTTCAATTGAAGCGCTCTTTTGGTTGGCCCTCAAAATACCTAGCTCAGAATGACATTCCCGGTCCCAATGTGCCTGGTACTGCTGTGATATGTATTTCAAACGCACCTGCAGCGAGTTCAAGTTCAGCCCGGCGCCCAGACCGAGTGGCATCAAGGCCCCTCCGCCGCCACCGCCTCCTCCTCCTCCTCCGCCGTTTCCGCCGGGCAGACCGCCAGCCTCCGTGTCCGTAATCGAGATGGTGCGCATGCGCTGCATCTCCGCCGGAATGTTTATCGTCGAGCCGTGCAAATCGTCCGCGCCCGCGGTGTGGGTGGACATGAAGCGATGGATGACGGCCAGGTGGGAGAGAATCTGCTCCGAGGACTCCTCCATCTTCCGCAGCCGGAACTCAATGTTCTGGAAAACGAACAGACACAAAGCTGTATTTATCGACGCTTCATCCGGTTATTAAATTAAAAGAGGTGACAAATCAAATTAAATGGAAGGATATATTCCATCGAATTCATTTTTTATCCCCTCGTTTATCCTGAACGATAGCAGTAAAGGAAAAGCTGCAACGGCTGCAGTAAAATGGTCACTCGGACGTGTCCAATTTTCAATTGAAATGCGGAGACGTGCTGTCAGTACCCATGTCAGTTTGGGAAATACGAATCGCCCGGAATATTTGCATGAGAATGCAAACACAGGATTGAGATGTCAAAACAAGGGTGAAACGGGGATGATGCTGACTACGCACCTGAACGGTGGCCGTCTGTATGTTCTCCTTCTGATTGATGTCCTCGATTTTCTGGGACATGGTCTCCACCCGCTCCGTGGTGTTCTTCACCCGCTCGTCCGTCGACTGGTTGAGGATGATTTCCTGCTCGTGGAAGAAGCCCTCGACGCACTCCTCCTCGAAGTCGTACAGCCGCTCCAGGTCGTCCTTCTCCAGGAACAGCTTGAGACCGTTGTCCCGCTGCACCTCCAATCCTGCGGAATGCCGATCAAGTGGACACACGTTACAAGAGGTTCGAAGGGAGGGGGCGACAGAGACCAGGGATTCACAATAACAACAGCGCCCGGGGAAATGGTAATGGAAATGGAAGTGCACAATGCCAAGTCACAAGAGAGCAAATCGTTTCGGCATAACCCAATTAGGAGGTGTTGTTATTGTTGCAGTTGTTTGCCAAGTGGCAAGGTCGATTTCAACGATTCAGGAGAGCAGGTGGCGTATACGTAATGCAGTTAGTTACAGAAGCACACACACAGCCAGACAGTTGGGGCAGGCACGCGGGGAGAGAATTAGATATTTGTACATTATTGCTGCTCGGCTCACAGAACGCGGGTACGATAGACTCACAGGGAACGAAGCTAAACTTGCTCATCCCGGGCTCACCTTTCGCCTTCCGCACACAGTACTTGAGCAGCGAGTAGAAGTGGCACAGGGCGATGAACGGGGGCGGCAGGACGGGCTTCTGCTGGTACTCCATCACCACGGTGAACCGCTGGAACATCCAGACCTAGCAATCGGGGAATATCGTATCGTACATTGAAGGTCAACATGGGTTGCACTATCACCGTTCGATAATAGTAATTAAATGGTAAACCTTTCGATCGCACTCACCTGATGTGAAACCGAGTTGACCTCGTTGAAGATGTTGTTGAACACGGCGATGAGCAGGTTTATCAGCAGAATATTGGCAATCAGGAGGTACATGGACATGGTTATCGGCGTTACCCAGTGGCCTGCAATCCAATTAGTTGGCGTTACAATTTTTTAAATGGCCCCTGAATAATCCACCCGTGAGGGGTTCGGACTGTTCTTACCCGTTACGCAACCCGGCTGACTGGGATCCTCGCCGCAGGGAGGGTCGATATCACCGGCGAACACCTCGCCGTAAAGCATGAAGTAGGGCTGGAAGGTGACCTGGACAACGATAAATTAGAATCACCATTAAAGCACCGCCTGATGAGAGCAAGGGCATCGCCATCGAGACACGAAATGGCCGGACGTAATTCAATTTGCGCCCGTCGCCCAACATTAATGCAAGTTTTACACATTGAAACACACAGTTGGTTATTTTTAGCCATCACCTGTCGGTATCTGTGTGTGCGTGTGTGTGTGTGTAAGTGGAAGGTGGGTGTATTTTGGTGGTGTGTCTCTGTGTTTTGGGATGCAAGATAGTTTGATTTCTAATTTTCCGGGACGTTTCTTTTGATATTGAAACCAGCATGCTCGATATTTACAACTTGAACGATGTCCAATCTCATTTGCATATAACAGCTGGATCTAATTAAAATTCTACAATCTTCGGGTAACTATCATCTTTCATTCATTAACAAACATAAATGCCGACCTAGGGCCAAATATTTGCTAAAGCCACCACAGGCAGCTTTAATAATGTGCATGCAAAACCAAAAAGGATACTAATGGGATAGCAGGAAAAACATTAACGAAAAGAAAGGGGGCTGGACATAAATATTCATAAGCGAAAACAGAGTACACACATTTACCTTAAGGAGGCAAGGAGCCGGGCTAAATACTCGTTTGTACATCATGCAGAGAGTGTGGCAATTGAAAATTATGCATTGGACCAGAAGGAAAGAGTTTCGGCACGCCGAAGCTGGCCTTTCCTTGCAAATTCAACTGGGAGTTAAGGGGAAGCCTTTAATCGGAGATTTCATTCCATCAGTATCCTTTGCAAGGGTCGAAGGGGGAACAAATAAATGGAGCTTGCGGAGCAGAAGTAAGCTTAAGGGGTCAAGAGACGGAGGAGAGAGCAAAAACAGGTTTAAGTATTGGGGAGTAAGGTCAAAAGTCCAACGGAGTCGAAAGGGGGAGGGGGAATACGAGTACTGGACACACTGATCTCCATCAAAGCACAACATCAACTAAGGACCACACGAATATGCAGCATATGGGCACACAGGTATATCTGAGTAAATATTTATTTATTTTGTTTTGGAGACGCAGCTAGAGCATTCTACAGTCGGCTCTCTAAATAGCAAACCAATTCGTCAATCACATTTGTCTGGTTGCCGCTCGTCAGATTGAAAAGCTCATGGCGGCCGGTGGGCGGTGCAGCAGTCGATTCCGCTGGGGAGCTGGAACTGGTGGAGCTGGTGGACCCGGCGGAGGTGGCGCTGGCCGCAGTGGTGGTGGCGGGCGGAGCACCCATCGGGTGGTAGCCGCGGTGATAGCTGGAACGGGTATTGTGGCCCAGGGCACCTAGGAATCCGGGCGCGGTTATCGAGCCGGCAATAACCTGGCATTTGGCCGTTTTCGATAAATTAAAGGGCGATTTATGCATTGCAAATGGCAAGGGTGAAGCGAGATAGTGAAAGATTTGAGTTCGAAATGTGGGCACAAATGACAGAAAGAAAGAAAGAAGAGTACAATACGAGACAGTCAATTTAGGCGGCATTTGTTCGGTGATCTTGATTAAGTTCTAGTTAGTCAACTACTTAGTGTAAGTGGGTGGCAGGGAGCACCGATCGACAAAACTACTGGTACGTATACGTAAAAAGTTTCGCTTGCACCACTACTGAGAACGCAGGCCAAAAACTTGCTTTGCTTGCTATTAAGTAAATGTATGTACTCCGCATCGTAAGTAATGTTTATGGGAAAGCTGCAATAGAAGTCGTCGAAAAACACACTCTCTTCTCTCTGTGTGTGTGGGTGTGTGTTGATGAGGCCGACATACGCACATACACTCAGATCGGGGATTAGTTTATTTACAGGAAGTCGAAGGAGATATTCCCTACAACCTACCTCCTTGATGAGGCTCCAGGTGGGCTGCTTGTTGGGGTACAGAATCGCTTGTCGGCTGACTCCAAAGCTCATCAGCACAACGGCCAGCAGGACCACGAAGTATATCATGTTCTTCACCATTTTGCCCATCATAGTGACCAGAGGACCTGCAGGAGATTGTTTACGATTAGCTTCGGTTTACAAGAATCCATTTCAAAAATGTGTTTTCAGCACTGGGTTTGCTCTACATTCGCCGCAATTAAACTACAAAAATATTTAGTCGGAGATTAAAAAGGTTTAACCCTTTGTACTTATACTGGGACTCTTATTGGCTTTAAAATTTAATATTTTGCGTTGTTTCAATCCGGATTACTTAACTTATATTTTCTTGAACAAAGCTCCCATCAACTTACCCAGATATTTGTTCACGCCCAGGATGTTGAGGATGCGCAGGTACCAGTAGATGCTGTCCACACAGTAGATGACTCGGCCAATGTCCATGGTGTGCTCCCCGAACCGGAACGCCAGCCCGATGACGAAGAGTATAATGGCGGCTCCGTCGCACGGGTTCCACATGTTCCACGCCCACACCGAGAATTTATGCCTGCCCGCCGAATCCCAATCCGAATTCGAATCCGTATCCGTATGCGAATTAATGGGCCCGTCGAAGACGCGTTAATTCAAGCGTGAGAGGCACATATTGAAGACAAAAGTAATGGAAATGCGCACAACTGTGAAATCCGCCCAGCTTCATTTGCACTCATCGCCAGATGCAATTAACCGCCGATGATTGAGGTGTGCGGGGATAGGGGTCTACTTACGTAATGGCCACCGGCTCGGAGGATATTATTTCGCGCACCTTCTCGAAGCCCAGCGTGGTGATATATGCTATTGAGTACCACTCCTGCCACCGCGGCATCGGGTCCATCTTCACCAGCACCGTGAAGGAGAACATTATGAGGAAGAACATGTAGGCAATCTGAAAGGGAGTGCGGTTGGGGCTAGTTAAAATACCGCAAAAATAATTAAAAACCCAGCACATTCGTAGTCAGGGTCATGCACTTTGAAAAAATAATCTGGACTTAGCTGTAAAACATTTATGTTTAATTCCTCTCAAAGAATACAAAATATAATCAGTTGTAATTTTGTTATTCAACTCTAATTTTAACCAATTCAAAATTAATAGGTTCCTTGATACATTCATGTTTATTAATAAATAAAATGAATGTCATATTTTCTCATAAAATTGACACAAAAAAAACTTAAATTTTTTATTTTTCCTGCAGTGCTCTAAAATCGGAAATGAAGCACACCATGTGCAGCCAGCTCGATAGTAATTTCCGCCACTTACCGAGTCGGCCCAGAACTTGGTTATGGGCGCCGTGTAGAACTCGTAGAACTTCTTCTTCAGGCGCAGCGGCTGGTGCTGCTTCACCTCGTTGTACTCGGAGAGGTTGAAGAACTCCCTGAACTGGGCGGGGTCCGAGTCGGTGAGCGAGACCTGCGGAAAACACTGGCGATGTTAGTGGACCTGCGAGGCTGGGCGGGATGCGGATGCGGAGAAGCGTTCGGTAGTTTTCCGGCTTAATTAAATCATCAATGTGCAGTGAACATTCAAAGATAGCCACGTGAGGATACTGTACATTGGGGAATTGCGTATACGCCCCATTGAATCAGCGTGTCAAATGTGATTTGCCTTGCTTTCTAATTAATTTGCTGGTGTTTAAGGCTCGATTTACTGTTGCTATTTAAACGCGTGTTTAGTTTCCAGACACAACATGCAGAACAATTTAATTAATTTAAGCATTATGCAAAACAAAATAGCTTAGCCGCGGGATATCCGAAATGTGCTGACAAAAGTAGTTCGGAGCTACATTACTACTGAGAAAATCGATGGCTGATTAACAAAAGTGTACTGCTGAAATCGAACAATTGAAAACCAAGCTACGCATTCCAAGAGGAGGAAAATGTTCAAGCTACTTAAGACAGTTGCAGAAATGCCATTGAAATTAAAAGATTTGAGGGAGAAAAACTATATCCGGGTTCAACTAACTTTGGAGGGCTGTTCTTCCGCTCCAGCAGTGAGATTAACCTGTGAATTGATACGATACAAGTACTGGGACATTAGAATGGCGTGTGGGGATTCGGTTGCAGTTCACCCATCCCTATACAGATGGGTTTTTTTTTGGGGATCAACTGATGTGCTGACTGGGTGATACCAAGTTCGGTTCGATGTGGGGTTCGATGTGTTTACCTACGGGTCGAACTACAATAACCAAGTAGGAAATAAAAATAAATAAGGGGGAAACGGCATTTCGTTGTTCTGTTCTGTGCTGTCATTTTAAGTTTACAAATGTTATGGTTTAGCAAATGGCAGTCTTATCGCATTCTGAGTCGAAGGGTTCAACGGAAAAATCGAGTGGTTGGTGAATGAAGGCGGAATGTGTTGTGGGTTGGTTGTTCTGTGGAATTACTCACTTTGCCATTTTCGTGTACTTTTGTATCGCGCACTGAGTAAGTATCCGCCAATAGAGCCTGCAACGGTTCACGCACATTTTCGCATTTATCAGATAGGAGAATCTCTTTTGTTTTCTCTATAATCTATTTGAGCGGTGATCTCTGGACAAAATACTGAGTTCAGAATGAAGAAGTGTAGAGGCGTGTGTGTGTGTTTTAGGTACAGATTTCCAAGATGAATTGTGTTTGCAGTGGAAAAATTTGAAAATATTGGCCAATAACTTGTTCACACATACATAGGCATTCCACAGATATAAACAGGGGCAAACAAACTAAAATGAAACACTTAGACCACCCAAGACCCCCCTTCCATTCGCACTCAATGGACTTTAATTTGATTTGGTGATTAAGGGATTAACCCCTTTTAGGGGAAAACGGATGGAGATGGAGCTGGAGCTGGAAATTGTGCAGTGCCGTATAAGTGAAAAATAATATTTGCACAAGTGCCGAGCTTCCTCGGCAGCACTTCAGCCAGCAGTTTGACACAGACTCCTGGAATTGTGGCATTTGATGTGGTTCTGTTGGCTTCACGTAGTGGTGGGATGACTGGGAGTGAGTTCGTGCCTGGGTTATTACTTAATTTAACTTTAAGCCAGCACTCGGCTGCTGCCAATGATTTTCATTACACTGCTAATGGATATTCGCACTTAATTCGAACCAAGCGGGGACTTCAAAATTTAATGGGAAGCATTAGAGGCAAAAGCTACTCGAATGTAACGAGGGGCGGTCACTTACATCTGTTGAGTTCGAGACACTCTTAAAGGAGGGCGAACTGTTTTCAGCTGGCATTAGCTTGCACTTGGGAAATACATATTCAAACGATAGTTAGTGGATAAATTATATTACATTAGGAGCTGAGCGAGATGTAGCGAGGTTGAAATGATTCCCCAACTGCCTTTAGACCACTTAAAACACTCTCGTTTGGAAAACAACACGTGTTCGTGCTGCCGCTTCGATGGACTCCTCCAAAAATAATATAATTACCCAATAAAATCAATAAAAATGAAAATATTGTCAGCGAGCCACTCCTCGAAAGTAAGTTCATTAATTTACAAAATAACTGGAGCAGAAAAAGTGTACCACCGCAGTACCGAAAAAACTATAGATTTTCCCTTTCATTGATTTTCTATCAGGAGTGCAGCAGAAATATATTTTTAATTTTCAAGACCTTAAATTGTGACTGAGTTTTGAACACAAATCCCACAAGAAAATATTTACAAATTTTAAAGCATACTTTTCTGCGCTAGAAAAGTGGACTTACAAATGCCTGTGACATTCCTGTGAATCGTGTTTACCTATGAGCTTGATAGCTCAATTCGTTATTGAAAATGTCAAACCACACTCCTTGGTCAAAGTCAAATATGTAAGTAAACGTATACCATATAACGAAGCACAAATAGTTACGAAACAATAAAGTGTGTAGAAAGTTAGATCGAATCGAATGGCAAACATAGTACAGTACATATAGTTTAATGATCTCGTAATTAGACAGAGATAGAGACAGAAATATAGACAGAGAACATATAGGTGTGTGTATGCATAGACATAGACGACTTGAACAGCAAAGTAACAGGAAGTCATGTAGTTAGTTGGCTTAGATCTGATTGGTTGTTACTACCTTGTCGCGATTATTAGCACCCGCGCCCATCCTATATCTCAAGGAAATGGATCTTTTGGCTTTTAAAAGGGCGCTCTATAAACAAACAGATGTGGATTTAGGATTGATGAACAGCAGAGCGATAAATCGGCAAGTGGTAAATGGTAAACGTTATTTGTTAGATTAGTAGAATAAAGTTAATAACTAAACGCTGACGCTGAAAGCGTATAAAGTAAAGGCACACATTTAGGACTGGCACATACAGACAACGAAACCAAATCAAATGGAGAGTTAGTAAGAAATGAACAAAATAACCAAAGGCTGTCAAAACAAACGCAAATACCTCGGCATCCGGCTGCGAGCGGTCGGAGTCGTCATTGTCCAGGTTCTGATTCTCCAAATGCTCCTCCTCAGTCTGCGGCATCTGCTGCAGCTCCTCCTTCGACTTGAAGTCCAGTTGTCTGATGTAGAAGGGCATCGCCAGTCCCAAGATGACCTAATCATATTATTGAATTTTAACTTGAAGTACTTAAATGCAATCCGTTCCAATCTTACTTTGAAGTTGGTATTCTTGCGGGTCCGCAGGCCACCCATCCAGAGATCCGCCAGGATCACCTGACTGCAGGGATGCGCCAGCAGAGCTCGATGATTGGCCGCCACAGCCAGGGAAAGGCAACTCTGATTCGACCAGGAGTGCAGCTCACAGGTAAGAAGTCGTTGGGCCTTCTCCGCATCCTGTCGGTAACTGAAGTCCAGCAACTTGTTGCCTGCAAAAGCATAAATAGTTTATGTAATAAGAAAACATACAAATACTTCACCAAACTCTTGAACTATTCTTCCCCTTATGGTCTTATAAGTAGCTGAATAAATGCAAGTTTTTCAACCACTTGAAC